TCACAATGGCGGTGATTAACGATTATTCAACGATAACGTGATTATCAACGATGATCGTCCATCGCTTGCCTGCTAGACGATTTTTAGGGACTTGCGTTGGTTTCCCCAATTTGGTATCTCTGTGGTCTCGTGTCAAACGAACCTACCACACTCCCCCCCCCCCCCCCCCCCCCCCGCCCTAAAAAGAAACCACGCGCCAAACTGACTTCCAGACGCGCCGTCACAACTACCTATGTACACTCCCCTCCCTACCCCCTTTTCTGTTTCGCGTATTTTTTTTCTAATTCGCGACGAATCACAGAACGGTTCAGACCGGTTCGAGCACGGTCTGAAACAAGGCTATCTAAGCTCAGCTTTCCCGCTCCGACCGCCACGCTTTGTCGAACAGATCTTTTCCCTTCGTTTTTTTTATTCTTTTTTTTTCGTTGACCGTCGATCGATCGAACCGTGATGAGCAAAACAAAAGGAAAAAAACAAGAGAGAGAGAGAGAGAGAGAGAGAGAGAGAGAGAGAGAGAGAGAGAGAGAGAGAAGAAAAGAAAGACGTCCCGATGTGAGCAATGGAGCGATTCCCGAGATACACGCGCGCACATACTGTGCGACCGTCCAGCTATTTACGGCTGTGAGAGCGAAAAAAAAAAAAAAAAAAAAAGGAAAATAAGTCAAGCGTAGAAAATCGGAGGGAACCGGAGTAGGAATGTTACGCGTGGCAGTCAGAGGGTGAACGGAATCGTATCGTTAAAACGACACGAGACGTCTAATGCGCAAGAAGGAAGAAAAAAGTCCCTCCCACCGATTCGTACCTCCCTAGCGCGACAAAAATCCCCCTATCTATCGAGTTATTCGCTCCCCTCGCGACGTTACGTTAAAATATTGCTTTCAAACGTCTCCCGAAAACGATGCGAAGGTTTACGAAGCAAGGTCGGCGCTTTTTCTTTTTTTTTTTTTTTTTTACCGCGGCGCTTTCAAAACGTTTCGAAGCAAAACGCGGCCCGAACGGTGAAAGAAACGGAGGAATTCGGTCGATGATTTCGTTGCACGTGGATGTTGCTTCTCGAGCGCAGAGCCTCCCTCCCCACTCCCCTCCCTTCACCTCCCGCCACGCGGCGAGCGTGAGCTATTTTTACGCCGGCGCCCCCTTACGCTCGACGTAACATTACGCGTTAATACCACGTTAAACTCCGTGCCTGCGGCGGAACATTTATTTACTCCCGGCTTTGTCCCGCAGTCCGTCATATTAATATCGATCGTTTTACAAATTTAGCCTCGACCGATCCAACTACGCGTCCCTCTCGCGCGATGAATACTACCCGCAGCTTCCTAACCCGGTGCTGTCTCTCGCCTCTACCAACAGGCTAGATGATGCCATCGTTAACCTCCTATGGGCCGAATTTTCTTCACAATTGTAAACGAAAGGAATTTCAAAAATCTGTAAATACAGATTAACAATGAACCAGGTGGTGGTTTCAACGAACGTTTTGTAACTTTGTAGCAACAACAGCTTGCACTTGTGCCTACGAAAGCTAGAGTACGAAATTCCATAAAACAGTTTGCGCTTGTAGTTAAATATAGATGCACGTTGTACTTTATTTTTGGAACCTCTTTGCACTTTTGTCTGGTGGTGATTTATCGGATCAATTGCCAGAAGCGAATGCTTTTTATCCTTGTTGCTCTTTTATCTTTGTATGATTTTGTATTCACATTTTAGGGCTCTGATACGTGAAACTAAAAGGTAAAGAAAAAACACAAAACGTTATCGCAAGTATACTAACCTATATATAGCTCATTGTGACTTGAAAGTCACAAAGTTGCATCATATGAAAATAGTGACAAAATGATCGTTGAAATGCAAACAAATGAGATATCATCGATATACAAACCAGAGCTATTATATATTCTTTTTCTTGTTTAACAAACACCGATGACAATTGAGCAAGATGGTTCCTTTAGCTTCCATTTGCAGACAACTTGCAAAAGCATTTACTTTGATTTTCAGGTTAGGTCAGGTTAGCTGATAACCGTTACTAAGAATATTATTGGTTACTAAGAAAACATTACAGAACAAGATGTGAAAAAAATTGCTCGCTTATGGAAATTTGTGAAAAAGAAAATTAAATTTAATAAAATTAAATTGAATAAAGTATCGATATATTGGTATGTGTCTTGCAAGTTACACGGGGCCCATAAAAGGTTAGAAACATGGCGTTGTCTCACGAAATTCCGTGGCAACTCGCGTCGAGAGACAGTTTTTTATTCTCGATCGTACGAAAATCTGGAGAACTTCTTTCAATCGATGGAAATTTCTCTGTGTACCGGTCGATCGTCCTCCGCTCGAAGACGCGAAAAACGCGTCCCCCACGTGAAATCCCACACGCGGTAAACAACGCCGAGGCCGCGCCGAGATCCTTCGGGTCTCAAGGTCCTGCGTATTTTTAAATCGAACGTCATACTTTCATCGGCGCAACGTTATAATTGACATCGAGGGAAATTCAACGACCTAACGCGCCGCTCGACCTTCGGCTGACCTTGACCGTGACCTTTCACCGTCAGCGTCGAAACATTTATCATCTCGAAACATCGCGAGCAAGATTGCGGTGAAATTTCACTCGCGATCCCGGGAGCAGAAGAGGATCGTACAGAGCAAGCGTGTCCAACGGCCCTTTAGACCCCAAGCTACATAACCAAAATTGGAATAATTGAACAAGAATTTTGTCATTTGAATGATAAAACTTCTGGGGAGTTACTTATACTTGTGAATTTTTCCAGATATCAAGCACACAGAAAATAGAATAAAAACAAAAACATTTTCAGGTTAACCACTTGCGCTGGCACAGAAATTACTGAGAAGTAATAAATTTATACTTAAATATAGTTAAAACTGAGAAAATATTGCAATTTTGAGCAAAAAATTCTCGACGTGCGTTAAAGGTTGCACTGGCAACTGATTGCGGACCATAACGAGTGACCGAACCGTATACAATAACACGTCGCCTTCTTTTTGAATCTGTCGGCGTATCACCGTAGATGGATAAAAATTATTAAGAAATAATAAATTTATTATTTATTTTGCCTCAATGTACTTAATACTGAGAAAATATTGCAATTTTGGGACAAAAAATTCTCGACGTGCATTAGAGGTTAACCACTTGCCGCTGGTAACTGATTGCGGACCATAACGAGCGACCAAACCGTATACAATTAATCGTCGCTTTCTTTTTGAACTCGTCGGTATATTATCACTGTAGATAGATAGAAATTATTAAGAAATAAATTTATTACTTGTTTTGCCTGGGTTATACTTAAATTTAGTTAAAACTGAGAAAATATTGCAATTTTGGGACAAAAAATTCTCGACGTGCGTTAGAGGTTAACCACTTGCGTTTGTAACTGATTGCGGACCATAACGAGCGACCAAACCGTATACAATTAATCGTCGCTTTCTTTTTGAACTCGTCGGTATGATATCACTGTAGATAGATAGAAATTATTAAGAAATAATAAATTTATTACTTGTTTTGCTTGGGTTATACTTAAATATACTTAAAACTGAGAAAATATTTGCAATTTTAGGGCAAAATATTCTTGACGTGCGTGGCACGTCATTGCAGCGCAAGAGGTTAACGAAGAATAAGCATCGATGAGAGTTTAAAGAATTCGAATGATTCTCGCTACAACAGAGTTAACCCTGGACGAGAGTAAACAGGCTCGTAAATCCCATTAAAAAGTAAGTTATTTGATCCTTATATGTACACATTTGTGCTTTTTGTTGTGAAAATAATTTAGTGGCGTGTCGAAGCTGACTTGAGAAACAGATTAGCACGTAGGATGCAAAATGTGTAATATTTAATTTGTTAATATGTTAATATATAATTTGGCCATCCCTGGTATCTAAAAGGCTGGACACGCCTGGTATGGTACAGAGCACCGTAAGCACAAAACCGATGGGACAAACGATCGCGGAACGTTCGATCCGTCGACGACGAACGAACGAACGAACGAACGAACGAACAATTTTCCACGCGTCGTTCCGTTTCAGCCGGTTTTTTCTCGCACCGTGAGTATTTACGCAATTCCGTAATATTTATATTTATATTAGAATACACGCGCGCGTCGACGCGCGTATCAACGAAAACGTACACGATAAATATATATATATCGTCTCGGTATAAGTATCTACGTTGAGCAACTTGTCTTTCGTCCTAAAAACAAGACAATTAAATTAAACTACGATCAAACGATCCTCAAGGATCGCTCGTCGTTCGAGGATTCGATTCTCGAACTAAAAGAGAAGACAATTCCTCCGTCTTTATTCCCCCTTCCCTCCCCACCCCCCTTTACTTTCCTCCTTTGAACTCGGCTCTCCCTCTCTCTCTTTCTCTCTCTCTCAACGATGCTGCCCACGCCTCCAACCAATGATTGTCGTTCTCGTAATATTCGTTGCAGCATCGTCGCCTCCTGTTTCTCGTCCCTTGCCCATCCGTTGCCGCTCGAATCCTTCCTCGTTTCTCCTTTCTCCCGAGAATTCCTTTTCTGTGCGTCGTATATATATATATATATATATATATATATATATATATATATATATTCATTGTACACGTACGCAGCAACGATCTTCACGTATCTCATACGTATTCTCGTTCACCATTCCCCTTATCATTATCGTATTATCGTATTTTCTAGACTAATTATCGTTAGTAGGTGTGTAGCTTCCGTTCCCGATTTTCGTATTTTGCGTTTTAATGCGTATTTACGTTTTAATGCGTTTTAATGTATAACACGGTGGTGGTGGTGGTGGTGGTGGTGGTGGTGGAGTGAAGCACACGATGGAATCGAAGGTTTTTCGTTTCTCTTTGCTGGTCGATAAAGCTGCCACCCATTCGTCGTGACGAATGATCGTATCGTATCGTATCGTATAAATTAAAGTCGAGTCTCTAAAACGCGTAACAAACGTACTAATTTATCCTTACGTGCGATATTAGGTATAGACTAGATTGTTCTCACGATATCATTCCATCTCCTCCTCGCGCTTGAATTTTCAAAGCGCTCTAATCGCGTCAACGTTGCTGTTGTTGTTGTTGCTGCTGCTGTTGTTGTTGTTGTTGTTGTTGTTGTTGCCGTCGTCTTCGTCGTCGGTTTTGCTGCCGCTCCGAGAACTCGTCGTCGTCGTCGTCCTCATCATCCTCCTCCTCCTCATCATCATCATCGTCATCACCATCACCATTGTCGTGATCATCATCATCATCGTCGTCGTCGTCGTCGTCGTCAGACCTCGAACGTTCGGTCAACAAGGGCGGCGGAATGGTGGCGACGTCGAAGCTCGAGTCGGTGCTCGAGATGATCTGTCCGTCCTTCACCTCGAGATCCACCACCACTCGGTGACGCCTCTTCATGTTCTCCCGTCGTCTTCGACGCACGGCCATCTGCTGGCCGTGAACGGGCGTGTGAACGGGGCTGTCCATGCTGGACGACGTGTCGCCCTCGCTCTGCGGGCTTTTGCTCGACGAGTACGGCATCGTCTTCGTACGAATCTGCGTTCTGATCTGCATCGGCGGGCTGGAGGTGGTGGACTCGCCGCTTAGGCTGGTCGTCGAGTAGTACGGCGTCGACTTGGCTCTGATTGGCACGAGCACCGGTCGCTCGGTGGATCTCGTCTCGTGGTACCTGGCCGCCTCTGCCGGTTCGGAGAAACCACGTTCGAACTTGCCGGTTGTGGACCTTGTCGCCACCACCTTCTCCTTCACCGCGGCCTTCATCGTTTCCTCCCGTTCCTCCTCGAACGACCAGTCGTCGTCAGCCGTCGGCCGTGCGCCGAGCGCCAGGTCCGCGTACCTCTCGTGCATGTCCTCGGAACTGTCCCCACCTCGGCCGACCTCCATCACTCGGATCTGATCGCCGCCCGAGTACTTGATCGCTGGAACGTTGTCGTAAAGGCGATCGCCGGCGATCGTTCGTCGTTGCCTGGCCATCGACGCTCCCATCTCCTGCTCGTCGAGCTCCTCCTCCTCCTCGAGGATCGGCAGCGGCGCGTCGCCGTCGTCCGACATTAGCCGCAGCTCGTCGTCGATCGTCTCGTCGAACTCGTTCTGAAGAGTGATCCGAGGTGGCGAGATGTACGCGGTACGGACGTTCGATGCTTCGTCGTCGAACGGCGAGCTGCGTCGTTCCACGTTCCCAGAAACGGAAACGGAGACGGAGACGGAGACGGAGACGGAAGAGGAACGTGGTGGCGTGAGAGGAGGCGAAATCATCGTCGTGGTCGTCGTTGGTGGCGGTGGAGGAGGCGGTGGCAAAGGTGGCAACGACGGCAAGGGCGGCGAGTGCGCTTCACCGGCCCCCGTTCTGCACTTGGAGTTTGGTCTCATGCTGGTCACGCTCTTGTCCGAGGTGGTGGTGTCGCTCTGACTCTTCTCGACCGAGTAGTGCTGCTGCGGGACGACGGTGGTGCTGCCCGACCAGTCGGAGATGGATGCACCGAGCTCCGCCAGCGAGTTGTCGTCCGACTTGGTACCAGAGTACTGGCAAAACTGGCGCACCGTGTTGTTCGAGCTCGACCATTCCGACATCGAGAGGCCCATCGAGGTGTCCTCGCTGTGCGACGAGCCGGTCACGTGCGAGTTGGACTTTGGCTTGACGGCGATCTTCACGGTGCCGTCGACGGTGGTCGCGGACGTGGAACTGTGACCGTCCTCGAGGAACGTGGAGTGAAGGTCGTCGTGGAGCGTTCGATTCTCGTCGCTGGAGTCGCTGTCGTGGTCCGGCACGTGGCTCGCCGTCTCGGTGCTGTCCGTCACCGTCACCTTCACCGCCTCCTCCGGCCTGATCTCCATGTAGAAGGTCTCCACGTGACTCACCACCGGTTGGTCGAACGCCGGCGAGCTAGGCGGCGACGGCCAATCCTCCGAGCTCTGTTCCTGCAGCCTCGGCCTGCCGTGCGACTTGGGCGACTTGGCGGCCTCCTCGTCCTGCTCGCTCACCACGTCTATCGGGATGTCGGGCAGCTCGGAGGAGGTGCGCCGATCCTCGGAGATGGAGGGCAGAGGCGTGCCGGACGGCGGATCGGACGACAAAGACAGCTGATGATCGCTGGATATCAGCGACTCGTCGTCCAAGCTTGGCGACCTCGAGCTGGGCTTGAACGAGTCCTCCAAGTCGCTCTTGTCCTGCTCGGACGTGGTGGACCTCTCGGATATCCTGGACAGCGTGCGCGTGAGCGCGAACGTGCCGCAGCTGGTGAGGATATCGGGGCCGATCGGGTAGATGAAGCTGCCGGGAAAGTCGGCGAGATCCTCCTGAAAGCTGTCCTCGTTCTGCCCGTTGCTGTCCTCGGAATGTGACTGAGCGGCGTTGTTCTCGTCCGGGCCCGTCCAGCCGTCCTCGATGCTCGAGCTACCGGAACTCTCCAGAGGGAACGACTTCCACGTGGAGCTCAACTCGGGCCTGAGGCCCGTCGTTTGGGAACCGTTGCTGTTCTCCTCGTCCCTCGCCGATGACGATACTTCTCGACGATCGACTATCGGCTGGATCTGGCCGATGCCCAGAGGTCGAGCAATCGAGCAGGAACTGGACTCTGGATCCTCGCGGTCCGGCGTCCACGTGGCAGTCTCCTCGCTTCTCGAACGTTCGCTGCTCAATCGTAGCTTCTTCTCGATCGACAAACGATTCGAGCTCGTCGACGCTTCCTCCGCGGCTGGATCTCTCGTCGTCGTCGTCGTCGTCGTTGTCGTCGTTGTTGTCGTCATTGTCTCTCCCGCGACCGTCTCCTCCTCGTCTTTTGGCAGCTCCTCGGCCAACAGTTCCTCGCCCTCGTCCTCGTCCTCTCGCCTCATTTCCAGATACTCGGGCGTCAACTCCACCTCCACCAGCGTCTTCTCGTCCATCTTGTCGACGCCGTAGTCCGGCGAGCTCAGCTCGCTGTCGATGCCTCTCATGTGAACCTGCGTGTCCAGCGCGTCCAGCGTGTCCTCGCTGGTGTCCGCCGAGTCCAACGTTGGCCGATTCTCGTCCCCTTCGTGCTCTCGCGTTTCTTCTCGTTCCTCTCCGCTGTGACCTACCTCCTCCTCCTCCTCCTCGTCCTCGTCCTCATCATCCTCTTCGACGTCGTCGTCGTCGTCGTCGTCGTCCGAACACTCCTCTATGGAGATCTGAATCGGTGACTTGACCATGTTGTCCTGTCCGTCGTCAAAGTCGATGGCCGATCTGATGATTGGCAAACCGCTCGTCGTCTTCTCGCCGTCATCATCTCGCGCAACGCCCGTCACCGTTACGTCGGGAAGGTCGTCTCTCTCCGTCGATTTCTTCGAATCGTCCAGCGGCGGCTCCGCCACCGCCACGATTTCAACCGACTCGTCGACGCGCTCCGACTCGACGTACTGTCGCGGTACAACAGAGCCGTCGATGGTCTTGGTGACGCTCAGCAGATCGATCTTCTCCGCTCTGACAACGGCCTTGTCCGACGCGATAGTAGCAGCCATCTCCAGCTCGGCGCCAGACTCCACGGAACTCTGATCGATGAACTTTGTCTTCTCGTCCACCCTCACCGACTCCAGCATCGTCCTCTGATCGTCCTTTGTCCCGTTGCTCGCCGCTACCTCCAGTCGCAACGCGTCCCTCTCGTACGGGATAAGGTCGACGCTCGCCGTGATGATCTCGTTCGACTCGGTCAACGGCGACTCGAGATACTGGGCGGATGTCTCGGTGACTGACAAAGAATCGGTGAAGATCTCCGGCACGGTTGTGTGATCGGTGCTGTCCGATCTGTGATTCGGCGACGCTTCGATCTGAATGGATTGCGGTTTCGCGGGCGGAGCAGAGGTGAGGTGGACGCCAGCGCCAGGGAGAATCGCCGCCTCGGTCGGCTCGTCCGGGTTCTCCGACACGTCGACCGTGTCGTCCTTGCTGGAGAAGGCGTTCGCCGGTGGAAGCTTGTGCACCGCGATCACCGGGGCGTCCAACGACTTGGCTCGCCTCTGAGAGGTCGGCGACTGCGTCGCCCCTTGCCTCTGCAACGCGCCGATCCCGCTACCCTCCGAGAGGCCGAGACGCGCACGGGCGAACAGAACCGGCGTCTGCCCCGGTTTACGCAACACCACCGGCGGCGATTGCTGCAAATCCTGCGGCCTTGCCTCCGACTGAGACGTCTGCTGCTGCTGCTGCTGCGAATCAACGATCTCAACAACGTTCTCCGATTTCGACTTTTCAGCGTCCACCACCTTGGCGCGCGACGCGAGTTTCTGCGACTCCTGTTGTTGAAACTTGGGAGCTTCCTCCGCGATCGACGTCGGCGACTTCACCTCCGTCGATTTCGCCTCGCTCTTCGAACCGCCGCCGCCGCCGCCGCCGCCGATCCTCGTCGTTCTCTTCGGCGAGATCTTCTCCGCCGAGTCCTTCCTCTCCGCGCTGCTAGTGCCCGACAGACTCTTGGAAATGCCCAGCGACTTTGGCCTCGCCTTGTCGCTCTTTCCACCACCCGTCGCCGCGCTCTTCATCAGATCGTCGTCGACCGAGGCAGACTTCGCTCGAGTAGTTCCTCCACCGGTCGCCTTGCTCTCCTCCCTGTCCTCCTTCGACTTGTCAGGCAACCGGGTGATCGACTTGGATCGACCTTTCTGAACGATACTCACCTCCGGCGCCACGTCCGTCGAATCGATGATGATGATCTCCTGCGGCATCTCGCCCAATTTCAACTTCGACTTGTCGATCTTGGAGCTCGGCGTGGACGCGCGCGACTCCTTCGAGCTCGTCTTCTTCAACGGCGGCGGCTTGTCGCCCTCCAACGACTTGGACTGTTTCTTAAAGTCCTTCTTCGGCTCCGGCTTCGGCTTCTTCGACCTCTTCGGCGACACGTCCGGCACAAAGTGCTTGTTCTCCACCTCCGGCGAGAGGAGGGTGTCGATCGACGCTTTCTCCTCGGCCAGCGACAACGACTTGGATCGTAGTGACTCGCCGTGCGGCCTCGACATGAACGGAACGAACTCGGGGACCTTGAGGCTGTCCAGCTCCAGCGCCGGCTTCACCGGCACCTCGTCCAACGGCAAGTCCGCCACCGGTTCCACAAAGTCGTCGAACCCGGTGTCGATGATCCTCGGCTTGGCGATCCTCGCCTCCGTGAACTTCGACTCGATCTTCTCGAGGATACGTTTCGTCTTCTCCGGTATGCTCGGCTTCTCCAACGTCTTTGGCTTCTCCGGTACGCTCGGCTTCTTCTCCAACTCGACGGCACGAGCGCTCGTCGTCGTCGTCTCCTCCTGCCTCTCCCCTTTGCCGTCGACGTTCGTTTCGTCCGGCTCCAGCCCGGTGACGATCGGTCTCGGTATCTCTGGCAACGGTATCTTCTCAATGCTGTCTTGCTTCTCCAAGCTGTCGTCCGGCGTCTTCAGGCTGTCCTTCTCCATCTCGGACTTGGCCTTTCGCCGCTCGAGCTTCATCTTCATCTCCATGCCGACCACGTCGGCAAAGTTGAGCGGCTTGGCGGCCGTTGTTGCGGTCGTCTTCGAGTCGAGCGATCGTTGAGCAACGGCCGCCAAACTCTTGGACGGCTCGGTCGACGACGGTGACAGCCTCCTCTTTTGTATCACCGAGACGATCGTCACGTTCGGATCGGTGGGCGACACCTTTGGCGAGCGCCTCTCCGTCGACGAGACTATCGTCACGTTCGGCTCGATCGGCGACAACTGCTGCTGCTGTTTCGAGGACTTGTCGAACGACGCCGATCTCAACGACGACGGTTTGTCCGGCGACGGTGCCGCCTTCGTCGTGCCGCCTTTGGATGGACTTCTGTTGGTCGGCGAGAAAGCGCAGACCACGTTCTTCGCGTCGGTCGGCGACAACTTGGACGTAGGGCTGAGGATGCTCTTGGGTTTGTCGGACGGGCTCGAGAGGATCGACTTGGGCCGCGTGGGCGTGTACGTGGCGCTCTTGGGCTTGTCCGGCGAGAGCTTGCTCTGGACAGGTGGCGGCGGCGCCTTGCTGCTCTCCACCGAGGTCAGCTTGGACAGATCGAAGCAGGTGATGTCGGTGATCATCTTCAGAGGCAACCTCGGCAGATCACGCACGGCGGCGCTCTTCCTCGACACCGTCTTCCCGCTGTCCGACTCGGACTTCTCGTCCGACGCGGTACCGTTCATCACGTGCCGCTTGTGCAACGTGTACGGTATCTCGACGTTGGTCGTCTTGTTGTGAACGGCGGCGCTGTCCGAGAACGGCTCCTCGTCCCCGGAATCCGCCGGCGTCAGGTCGATGGACTTTTGATGCATCAGTATGTGCCGTTTGTTGTTGGAGCCTAGCCTCTGTCGCGCGGGGTTCGGGTCGCTCTTTGTACGCTCGACCGGCGTGTGGCCCGGTATCGTGTCGTCGAAACTCAACACCACGCCGCCAACGATCTTCGGCTCGTACTCGGTGAACGTTGCCTTTGCCTTGAAACTTTCCATCTCGATCGGCACGCCGATCACCGTGTCGTTTCTCGACTCGGTCGACAGCCTCGCCTGTCGTTCCCTCTCCCGTTTCTCCTCGTCCTTGCGCGCCTTCTCCAAGCTCCTCCAATCGTCCCTCTCGCGCGGCTTCTCCTCAGACTTGCTCCCCCTCTCTGTTCGCCCCTTGCTCTTTCTCGACTCGATCCTCTCTACGCTGCTTCTCCTCCAGTCGTACGTCGTCGTCGTCGTCGTCGTCGTCGTCGTCGTCTCCTGTTCCAAGCTCTCCGCGCTTCGACCTCCGCCACCTTCTCCTCCACCTCCTCCTCCTCCTCCTACTCGCGAATCAAATCTGTCCAAATACTTTCGCGACTCGCGCGAGTCGAGTCGTTCGACGTGCCTCTTCCTCGCCTCGGACTTTCTCTCGTGCGTCACTTTGCCGCCGTCCTCCTTCACGAGGCTGTTGCACCTGTCCAGCGACTTGAGCCGCTCGATGGTGACCGGGTCGAAGTCGAAGGTCGGCCTCTCCTGCGAGTCCAGCCTCTCGACGCTCTTGCCGCGATGCTGCTGCTCCCGGCTGCCGGCGCTCAGCCGCTCGAACGGGCTTCTGTTCCCCGAGTCGAAACGCTCCAGCGTGTGCCTCTGATTGTAGTCGATCGAGTTGCCCCGACTGCCCGGGCTTCTTCTCTTTTCCTTCGAGTCTAACCGCTCCACGCTTCGCTCTCGCCGTTCTCGGTGCCTCTCCCCCGTCGTCGTCGTCGTCGTTGTTATTCTCTCCTTTGGGCTTCTGTTCACGTACTCGGCGCTGCCGCGCAGCCCCTGGTAATCCAAACGCTCGAAACTCTTGCCCCGCAGCTCGTACGGATCGTGGCCACGTGACGCGAGCCTCTCCTTCGAGTCCAGTCGCTCGTAGCTCCTCTCGCGAACGTCCAGCCTCTCGATGCTCCTCCGTAGCTCCCTCGCGTCGACGCTGCGACGGCTACGCGAGTCCATTCGCTCCATCGACCGCCTCTTGCCACCACTCGAGTGCTTCCTCTCCTTCTCTTGCAACTTCGACAACGTCTTCTCCAGCTGCTGTTTCGCCTCGCTGCTGCTGCTGCACTCGCGGCTCGATCGCCGATCCCTACCTACAACACCACCACCACCACCACCTTTGTGACTGCGACCCAAGCTACCTGTTTCAACGTACGCGCGCGACACGTGATCCTCGAGGCTGGCGATGCTGCGCGCCCTCACCGTTCTACCTCTCTGGTCGGCGATCGTTCGACTGGTCGCGTCGACCGGGCTCAGGTCGTCGTCTATGCGAGACTTGGGCCGCATGATACCCTCGTCGCGCAGTATCTCCGAGTCGACGTGCGTGATCTTGTACTTGGGCTTGAAGTTCTTCAGCTCGTTCAGCACGGACATTTTCTGCTTTTGCACTTGCAACACGACCGGGTCTTTCCTACCAGAGTCCTGATGCGGCAGAGAAAGTTTCGACTGCTGTTGTTGTTGTTGTTGTTGTTGTTGTTGTTGTTGTTGTTGTTGATCGATCGAATTGGCGTGCCGCGTCTCAAACTTTCGTTCAATCTGCGTGCTCGACCGTTGTATACGAGACTCGACGGTGATGTAGCTGTTGCTCTCACCGTCCCTCGTCACCGGTTTCGCGTACCGATCGATGGACTTTGCCCTGGCGTTCTTCAGGTCCGCGAGCACGGATTTGAACTGATGCTTGTCCGTCGACTTGATCGAACGATGCTTGACGAAGGAATCGGTCTCCGAGTCCATTTGGAACATCTCGTGCTCGATCCCTTCGTCGCTCCTGTCGGACAGTGGCTCGTTCTCCTCCTCCTCCTCCTCCTCCCCCTCGCCTTCGTCGTCCTCCTCCTCGTCCTCCTCCTCCTCCTCGTCGTCGTCGTCGTCGTCACGCGGACTCGAGTACGACTCCGGGTATTCAAATTCGTGCTCGCGTTCCAGCAGCTCGTACGAGTCGTGCGAGAGGTCGTCGTGAGAGAGGTCGCCCGCGGGGCCGGACTCCTCGTGGCCAGACTCGGTGGACAGCGACGAGGTGCCCGGATACGAGCTACTATAGACGCGCTCCGGCACCGAGTCGTGATCGAGGGATGGCAGCTTCGAGCTGGCCGCGCTGTACGAACGATTGCTCTCGTCGTACCGCGTCACCGGGTTGTCCAGCTCGCCCTGAGACGGCAAACGGAACGGTTCCAACACCACGTCGTCGTCGCCGCCGACGCCGACGCCGACGTCAGCGGCGGCGAGGAGGACCTTCTCGTCCTTCGAACGCGCTTTCCCCGAATCCTCGAAGCTAGACGCGTACAACTCGCGGCAACTGGCCGATCGCTGCCAGGGATGTCTAGGCATAGGTCGCGGTGGGGGGAATTCAGGAGGACTGCTGTTAGAGGGGCTGATACGACCTGCTGATGAAATCCGTTGCTGGCTGACAGCAAGCATCTGCCGCGGTGCTGGGACCTGGCTGGGGGTGGCCGGCGAATGGACGTCGATGGAGGTAAGTGTCCGAAACGACGTAGCTGTGTCTTCGCGACGGTGAATCGTCCCTCCCATCGAGACACTCGTCACAGTCGTCGGAGAATCCAGTGTCATCGAGCCGCATGACAGAGACAGAGCTGGGGTTTCCAGGGCTGGAAAAATCATTCGCTTCTGTTTAGTTTCTTTTTTTCTTTCCACGCTTCGTTCACTACTTGCACTTTGCTTTTATTTAGAAATAGATTGTTATGCGGGCAAGCACTCTTTTTATTTAGGCAATTATTTAGAAATGATTTTCGACCAACTGTACACGTGTAACCGTCGCTCGGCCTCAGTTGGCAGAAAAAAAAGAAAAAAAAACTATCGCCACTGCTACGACGAACATGGCCTGTTGCTGCACGCTTGTTTACGGTTTCTGTGGACGCGTATTATAACGGGTGTACTTAAAACCCGAACCTAATCCATTGAATTAGTTACTAGGTAGACTCGAGTTACGTCTTTTTTTTTATTCCGGCCGGCTACCTTTTAAGGTACACCCGTTATATACGCCGGCCCCCTCGACGTATTTATAAAAACCATAAACAGTCGACGCTCGCAGGCAGACACGTAGCTATAGACGATATTCATAGTAGCGAAAAATCTCGGAAACTAAGGCCGAGCGACGGTTATACGTATAGGAAAAAATTGTTCAAAATCGTCGAAATCGGTGAGCCCCCCCTTTTCTAAATAATTACCCTTTCTTTACTCTTTCTCTCTCTCTACATTTTCACTCTATCCACCCACCTTTCGTTTCTACTCTCTGCCCTCGTTCGAAACATCTCACGAACACGCGCCGACGTTTGCACGCCAAGCATCCTCAGTTCCAACATCTTTTAGCATCGATCGCGAATCGATCGTGATATTCTTACGAGTGTATATTAGGTGTACCTTTCGTCCCCTCCTGCCTTGCGTCGCTCGCGCGACGTAAACAAGCCGAGAGACAACTCTCTCCGGACGAGTGTCTTTCAAAAGCGTTCTATTTGCAATACGCTAATACTCTACTGTTTCTCTACTCTTACGATACTTTATGTACGATACTTGAAGGAAAAAACAAGATTGGGGGGGGGGGGGGGGAGAAAAATAAGAATGAAAATAAATCGAATAAGTAAGCTAAGACGTAAGGACGAACGGAAGATTAAACGAGGGGAACATGGGGGGGGGGGGGGCTAAAGTTCGAGGAAAAAGTAATTTGAGAAGAAAGAAAAAAAAGGAGGGGGAGGGGGGTAGAGAGAGAGAGAAACGAAACGAAACGAAACGAAACGAAACGAAACGAAACAAAGAGGCAGAGAGAGCAGGGGGATGTATGAAAAAGTAAGCGTTTCTCGTGGAGGTTGGTGTCGGTCGTGGTACATACCAGGATCGCCGAGGGGCAGGAGGGGGTGGGCAGAGATGCTGGAGCTGCCCATAAGGGAGCTGCTTGGAGTGGCCCCACGATAGCCTCCCCCCTCCAAGCCCTGCAATGCCCTACCACCGCTAGTCTGCCGGAACGAATTGGACCTGCGAGCAAGAGAGAGTCAAGTTCAGCATCAGACTTAGGCTACCAAATGCCAAGCCTGTCCAGAACTAACTAATACTTTTTTTTTTTTTTTTTCTTTTCTTTTCTTTTCCCACATTTCCTTCTCCGCCCTCCCTCACCGTTCTCTCGTTAAATACGTACATGGTGATACAGTATTTCGTCTAACGAATCTCCTTTTCATTGTGTCAGTCTGTCAGTCTATTTCCCTTTCTTTCTTTCTTTCTCTCTTTCACGCACTCACACGCACACGCACATATATACACCTATTCGTGAATCGGAAAGAAACTCACTCGCGTCCGCGATGCTCCCTAGTATATCACGATCGCGATCAAATAATCGCCCGTGTACGTATATGTAGGTAATCGATAGATAGATAAATGAAAAAAAAAAAAAAAAAAGGTAAATTGTACGAAAACTATTTTTTACACACAAAGTGTGCCTTTAACTGTTACATCGTCGTTAAAAAATCCACTCCACTATCCCCTAGAGGTGAGTCTGTACTCGTTGTGAACTAGTTGGTCGTGTCGTTTCACGCAGAGACTGTTACAAAAATTGCTACGCGTGAAGAATTTGCGCACCCGAGTACTCGTTACCTTCGCATGCTCGACTCTCGCGACACACGATAACGGGGATATATTCGATAAAAAAAAAAAAAAATAAAGAAAGAGTGTGCACACAAACGGCGATGAATCTATCGGTGAGACACGATGCTTTTCTCTCGCTCTAATAGCGCATTATTAGACAAGTAACATTATCCGACTGAACATCGATATTGCAGATACGACAGATTATCGTGTAAGTACTTGATAACTGTTATATGTACAAGGATTGTAAATTATCATAAAGAAGTAATTTCTATGCTCTATGTTGTAGAGTAAGCTACTGCTATGGATGTAAATATATATCTGACTGGTATATGAAAGATATTCGGTCGGGACAGTGAAGTATGGTAAACTTTGCAGTGTGTAGTATCATTGGGTGTTATTACAACGACGAGAATTAGTGACCACACTATCAAAAAGAGGGTACATTGATCATTCGGGTTATCGTGCCTGATGGTGAGCCTGACTCCCCGCCACCCCTGTCCGAACAGGCAACACTGACACACGGAGGTACAATACGAACAGAGTGAAACACTTCATCATTCTACTTGAAATTGGAACAACGGATAGGCATGATAAATACCAATTAATGTCCCGGCAAAAGCAAGACCGTGCCACCTCCCGTCTTACCCACGCAAGAATCAGTGCGCTCGTTAATTAAAATATATCTCAACGGTATATAAAAACCAGCGTTAAAGGGGGGACAGTTACATAACGATACGCATGCACTAGCTACACATTACTAGTGTACCCAAGAATTGTTTCAATCATAGAACGACATATCTCGCATCGCTGATTGATTCAACTTACCTTTGAAACGTCTGCCTCTTCACGTAATTGTCCCGTACAAATTCCACGATTTGCTTCTGCGTTTTACCGCTGTACCTGGATAACCAAACATCGACAAATCTCGGTTTACGCGTAGAAGAAGAGGCGTTCTCTTTTAACCGCAAGCTAAACACTCACCTAAACGACGAGCCACGACTGAGCACCCGTGTTTTCTGACGCACCACTCGTTTCACCACCGAGCAGCGGAAAAATCCGTGATTCTCCACGCACTTTTTCCAAAAGTTTTTACACTCGTTACGACCTTCGAAGAAGAACTCCACAGTGTCCTTGTAATAACCCTACGGCCGAAACGATCGATCGATCCTCGTCAAGCCGAAATTCCTTTTGAAAATTTATTTACAAACAAAAATTCATTTGGAGATGCAACGCGACGCAACTTACGTAACCCTCTGGGTGAAGTTTAATTAAAAATCGTTTCCTCTTGAAGCTGATCTTTCTGATTTTCGCCCAACTGAACGTATTTATCTTGGTGAAATTTTGAAAAACGACTATCCCCATATGCGCCACTGCCAGATTCAACGGTACACCCTCGTGATCCTTCAAACATAAGAAATGAGAGATGCAACGATTCCGCTGCACGCGCAAACTTGAGCGCGAGTTATACTCACTTTAGCCGGATGCATCTTCATCCCATACAATTCACAGCGGCGTGCTGTTTCTAGCAGATTCAGGTCTGCTTCTGCCGGCGATTGCCCACTGTTTGGAGAGACAACACACACAGACAACATTTTCAAACCGTCGAGACGTTATATTTGGACTATGTTTAAAAGTTGATTGGAAAATATCTTACGCGTGTTTCTTGTGATTCTCCATAATGCGACGTTCTAGTTCTTGATCTTGATGAGGCACAAATTTGTAAGTTGACAAATACGTATGATCTGGATAATCCTCTATCACATAATCTCCACACTCGGCTACAACAATTAATCATCATTCGTCTACCGAAAAACCATTCTACCCTCTTTCTTTCTTTGCCACTCTGTTTACACAATCGTGAAGAAAATTGTCATTACCCTGCACGATATAGCTCGCCATCAACGCTGCTGTGTTATCGTTGCATTGTAATAAACCTTGGGCCAAATCCCGTTTGATTTGAAGACAAAATAGATATCTCGTAAACTCTTCTTCCAACTGTGCTGGATCAGGTGTATAAAATTTAACGCAAAATCTCAGTATAGGATCTATCAGCGATAATCCAACTTGTCTACAAACTGGCTTCTCTAAATCTAACCAATACTGTAATTAAATGCCACTGGTAAGTGTCGAGTGCAAAAAATATTTGACAATACGTGTTCGTCGACTCCTTACTTTTGTCCCATTGGGTTCCTGATACTCCAAGCCAAAGTAATCAGCTTCCAAAAGATGCAGCTGTTTACAAACTTGATCAAACAACACTCTTCCTAAAGCCTTTGCCTAAAATATCAATCATAGTACAAATTTAATTATCCCGATCGTCGAAAGTTTTCAATGTCAGTTAATTTTAAAGCAAAGTCATTGCATTCTAGATGGACGCTTCAAGATGACTGAAAATACGCTTTAGATGCACTGTATATATTTTATGAATAATCAATACATCAATACGTTTACTCCATGCAATATAGCATCACCAATTATCTGCTCCAGTTGTTCATTTAGAAATATTACACGCGTAGACAGTATAAAGTAAATGATCTTTTTTATTGTTGAACAAATATAGCGACAAACAATAATTTATAGTTATATTTAAAAGCGGAAAATACACTGATCTTTTAGATGAAGTCAACCTTGCACCTTTTTAGATAAACTTTAGATTACGATTACCATTGACTTGCTTCTTGTCAAATGTGAGATCAAACCAATGTAACTTTTAATACTTGTTCGACAATCGTTACCAGATATGTCATACCAGTTGTAAAAGCATGCAGTATACTTGACTTTACGTAACAGAACCATTGTGAATTACCTGAACTTGAAACATTGTAATCGTATCGTCCAACATCTGCACACGAACAGCAAGCATTTTACCAGCTTTTCTAGGTGTTGTAGGAGGAGTTCTACTACCTCCATCCACACCAGCCGGAGTCGAGTGACTATGAGGCATCTTGGATCCACCGCTGCCTTTCATACTTATGCTCTCTATATCGTTCATCTTCAGTCATCTACCATAAGCCGTAGAATGACCATCTATATAAATTTATTTCCTCGTGGAAGGTTTGATTTACAACTCGATGTTACATTGTCATCTGGAACAAAGCGTCAAACACATTTAATTAACGTTTCCGTCAGAGAACAAATTGGGTTAAACGTGACACGTCTTTCGCATAAATTTCACATTAACGTTGACAACGTGCTGCGGTGATGGATCAAGCACACCAAGAAGCGTACGTCCGCGATAGAGATACACGAGAGTAAGTGGCATCGACGCAGTAACCTCACGCAGGAAATCTCAATACAGACTCTACACCGAATTGTCTGAAATTGTTGAGAAACTCCAAAGGATATTGGACTCGCACAGAAATTCACAAGTCAACGGCTACGATTTGTGTGAAAAAAAAAAAAGAAAAAAAGAAAACAGTCGATCGAGCCTTTCCTTCTGCATCGTTTTCATCAACTTTAAAAGCGACTACTCGCATTTATTTACATAATTCACAGTGACATTGTACGCCACTTACTGCTCTCTTTCTCTCTCTCTCTCTCTCTCTCTCTCTCTCTTTCTCTCTCTCTCTCTCTCTCTCTCTCTCTCTCTCTCTCTCTCTCTCTCTCTCTCTCTCTCTCTCACCGAGTACAGTGCCTTACCGAGAAGAGAAGACTTGACGTTACGACGTTACGTCAAGGCAGCGATTACACCGACCACACTAATAATCGAACAGTGCTAATGGAACACGTTAAGAGATTGGCTACGACGAAAAGTGTTGAAAGTGTTGATTTGTCGATCAATTAATGTCAATCAATTAATTCAAATTAGACAGCGATCAGTTGCCGAACCACGGAAACGGAACGGCTACGTTTCCCCCCCAGCGTGAAAATGTGAAATTCGAGTTAAACGCTTTTGAAACGGGCCAGGCGAGTCAATCGGGATCGCCTCGAGAAACGGAAGAGAAAACAGCAGGAGGAGGTCCGCGATGAAGCATCTCGAACGGTGGCGAAGAGAAAAAGGTGGGGCCCAGGATCTTCTCAAACGGGGGGAAAGGAGGATCAATTAGACCGCGTTGCGAGACGAGCGAGAAAATACTGGGGCTTTTCTCTCGTTACGTACGTTACGTTTGCCGGCTTAACAAGAGCAGAGGCAGCACGCCCCGATATACAGCAACGCAGAGTTCATTGATCACTGAGAACACTCATGCACACACCGGCACTCCCGTAGTTCAGCCGCAGAGTTCTTCGCGATGCTCCCGATGTTGATAAGTCGTTTACCCCACTACCGCCGAACCGAGCATAGATTTCGCGAACGAGCTCCGTGTATCGCTGGGACGAGGATCGAGGAAGTCTCTGAATTGAACCACATTACACACCTACGGGGCGCACGTCTCCGCCTTGGCATAAATTATACGGAACGGCCAGTGGTTCTCAACTCGGCGCGGCAGGCAATGGGTGTTCGTCGTTCATCGATAAACGGGGCAGCACACGTACGGCGAACACCGGGACGCAGGCCTCGCGACCGAGTGGAGCACGACTTCCCGACGACACATGGTCTCGGACAACTCGGGTCCGACAGGCAACTAACTGGCAGCGTTCCGCGTACGGGCGCGCGATCCACGCCAAGGGCGGAGCCACGCGATAGGACAGCGACATCCGCTGAGAAGATCCGACAACTCCGAGCCATTCTCTCTCTCTCGACAGTCATTCTCCATTTTCTCCACGATACGTCGCGAGATTATACTTAACGATTCCTTTGCTCTCCGTTCCCCTTTTAACTTTTTCATGCGACTTCGCTTCGGCAACTGAAAATTTGCCCTTCTTCCCCCCCCCCCTCCCTCTCTCTCCTCTCGTGGTTTGTTATTCGTATTTACCTTTCTCCAGCAAGGCTGTGCCACGCTCTTGCGCACAGCTCTCTCCGTCTCGAGTGTCCCGTAAGATGGCGCCTCGTACCTAAACGTCGTGAGAACTGTTAATCCTTCCATCTACAGAGACCCAAGCCGCAAATGTCAAATCGACGGAGGTAAACAGTGGCAATTTTTTTCTGCTCTCGTCATCCGCGAAACGGTGGGTATCGCGTTCAGATTCCTCCGCTCGATGTATCTCTCTTTGAGAGTCTTGGATCTCTCTTTGTAAATTGCACGCATGCATTGTGCGAAAATACACTGTCGTCGACGCCGCGCTTACGTTCGTCGCAATTATTTGGTGTTTTTTTGACATTGACAGAAATGCGACTCGTTTGTGTTCCAGGACGCAAAGGCAATCCTCCTTGATGTGATTTTTAAGTTTTTACTCGCCGCTACGAAAATGTCAGACGAGGAAGATACCACGATCTTGTTGAACAGTGCCACTAGAACCATCGAAACGTCTATAAGCAAGGTTCCGAATGATTATCAATGTTTACCGCCGAAAACTCTGAGGAAACCACTTCCAAAGCCGAACGACAACCTGACACCGTTGACGTCGGGCAATAAAAATATATTCGTCTCCATGGTGGCGATTTTAGCAGGTATCGCGTTTGGAAGCGACATGGGCATTGCAAAACCCATTGCCCCTTTGATCAAACACGAGTTCAACTTGAATTGTTTCGAAAAGGATTTTGTTATAAGTATTTGGTTTGTTGGAGCCCTTGTTGGCGGATTAACCGGCGGTAGGTGTAAATAAACTCCTAGAAAGCATAAAAGCTATGTAAAAATTAAAAACCGAAATGGATGACAACATTAACAGCTGTTAATTAATATTTATAGGTTTTTTGATCGATTCATTCGGCCGACGTTGGGTAATGATATCAACGCTCATTTTTCTAACATTTGGCGCCACGCTGTCAGCACTGGCGAATCACTACATTTTGTTACTTGTCGCACGGATAATTTGCGGATATTCCGGATCTGTTTCTGCAATAGCTCACTGTATATACATGGCGGAGGTGTCCGAGTCAAATAAACGTGGATACAATATAATGTTGTATCAATTGGGCACAGCTACCGGATTCTTGGTTTCTGTGATTGCCGCTGCTATAAAAAACATAGACTATCAATGGCGATTTTCCATTGGTATAACAGCCGTGCCCGCCTTGGCCGCCTGTATAGCAACCATCATATTCCTTCAACGATCGCCACCGTTCTTACTCTACAAAAGAATGGCAAATGTTTCGAAAACGTCGTCGAAGAAAGCTTGGTACACGATCTTCGAGACTCTGACGATTATGGCTTTCTTACTGATACTGCAACAGGGTACCGGTAAACGGCAAGTTTTGTATTACGCGCCAAGATTGTTTGCATTATTGGGAATTTGCTCTAGTAAGTAATACGTACTCTCTCCCTTGCATTTTACTTTCGTTTGTACACGAATAAATGTTCCTCTTGCTCTGTTCGTTTCACAGACGTTGCAGAAGTCACAGCTTTGATATCGCTCGGCATCGTGAAAGTATTCAGCACGATGTTATCTCTGGTCATAGTGGAAAGATGCGGACGTCGAACGGCACTGATTACATCGGCCACCATCTGCATGACAACAATATCGCTATTGTCTCTACTCGCTACGATAGACAGGGGCGATGATAATTTAGACGTTGTGAACAACCATTGCAAGAATCATCACAACGAGGATGTTAAGATTCATTCGATTTTACCGACTGGATCACCGCCGCCGTTCCCTCTACTGCCAACTCCGTTAGCTATTGTTCCACCGAGTCCGGAAACCTGGACGCAAATTAAATCGTCTTGCGAAGTATATTTTTCTCAACTGTTCACGAGCATTACTCGCGCTGGATTGAATTTACTCACTTTTGTCTTGTCGCAGACACAGAATATCGCTGTTTCCGAAGGCCTGACTGGTGGCTTGCGTATTCTAGCAGTAATAACGCTACTCGTGTATGAAGCAGCGTACGCTTTAGGACTTGGACCAGTACCACTTTTGAATCTCACGGAAGTTTTCCCCGCAGCCATACGAGGGAAATGCATCAGTTTTGTTTCCATTGTCATATGGATAACGCACATCATTGCCACGGAATCCGTCAGTGCTATGACAAGTAAATTTCTCCTAACTTTTTTCTTCTTCTCGTCGCCTGTGTAACGCATGCATATAATTGTCTTTCTTTCAGGGTCATTAACGTTAGCTGGATCCTACTTGTTTTACAGTTTCATGTGTCTCGTCACAATATTCTACGTCTTTTTATTTATTCCTGAAACAAAAGGCAAATCTCTGCATCAGATCGCCCAGGAGTTACGAAAGATTCCCCTCGGAACACGCATATGCAATAATCTGCGTAGTTTACCGCTTATTTGTCATATTCAGTGGATAAAAAAGTACGACGAAAATGTAAGTAACGGGCAAAGTACCCTAATTTGAAAACAGAATTCCGGCTGGGTTATCCTAAAAGTTTTCGCGGCTTTTAATCAGTCTACGGTTTAAAGTGTCTTGGAGAACCAACAGAATTGTTTTACAACTGCTCTGAGTCATTTCAAAGAACGTTATGCTTCTCCTTCAAAGCAAACGACTGAAAAACTTCGGCAAATTTCAGGATAATCCAATAATCACATGTAATCTCTATGTGTCTACGAAAGTATTCCAAATACTATTAACTTTATCCCATTTTGCAAACTCGTAACTCTTCTATACACTATTGTGTTCAACAAGCATTTGTATGAAAAAAAGTACGACCGCTGAATTTCGATAAAATTTTCTTAGCTTTAAATTATTACAGAACATATCATACAAAACGTACTAAAGATTGTCGGAATCATTTTCGACACGAAAGACTGACTAGTTTTTTAATTTCACCTGCTGATTTTTGTTCATTTCACCGACAGTGAGTCAAAGTTTCTCAAATAACAATTGTTTTTCAATAACTTGTACTTCCATAATTCTTTCTGACGTTGTCCACTGACGTTTTTCTTTCTTTTTTTTACAATACAATCACTTCTGTAGAAGGATTAATTACAAAGATGTGATTAGTATTAGATTAGATAGATACTTTGAACTAGATATTTTATAGCGTAACAAATTACGTTTAGAAATGAATACTTTAGAGATTTCAATAAGAAAACGTACGCGTTATATAATATTTATCACTTTGTAATAAAAATAGTGATATCTTTCTTTTTCATTTTTGCTACCCGCATAAAATCCTTTAAACGTTAAATTGTTCGTCACGTTCGTTTGAACGTGCATCGCGATTTCTCTGCATACAGCTATATAACGTGCAATGTTCTTTGGTGCCATTTAAGGTAAACACGACTATGTAAAAAAATCTTTTATTATACATAACACTGCTGTATATAAAAATAATTTTCATATGTATAATTATTGCAGACTTACAATATTGTAAAATGTAATATTGTACTTGGCAACAATACAGTTGGTTTACGTACTTAATAAAATGTATAGAAAATATAGCTTTTTTTTTTTTTTGTTTTCTTACATGTAAGAACGATGTCACTCTCGAGAGTAACTCTATCCCCATTATTTTACGAAAACAGTAAGTTTCACTCGGTCGGCTTGCAAAAACATTTGCATACAAGTCGCGTACGTGTATTTGACTGCTGAACCATGTATGTACATCATTCTTATTTCCTGCACGATTGAAATTAATCATGCGAGATGGCAGATGCAACAAGTAACAAATACATTGATCGTATCAATCCTCGCTGCTACAATCTTATTTTTAGAACGGTTAAAAATATTACTCGTTACGCAACGCCATTTTTATGCAGGCTTTTTCACAGTGGAACCGCTCAGAGACTTTCTTTTACTCCACGTTAGCAGTTTCGGGGGCGACAGAACCTGCTCCAGAAACATATGCCTTCTCTCCTTTAAATTCAAATCGCCGCCGCACAAGGACTCATCGTTCTCAAGGACATTCGAGTGAGATCTGTCGTTCTTCTCGTGGCTGGCTGCTCTAAAGGTCGCGGCAGGAGCTAAATTCTCCTTGTCGCACTTTGTACAATCGGACGACTTCTTCAAAATTACCGAGACGTTCCTCTTGGACGGGTCCACCTCTGAAGAGGCAGCGGACTGTTCGATCTTGATGGCGTTGCTCGGGGTGACGACGTAAACCAGCTGCGACTTGGACTCGAATTTCTCTTTCAACAAGGAGAACTTTCGCCTTGGGTAATTGATCGGCTTTCTACGTTTATCGTCCATCGTCTCCAGCTTCTCCCCACCGTTGTCGTCGGCGTTCAGCCTTGCAGCCGTGGAGCTAACGTTCGCAACGGTGAAATTATTATGTACAACCTTGACGTTCTCGACGGGTACCAACGGGCTCATCTCCACGTACAAGTCGTTCTCCTTCGAGTCGAATTCGTCCTTTCGACACGCGATCGGGCCGTTCTGTTTCTGCGGTTTCGCCTTGCTACCCAAGATCGGCGAGTCGGAGAGTATCGCGTCGATCAGAGGCGTCTTCTTGAACGACTCTATCGTCGTGCAGTATTTGACCAAGTCGCCGATTGCGTCTATCTCGCGTTTACCCCGTACTTGGATCGATTCCGACTCGTTGTCCAATCGGTTGATGTAATTTCTGTTGCAAGTGGCGGCGTCGCCGTTGAACAACGCCCTCGTCAGCTGCGCCCGTTTGATCAAATTTTTCGGATCGAAGTCCTCCCACTGGCTACCGGTGGTGTGATAGACGTGCCTCGGCGAATTCTCCGCCGTGTACCTCCTGATCTGATCTATCGTGCTGACCAACGTGCTGACCGAGTCGGAGCCGGACCGGCTGTACTCGAACTTCTCATCCGCCGCGATTTCGTCGTGCTCCTCCAAGATCGTGTCCAGCGCGAACATTCCACCTTTGTCGTCAATCACCACCGGCTTCGCGATGTACAGAGTCGGGTTTTGCTCGTCCATGCTGGACACTCTTTTCCCAGCGAGATCGTCGTTGTTGTCTATCAAATCGTACGTGAGCGTGTCGAGGTAATCGTCTTGCTTCAGGATCCCTCTCAGCAGCGAGCTGGCGCAGGTCGTGTCGGAAAACTCGGAGCTGTAAGTGGTGCCGGTGGTGGTGCTTGTCAGGGTGTCTCTCCTCCTGTCCCTGACGACGCTGTCGTCGTGGATGTAGGTCTCTATGTCCGTGTAGCCTTTCCAACTGCGAATACACCACGGCGGCCTGGCCACGCCCAGAGGGCAAACGTTCTCGTAGTCGTGGATCGAGGTGACGCAGCTCATCGTTTCATCCCTCTGTTGCAACTCCTTCGTCAACTTCTCCGTACTGGTGATCTTCTCGTTGAATGTCGTCGGCGTTTCCAGTCTCTCTCTCAACATCGCGATACTGTTCGCACGTCCCTCGCACATATTACCATCGCGGGGACGTTCTTTCAATTCGTCGCATTTCGTACTCGCCAGGTTCCTATTGGCCGCGACCTTCTCCTGCGCGACCTTATCCTCGTTCTCCATCTCGAGGATAAGCTGACTCGAGAAACAGATGCCTCGTCGCTTTTGCAACGGGAGACAGGCGTTTGGAGTCTCCGTCCTCGGTACGACATCCTTGTCCATGTCTAACAATCCGTGGGACGTTGGCAAACAGATGCCCCTGCGCTTCTGACGATGAATGTCCTTCTCGCTGGAGTCGTTGCAGTCGCTTTGAATCTCGAGGTACTCGCAGGCGACGTTGTCAGCGGCCACGGGGAACGTATTTTTCCCCGTCGACGCGGTCTCGTCCTTCGTAACGTTGTGCGCCGGCTCGCACTCGGAGACCAGGCGAATGGCAGTCGCCGCTGGTTCGCTCTCAATCTGGCAGGTTTGATTGACAACGCCGCTCTCCGTGCAGTCGGAATTTTGCACGATGTTGGTTAACAAGTACTGTTTGTCCGTCGTGATCTCCTCGGACGTGGCCTGTCGCGAATGATCGATAGAGCACGACGACGACGCGAATGAATTGGGATAATACTGTTTGAAAGATCTCGGTGTGGCAGCTTTGTTGGTTACGGGCACGGACTTTCCCTCGGCAACGTTAGGCAAACCTCCGACTCTCGACGGGTGAAACTTTCCATAGTAGAACAACATGCTCGTCAAGCCAATAATCATTCCTCCGATTATCAAACTCGCCATTACCGCCATCTCCTCGGCTTTTATCGCATCTTTGAAACATAATACAAACACGATCAAAAAGGCTATATTTTCTATCACAATGACAGAATAAAACACAAATACTCTGTACCGGGATCTGCCGACGCGCAAATTAAAAAAATCGAAACAATAAATAAATCCTATAATACAATTGTAAATACGCTCTTCCCATACAGTTGGGCAGAAATCTGTGTTTTGGAGGAGCACCCAAATGGTCATTGAAAGCCAGTGGAATCCTGTAACATTCAGAGTGGAACACGCACTACGTGAAAGACATAAATCTATTTTGAGCAATCTTGTCAGCTCGCTCTCACACTTACCAAGAAACAATAAGGACCATTCTCTCAAACAGACGGCTGTCAAAACCAGAACAGCTATCCTGGATATTAGCATTCCGGCACGCCAAAGACCCTGAAGTGTCAGTACTATCCACGTTGCTTCATTGTGGCCAGGATTTATTCTGTGCATGGCTTTTGTATACGTACCTACAGCCCAGCTCAATGAACAAAAGGAGACTATGGCGGATAAACCTATTTAATTATTTATTCAAAAATTTTATTAAGCGTCGTTGACTTGCCCGGCACTAAAGATAAGATTGTCATTTGTATTCGTTCAAACTGTTTTGATCAGTGACAGTGACAGTGGAAGCCATATTATTTTTAGCACTTCAAACACCCACCCTACTGGGAGAAGAGAACATTATTTTTAAAGTTTCAGCGCTGTAAGCTTCCAAATAGAATGCTTGAATAGTAACTGTGTAATTGGTTTCCAACGACAAAGCACCTTACAATCTACAGGAAGATACAATACTATCAATTATATATATCTGTATCCCTGACTCTGTTATCTGAAGGGGCGGGCCAAAGGATGTGAAGATATGCAGCCACTCAATTTCAATTTTCCTACATATTCTTTAAATCATAGTATTTCTGTGTCAAAAATTCTTTGCCAGTAACAATTTAAATAGCAAACAGTAGCACCACGTACACTATGCCAAGTTGAAAGTGAAATGTATGAACGTCTTTGCCAACATGTTCTCAGGACTACAAGTAAGTGGCTTTCTCATTTAATATAAATTATATACGTATGTTAGTATAAACAAGATGTTTTTATATTATACATGTACTATCTTCTTTTACAGAGACAATTTATATTATTAAAATTAATTATGATATTTGGCGTAACGTTCATGTTGTTTGTAATATTATTAAATTTACTATGTAACTCATGTTTACATGCAAGCAAACATGTGAAAATTGCAAATTATCTCAGTAGTGAAAATTACAAGCATAGTAATCTAGAGAGCAATAAATCTGTTGTATCCATGTTTTCCACAGAAGAAATGAAAAACATAAGAATGCAACTGAATTCTAGAAAAAATGAATTGGAGCAATATTGTAAAACCATTGGTAGAACAAGTTCAAACCTAGACAATGTGTTGTCAAACATGATTATTGATACGTGAGTAGTGCCCAATTTACTCTGTAGAATTTGTTACACTTTGCAACAACAAGGCAAATTTGTTGAATTTTACACTCCACAGAACACATGGATTGTCGTGGTGCCCTATTTATAAAGCAGCAAGTTCTACATGGATGAAGCATTTTGCTATACTTGGAGGTGTATTAACAGAATCAGCCATGGAATTAATACGCAAGAACATTTTACAGATCAACACCATTGTTAGAAAAGCATTTCCACGTGATCGAGATGTTAAAAAAGCATATCAGGTATGTGAATACACGAAAAATGCAAAATAACGCGAGAGATCACGCGTGATTGTTTTAAACATTTCTGTTGCAGAAATTAAACACGACGATAAAGTTTCTAATAGTGCGTCATCCGTTTGAACGTCTCGTATCCGCATACAGAGATAAATTAGAACATATAGAAGGAAGAGATTATTATTATAAAAGATTTGGACGTCATATAGCGCACAAGTACCATCGTTATAGAAAACCAAGCGAAACGAAATTAGAACCCACATTTGCAGAATTTCTTCGATTTATAGTGGAAGAAAAATACTTTGATGAACATTGGGCACCATTTATCGATACTTGCGAACCTTGTTTAATTCCGTACAATTACATTTTAAAATTTGATACTTTCGATAGAGATCAAAAGTTCCTGATACAAGAATTAGGTTTAAATGAATACCTGTATGAAAAAAATGACTTGAAAAATATAAATCCACGTGGAGTTACAACTACTGCTTTAGTTAAAGAATACATGCAAAACGTTCCTAGACCATTGCTCGACGAAATTAACAAAGTTTATGAAAATGATTTCAAACTTTTTTCCTATTTACCCATATGATAACACAAAATACTCAAAAGTAACAGTAGAAACAAAAGTGTGATAAGTGACTGCATTTAATTCTTATTAATACAAGTTAAGCAATAATAATCTCTGCCATAGAATTAACAGTTTTTAAATTTTTTAATTGAAATTATTTTATTTGTTCTTACTTGTCCATAGTGGTGTATAACGTAATACTGCCATGATATATAGTTGCAATATTAATTGTGGAGCAGCCCCCATAAACGACTCAAATAAATGCAACATACATATATCACTTTCCTGTCTATATACCCAATTCTTATCCTTCACAAATCGTTTGCTCCTTAATGAATATATCGTAGAACAAAGTAAAATTAAATACCTAGAAATAAAATTATTGACCCTGTCAGAAAAACAAAAACACTATCAACTGGCTAGTTGATAGAAACAAGCTTAACATAATACCTGTGTAATACTCCTAAGAATAAAAAATGCAATAACCAATGTATATTCTTAATGGAACCGTCGCTGTGATACCATCTCAAACTAAACATTTGAATAACGGCTGCAGGTAAAATTGCAAAGCACAAAGCAAAGCATCCCCAAACAAATTCGCCTTGCAAAAAATATCCCATAAATACAATACTATCTACAACAAAAATATTTCATAGCAACGTTTATACGTTACAAAATTTTTATTGTCATTTTTATTCCATTGTTCCAAACAGTACATCATTCACTTTCAACATGTATTCATCACTTGTATAAAAGTTCAAGTCCTGTAATGCGAGTGATTTTTAAAAAAGTGCTCTCAAGGAAAGTTTTTGCACACTGATTACATGTTACTATGTTACTTTATGCATGAAGAGAAGATTTACAAAAATTATGAACAATTTCGAAATGTAACTTTTATGTGATTACAATCGTGACACAAAACAATATACACAAATACGATGAATACATGTCAAATTGTAGCAACTATACAACATTCCACCTTGGATATGGAGAGTATTAACATACATCAACTCTATTAATTACACATTACTCTCTATACTTATTACAATAAGTATCAAGTAGGCAATTATTCTTTACAATTATTACAATGTATCCTTTAATAAATTTTCAGTACTTCTCATAGAAAGAAAGATATTTCATTACAAGGAAAATGCACAGTAAACATTTATTCTTTGTTCACCTGTTGCTATATCGATGAAAAAAAAACTGACAGAAGCGACATAGTAAAACAAGTCTAACAATTTGAATTGATAACATTCTATTTCCCTGTGCAATGTTATTGCCGATACATTTTTTTTCACAGTTTCGTAGCACGAAACATTATCACGTTTTAACTCTGCCGCCGCCATCTTCCCGGCCATTCTCAATTTAATTTCACGCAATAGACGAAAGAACGCGTTCCGAAATCAACTACATAGTTCCCACTTTCTTTTTTCTTTTTTCTTTTTTTTCATTTAGAATTATTTGTGTCATCAAGTACAGTATATATTCGGTGCATCATCAAATTATTCTTTCGAAATTAAATATAGAGAGTTGATTCGATTTATCGGAGGAAAATCATGAGCATACGCGTGTTTGAATTTTACATTCGTGCATTCAAGGATTGTATATATACATATATACATATATACATATATATATATATATATATATATATATATATGTATATACACACGCAGGCGCGTTACAGCACCTATGGCCTATGGCCTATGATTTTCAACATGTCGTTGAAATAAAATATGGCGAGCATCTGATGACTGGACGTATACGTACGGTCTGGTGCTAGTTGTTTTTTGCTGACATATTCACAAAATAAACGTTCTTCTGAGAATATGTCTACAGTTTAATTTTCAACGCAAATTGTACCGCAATATATATATGTCGAGAAAAGTAGTAATTTTAAATGTTAACCTCATAGGGGAAAAAAGTATTTGTCTCTATATAAATTGAGATTTCAAACGAAATTGGCGATGCCATTGATTTTCAAGTCGCGCTAAGTATTTTCAAAAGTACGGAGATCAATGAGAAAATATTGACAATATCTTTCAACTATTAAGAGATGATATGCCAGATATTTATGTTTGAAGCGTATCAGAAAGGCCTGTGAATCATTAAATAAAATTTCCTCACATTGTAAGTATCGAAGATAAAGTTATTGCTTGTTCTTAACTCTGTCAATTATCGTCAATGTTGTTATTATTTATGTTTTCAAAAGAAGGAACAGGAATGTTATGCTATTAAAAAGAAATCGGAACATCATGTACAGCTTTGAAGGAGACTACAGACGTAAACCACAACAAAATCTAGCAGGTGCAAGTAGAAGAGATGAGAAGTCGGTTCTGTTACAGCACGCCCAATTGGAACGTTTGAAACGGGAACAGCAGCGTAAAAGACACAATGCAGCATTGAAGATCCAGGCACTTATGCGCGGCTTCATAGTAAGGAAGCACATGAAAATAATTAAAAGGAAAGAATTCGATGAAGAGCAACAAATAAATAGCCGTAGAAATTTAAGTCTAGACGAACTAACAGTATATTTCCAAAAATTATTGTTCTTTTATAATCACACCTTGGATGCTAACAGACTTGTTTGGATACTTCAACATTTTTTAAAACATCAACAAGAAATCAAACAGAAATGTGTGAATTGTTCGGAATGGCTATGGAGGTTAAGGTAAGTCGAGTGTAAAAAAAGAACATGATATAATGAACATTGTTTGCCGTTTAATATAAATGAAATATATATACAGATGGATTCTTCACATGTGTATGCGACACAACTCGGAAGTTTTAATGAACGGAGCTTATTCATTGGCTATACCATTGAGAGCATTAGAAACATTTACAAGTCGAGAAGATGCAGAGAAAATTCTACATGAGAATAGTTATAAATATTTAGAAAACATTTTTATTTATTTGATGAAGCACAAATATTTTGATCAATTAAGGAAATTAATAGATAATAAAGTTCCATCTATGTTAGAACCAACGTCTGTTGCGCCGACGCCAATTTCAAAATGTTTAGTCGATATGATTAAACGACCGTTAGACTTAATTTCTTTTCTAGAACAAGAAGGCAATTTCTCTATGCTTGTTCTACAAGAACTTTGTAGAAGCATATTATCTTCTAAAATGTCTGATCCAGTAAGAATGTTTATCATTCCATCATTGTCGGAATTTGCAGAATTTCCGTATAATCAATTAATTGAGTGTATTGATAGAATTGAAATAGAACCAACGATAAGTTTACTTTATTCCATCTTATCTCTGGAATCGAATAGAATTTGTAAGTGTACAAATTAACTGTTCACTTCATAGGAAATACAGAAACGAACATTAATGAATGAAATTTTCCTTTTATTACAGCTACATGCAAATCTAAAGATGTTCTTATTAATTATTTGCAAGTTCTTGCATCTATGAGTTCAACCATAATACCGTTAGCCGTCGAAGAAAACATCGAACAAGGGAGCGATTCGGACTCGGAGTCTACTGCAAATATGATTGATCAAGATCAAGCTGATATTTTGCACGAATGTATAGAAATGTTAAACGAAGAGCAACGTGTTCAAGGGATACTCTTAGCGGTAGATCGTAGCAAAGATCCAGAAGTACTGCAACCATTGTGTCAACTCTGCCATCATTTGCTAATTACCGACAAACTGGCCATTCATAAGTATAAACTGTTATATATGCTCGCTTTTAAGCCGGCGTTTCTAAAGAATTTATGGTCTGCTTTATTGTCGGCTTGTCAAATGTCGCTGTTTGGTGGAGCTACCCCCCTCTTGCAAATTATATCACGAGGAATTGGTCTTTCTGCCGAGGATACGAAAAAAATAGTCCCACTGTTAGCTGTATTTTGTTCGCTGTTCAGTCTACTTATAGCAACGTTACACGACACGGAATTCTTCACTCAAGATCAATCATTGGACATCAACGGGCAACAAACGATGCCGTTTACTACTTCGGAATTGGTATTGCTGTCGAGTCATTTGAAGGGCGTTTGCTTAGGTTTAGTAGAGCTTGCATTCCCCGACAGTCGACCGACCGTACGAGACGACTATAAGAGGGCCGTTCTTGGACCATCGTGTTCCCTCCGGAACCAACAGGACACGCAAATGTGGACCCATTTGTTCAAAGTAACGGTCGGTTTATTACGTCAGCTGCACATGCGAGACTTGAGACGGCAGTTTTGTCCGGAAGGGCACTGGATAGCTTCGAACATTGTAATACCAATTGATAAGCCTCAAGATTTCACATTTCGCAGACGTAGATTGAGGGGGTACATCCCATTTCAAGGATTGCGAGTGTTCACTCGAGAAGAGTTGGAGGAAGGGCCACCTCTCTCCGCAAAGGAAGTTCGGACGTTGACGCTCCTTCGCGAAATACCATTTGTCGTACCGTTTAATAATCGAGTAGTGGCGTTTCAATCGTTGATCTATCGAGATAAAACGGAACAACAAGGTGAACTGACGCACTTCATGCAAGGGCCATCGATACAAATATCGGTAAGAAGAAACTATCTCTACGAGGACGCGTTTGAGAAATTATCGCCGGAGAATGAGCCAGAATTGCGATTAAAAATGCGCGTACAGCTTTTCAATACAGCTGGTTTAGAAGAAGCTGGTGTAGACGGTGGTGGTCTGTTTAGAGAATTTTTATCGGAATTGTTAAAAACAAGCTTCGACCCTAACAGAGGCTTTTTCAGGCTCACCAAGGATAATATGCTGTACCCAAATCCTACAGTACAATTATTGGTTGACGATTTCCCGAAGCACTATTATTTTATCGGTAGAATTCTTGGAAAAGCTTTGTACGAGAATTTATTAGTCGAACTTCCGTTCGCAGAATTTTTCCTATCAAAGATCGTTGGTCGTCAATCAGATGTTGATGTTCATCATTTAGCTTCCTTAGATCCGATTATGTATAGGAATCTTCTGTACCTAAAAAGTTACAAAGGCGACGTTGCGGATCTTGGCTTGGATTTCACCGTATTGTCCGATGAACTCGGTGAAAGGCGAATCGACGAATTAAAACCAGGCGGTGCCAATATTCCTGTTACAAATCACAATCGTATCGAGTATATTCACTTGATGGCCGATTACAAGTTGAACAAACAGATTAGAGCACAGTGTTATGCGTTCAAGCAAGGCATAGGTAGTGTGATCCCTCTGGATTGGCTTCAAATGTTTAATAATAAGGAGCTACAAGTTTTGATATCCGGTGCGCAAATTCCAGTCGACGTGAACGACTTAAAATTGCACACCAACTACACAGGAGGATATGCACCTGATCATCCGACAATCACTGCGTTTTGGAAAGTTGTTAATGAATTTAACGACCAGCAAAAAGGACAGTTACTCAAATTCGTTACGAGCTGCAGTCGACCGCCTTTACTTGGATTTAAGGTACAAAGCGGTTATTTCTTTTTTGATGACTAATCAATAGGTACGTGTGTACGTGTACAAAAAGGTGAATATATATATAAGTATATGTTAATTCTTTTCTAGGAACTTGATCCACCTTTTTGCATTCAACATGCCGGCAGTATTGATCGCTTGCCGACTTCCAGTACCTGTATGAATCTGTTAAAGCTACCAGAGTTTCCAGACGAGAAAACTCTACGCGAGAAACTTTTATATGCGATACAAGCTGGTGCGGGTTTTGAATTGAGTTAAGCTCAGTTTTCTTTCCTATTTTTAAGCGAGTCCTTTTAGTTAAATCGGTGATACCTGATTGTATATAAATTGTAAGTGTAATTAACATTAAGCACGTATATTTGAGAACAAACTACGAATGCGAGAGTTGTCATAATTCATTAATGAATAAGCGATTCGACTCGATGTTAATTAAGTAAGCTTTGAATGTAATGTGTTTATATATAACAGCAAGTAAGGACAAAATACAGATTTCGTTTGAACCATTTTTTTTTTTCGTCCGTTAGAGGGCAGAATAACTTGAGAAATTTTCGTCGGATCAGGCAATAAACATATAAGATTGTAAGGAGGGGCCAATTAATTAGCGGTAACGTCTGTTAAGGAGAACAACTATCGATATAGCGGAGGAATATGTATCGTTTGTAAAAATATGTTACCTTATCCTACTCGATATGTACCAACTTATGTGCATACATGTATACATATACATATAGATTGATATACGTATATATACACGTACGACGCATGTATTTTAATTGTTATAACTTTTCTGCCCTTGGCCTATAACTGTAAATTGTGTATATTTTTTGTATTCCATCATAATTACCAACAACTATATATCAATATTAAATATACATGAGAGAGTAGAATGTATGTATTTATGAATTCGTTAATTTCGTGTAAATAATAAAAAAATTCTGAAATGTTACGTACATTTATTACAAAAGACGTAATTTCAACTTTTAGAACAACGTTTTTTTACGTTTCAATAAAGGCTGTACACAGTGATGGATAATGTCACTTTAAAATGTTACAAACTTCAACTCAAATTCGTCCAGACGGGAATGAATTACGATCAACCGTATTGTATATCAGAGACTTCAAATCGTTCACCGAATCATGCTTTCATACAACGTTCGACCTTACATATGTGTCTATAAAAATGGTACACGCTTTTAGTGTTAAAGCTTATGTCATTTGTGTAACATGGCGTCGAACGAGATTCGCAGTTTTCAGAAAGTTTTGGAGTACAAAGTTTACAAATGCTCCAGCTTCTCCTCGACTTATATACCAGAGTAAGCATTCCGCCAATACTCGAGCAATTTCCCTTTCAATCACGATTTTGTAATTACGAGGTAGAAAACGTTACACGGTTATGACTTCCTAACCTAGAACAACGGTTATGTCGAACGATAAGAACCATTATACATGGAATTATGGGACGAACAATTGCGTTAATTACGCCGGATTCTTTACCAAGCATTAAATTGACATTTTCTGTTTCTCTTTTAGAAATATCCTTCTGGATAAACCGTCAGATCAGACATCGCGCTGGTCTTCTGATATTGACACTTATCCACAGGTAAACATTGCTCAAAAGTAACACAACATATAATAATAATAATAATGACAATAATAATAATAATAATAATAAAAAACTGTTACAAAACTTATAGACGTATTCAAATTAAGAGTCTCTTTTTAATTATGTTAGGAAAAAATTTAATATTTTATGTTGCTATCAATTGATGTTCCACGACCAATGTGTACAGTAGATTGTATTCAAATTTTTTCAGTTTCTTGTATTAAAATTACGATTTCCTTCGATTATAAAAACAATTACGTTTGGTAAATATGAAAAAACACATGTATGTAATATAAAAAAATTCAAGCTATATGGTGGTTTAGAGGTAGAGAATATGATGGAACTTCTAGAAAAGTAAGTGCGATGAAAAGTGGCAATTATGTGTATTTGCATATTGATAACCAACTGCCCATTTTAGTGCATTGAAAAATGATTCAATACCGGAAACTTTTGATTTGAAACCCACAATAGGAAATGAAGACAATTATTTTCCAGTTAAATACATAAAGATTGTTCCATTGCAATCTTGGGGTCCTAGTTTTAATTTCTCTATTTGGCATATACGGCTAACTGGCATTGATGACTTTGAAATTGTAAAACCCAGTATTGAATGGTTTAATGCGGTAAATATAAAACAAAATATTTAGCTAAATAATAATATTTCTTATGATGTTTATACTTGAAGTACATATTATAGACATATGTTTTGTGCAAATATATTACAGTACCGTCAAAAAGAAATAATAAGGCTGTGTATGAAGCACTTTAGAAAACTTGAACAGTCTGAAATTGTAGAAACTTTACAAAGAGTTACTGGTGTTCCACTTGAAGATCCTAAACTGACTGGATTGTACGACTTGTTGGTTACAAAGGGTGATTATTTACAAGCTGAATACTTCATGAGTGATGCTCTAACGAGTGAGTATTTTTTTTTCTTGTTTGCTGTCTGTTTTTTAATATCATGACACGCATTTTTAGAAAGTAATATGATTTATAATACAGTGGGTCTTTTAAATGACTATATCAATGCTCAGACTTATAGAGCAGTTTGGACTAAGTTATCGTCCAATGATAGTAAACCAGGAATGAGAGGAGGTCACCAAATGGTGCTTGACCCAACTGCAGAACTTCTTTATCTTTTTGGGGGGTGGGATGGCAATCAAGATCTTTCAGATTTGTGGGTATATAATATAAATTTTAACAAATGGACTATTATATGCAAAAATACGGAAGCCGTGGTAAGTTGACAAAGTAGAATATACATTATTCGACGGAGAATTTAAATCTTAAATTATAGGGCGGTCCAAGCGCGAGATCTTGCCATAAAATGTGCCTTGATCCAAAGCGTAGACAACTGTTTACTCTTGGTAAATACTTGGACGCAGAGTACAGAACGCCGGAAAATTTAAAGAGTGATTTTTTCGTATATGACATCGAATCGAACAATTGGACACAAATATCAGAAGACACAGCCGCCGTAGGAGGACCTCAATTAATTTTCGATCATCAAATGTCCATGGATATCGAGAAACGCACAATTTACGTATTTGGCGGTCGTGTTCTTGTTTTGCCAGCAAAGTGAGTAAAACAATATCTGCAGCTGTATCAGTAGCGTTTTAACACGTTTATTTAATCTACAGTTCCGAGGAACACGGTATGATAACAAATTCAATTGAACCAGTTTTTTCTGGATTGTATTCTTACCACGTACCAACTAGTACTTGGCATATACTTGCTTGTGACATTGCTAGACCTTACCCTCCCAATGTACCGATTATTCGATCCAGAGCTGGTCATTCTATGTTGTTTCATCCTGTATGTATGATGCATAATATTGTACGACGTGTATCATGGATGTACTGTAATTTAAAAGTTTCTTCTTAATACAGGGATTACGGAAATTATACATTTTCGCTGGTCAGAGAGGTAAAGACGATCTTAGCGATTTCTTCACGTATGAGGTAGATACACATCGATTTGAACAAATTTTCAGCGATTTCGGTCCTAAAGATTCGTATCAGGTACCGGCTGCTGGATTTACGCAAAGAGCCACGATCGATCCCGAATTGGGAGAAATATATGTTTTATCGGTTTGTGTCGCATAATTATTTTTCTCCATCATATCCGTAACACAAATAATAATCACAATTAACAATTATATTAATTAATACGAATTTTAATTACCATTTATTACAGGGCTTAAGTAAAGATAAAGGTAAAAGATTTGATAGTGTTCAAAATTCCCTTTGGGTATATAGTATTAAGAACAGCACCTGGTCTTGCATTTACCGAAATGACAATGTTGGAGAAAAATATTGGAGCAAAATGCAAGATTACGAACCATGCCCACGATATGCACATCAATTGGTTTATGATTACGTGAAGAAGGTTTGTTGTATATTACTTACGAAAAATTGTTCTGTCAGTGCAGCACATAATAATGGCGTTGTATAATGTATTATTAGGTTCATTTTTTATTTGGAGGAAACCCCGGGAGATCCTGTCTTCCAAACTTACGTCTCGATGATTTCTGGCAATTAAAATTATGCAGACCGTCTCATGAACAAATCCAAAGGAGATGCAAACTACTTATTCGGAAGTACAAATTCAAAGAGCTAGCTTTGAACAATAGCATCGACGCGCTCGAATATTTACAGACCAAAGTATCAGAAATTATCGATCATAACGATATGGAACAAACGAAAGAGGTAGTAACATTTTTTTTAATCAGTAACGAATGAATACTGAATACACGTTGCCAATGTTGCCTCTTTACATGCATTTCTTCGTTACAGTTTCAATTGTTAACATCCCTTCTGTTCAAAGAACAAAACTTAAGAGAAGCCAGATATTCAGATAGTTCAAACGCCGTATTAGGGAATGTAGTTGACATGGATACAACGTCGTGGTGTTCGACTATGCGTAATATTCATACTTTGAGAACTGAATTATACGATAAACTGACAGAATTTTTTCCCGAATCATCGACACAACCCCGTGCTAATTTGATCGATCTTTTGCCATTGTGATCCAGCAGTAATTAAAATCCAACAAAGAATGTTTAAAAATGTAAGGCAAAGAGATTCCTTTCATTTTCTTGTAAAGACATTAGCTGTGATATCAAATCAATTGTATCTTTAAAAGGAAAACGTTATTTTTATAGTGTAATTCTTCGTATCGTTTTGAAAGGAGAAGAATTTTCACAAGGCGTGTGGCCCACCTTCCTAAAATACATAAATATGCAACTTGATTTCTTTTACATAAAGGATAAGTTGGTAAAAAAAAGGAAAAGATACGTTAACACATATTTCACCGTGATACATTTAAGCGAGGAGTTAAACGAAGGTTTATCCTTTACATCTTTTTCTTATTGAGTTTTCGTTTGCATTGGACTATTCTAACTATTTTCATCAGATTTGTTACATTTATTTGCAAGTCTTATTTCATAAAACACAAATATTGTTACACGCCGTTCAAATCGGTTTTCACTATCAACAAATTGTTGGAATTGTTAGGTCGACATGTATTCACGATTTGTTCATAAACACAAAGTAAAGTCATTAAAAAATGACTAATTAAAAAGTTTTCTCTATCCAATGTGTATATATACTGAAGGGATGCTTTACAAACTTATTGATGAAACGAAAACTCGTTAAACGTCGTTTAACATTAATGAGAAATTGCGACAAATAAGACGATTCATTAGAAAATGTATATTCCTCTATTTTTCTGGCTTCGCTTTCTTCGTTGTTGAAAATATTTTATACGGTGTACATTGTTATTGAAACATCATTTGTAAATCATGCGAAATAGTTCGAGCATTAGCATTATCACTTATATTCGTAATAAAAATTTACTATACATATTTCCGTGATAAATGTTATAAAGCTTAATGACAGTAACATGTTGTGAATCTTAGTCGAATTTTTTGTTCATATTACGTATGTACATCTGCAATATATTTCATCGTAATGCTACGTTTACTCCTATGTATATCGCTATTTAAATAATCAGTCATCACGAAGGAAACGCGCCAACATTTTTTGTTTGTGATAAAATTAGTATAAAAAGCATCACGTTTGTTTGTCACCATCTTGTATATATTCTATGACTATAGGAAGTAATACCTAAAGTTATCATTATTGTTAATCTTTTATATTATAAGCGTTATTCGATGACATGCGCGAAACAACTTGTACATAATGCTGCTTTGTCCATATATTTGTGTAAACAGTTATTTGTAGCATTATATATACATATATATAAGATACGAACAGCGAGAATGTGATTATATGTGATCATCAATTAATGTGACTAATACACCATACATACAATATGAAGGTAATTCACAGAAGCGATATCTTTGTACATAACTTTATGCGCTAGAGAACAAAACGACTGTACAATTCGATTGTAGAATAAGAAGTGGGCGAATCGTTACAAAGAATGTTTGAATAACGAAAAAAGTTTAAAAAAGTTTTTTTTTTTTTTTTTTTTTTTAATATTTTTCAACGTCACGATTTTCAACGAAAAACGGGACAGGATAACTTTTGGTCAGAGCATGACTCATAGTATGCGTGTGTAGCAAAAGTATGTATCTTCGACAGCTTACAAGCTATCGTTCAGATCTATTTTATACGCGACAGAGAAAGTTACGATTCGACGGTAATGTTGGTCGTGTAACACGTTCAATGAAAAGAAAACGTTACTTCCAGAATGTTATACATATATATATCAAAATAGTAAATATCAGACTTATCTCAGGATTTTATCCTATCATTTTATTGTGAAATTCGACAAGAACGTCGAATAGAATTCTAAAGACGTGATATTCGAAGTTCTAGTCAGCTGATGTGCGATTACGGAAAAGCGTTAAAAGAAAAAAATATGTTATCATTGGACATTTGCCAGCAGAAACGATAAAAGTATAATAATAATAATAATTTATAATAATTAAGAATCATACACGGTATTGTCATATTTTATCCTGTTTGTGCGTGTATCTATTCGATTCCTGATTGAGAAACAAGTATCTCAGAATCATGGAGGATCAAATTGTGCCAGCATTCGATATGAATGAAAATTGGTAATTGGATCATTCAAATTTTTTTTTTTTTTGCTACAAATTTATAGCCAAGATATTAAACACAAAGAATTCTAGTTTACACACGTTTACTAACGAAATCTTGTTTTCAACGCGTAGTTTTATTCAATTCGATTAAAATCTATAGCAAACGTCTAGACCTTATGCGCTGTGTAACCAAAATTGGAATAATTGAACAGGAATTTTATTGTTCGAACAATTTTAACCATAAATGTTCATGGTGTCTCTTTTGGGCAGTACTTATATACATTACATACATATGAAGCACACAAAAGATAAAATAAGAAAAATTTTAGACGAGCATCTTGAAAATACCCTTTGCATTGCCACTACCTGTATCAAACCAGATATTGATTGAACTGGTATCTAAAAAAAAACAAGCTCAGTGTTCTCATTAAAAATTTTCATATTTTTTAAATTAATATAAATATATTTTTCTAGTCAATGTATCGTTTCATTAGGTAAAAGTTGTTACAATATCTTCATAAATAATATAGGTTAGATTGAACCGAAAAAATATGTAAACTATGTACAACCCTCGACAAATTTTTATTGGCCAATAAGGCCGAGAAGATCTAAAAGGTTGGACATCCATGATCTATAATGAGTGCATGCGCACAGTTTGATCATCGAAAATTTTATTTCCCGAAAGCACACCCTGTTCAAGCGCGTGTTTCATTGTTTGTCATCTTCGATCGTCTGTTTTGTTTTTCTTTCCAGATATATATAATCGTCTCATTGCCAACGACTACATGCATTTATTTGAAATCATTACCGTTTGTTACATAGTACTATAATAATTGTAAGGTAAAAACTCGTGTCACGTATATGTACATACAAAATAAAGGTCTTTTTGCAAGAATTGTCTTGGCGCAGCAATTTGAATTACACCATGCACGCGAGACATTTATAATTTGCGACAAAATAACTTCCGGCAAGTTCAAAAAAAAACAAGTGGACGACGTTCAACGTCGATTTTCAACTCGACAGTTGCGACAAGCAGCAATTCAACGCGTGCGAATTAAAAAGGAGGAAAAATGCCAGACGAAGAGGAAAGTATAATAATATACGAAATAGCTACACCACCGAACGACAATTATTATCGCCGGAATATCGAGCATTTCTCGAAAAATGCAAACAGACTTCGAAAGGTACGTCGATTTATTTATTTTCTTTCTTCGTTCAATGTCGGATCGAAATGAAAAGGCACGACAATCCTTTGAAAGATCAACAACGAGATCGAAGATGTGCGAAATGTATTGGAACTGGCGGTAACGAAGTCGAAGATTGATCATGAGAGGAGAAAAAACAATTGTCAAGTCACCAACGAGTGTCAACTGGAACAATCTCAAAGCTTCTACTTTACGAAGATGAAAGAGTTCGCAGATAAACTGCCCGCGTATACTCTGTTGCCTGTACGTGACATGTTGAAACGCATTGTAGCGTAAGGTATAATAAACGTAACGTATGTTTTCAACCTGTTTAGGAACAGGAAGAGACTATACGAAATTTAGTTTCGTTCAGTTTACGACGCAAGTACGAGAGAATCTTCGAAGAACAAATGCTGGAAACGAAGACACGTTATTACGAAGCGATGCACGATCTGGCCGTAAAAAGGGTGATAACGATCGAATGCCAGGATGTGTGTAACGTGGGTCTGGAACGTGTCCTTTCGTACAAGCTCGCTGGACGGACAGAGTTTTATCCAAAGTATTTGAAAAATCGTTGTGCAGTCAGAAAAAAGTACTACTTATATCACAGACTGATGAGAAGCATCGTTGCGAAAGCTTGTTCCCTCATGCCAGAGTGGATCTGTAATTTCGGACGTTATCGATTGGGATTTGATTATCTCGATTTCAACAGGTGCAACATATATATATATATATATATATATATATATCTACTTACATTTATTCGAGAACAATTTTTCTTTTTTTTTTTCAAAACTAACGCTTGATTTGAATATTATCTGTCCTCACAATTTCGTATAGAAAATAGTATAATAAAAGGAAGCTTTTGTTTGCATATTTTATGAATGTCTAAAAATACATTGCTTTGATTTATATAAATTACTTTGTAAATTTTTAACAAAAACTAAATTGGTAAATTGGTCATTCTGACCAAGTTGGTTCTAGCGTTAATAGTCTTTCGTGATGAACGATCGTAGATTTCTGGATTTAGTGGAAAACGATGTGAAAAAAGGCGGGCTGATCGTCAGCAGTACCTATTACAGCGACATTGTACGATTGGTTTCGCAGCCGCGTTACCTTCACGACGTTCGTCCACCCTCCTTGCCAGACTTTCTTAACTGCGCCAACAATTTACTCGCCCTTCGAGTGGTGACGTGCATCATGGACACCATTGAACATTTGCTACAAACTTTCGAAGATAAACGAACCGTCCCTTTATTCAAGGTATGACAATTTGTTCGAATATTTTCAGTTCTCACTGATACCTGCTCGTTGCTGCCAACATCAAAAAGCCAGATTTAAGTTCATCGTTCAAATAGTCGTCGACTGGACGAGGGAAGATAATATATTTCTGTCGTGCAGTTGCAGTTGAAATGCGAGAGCAACGAGCTGTTTCTCAGTCCAACGATGGACGAGATTTGCCGCGCGTTTCAAGGCATAGTTGAACAAATTAGCCACGTCGGTCAGCAATTACCACCGCTCGACTCCTGGGTCGGCGTGAAGATTCAACAGGAGTACATTAAAGTTGCATTGCCGGAATTATACCTGGAAGAGGTGCATCGACGTATGGTGGAAACTTTGCAACGTACTTTCCAACCGTTCAACAGTTACGTGGAGAGACTGTACAGCAAGTTCAAAGTTGTTTTCGATCCAGAAACGCGCAGAAATATCGTTGCTTATGCCAGCACGGGGCGCACGTTTCAAGAGTATGTGTCCAAGGTCGAGGACCTTAACCAATTCATTCGGGAAATAAATGGCATGGTAAATCATTACAATACGTACACACCAATTCTAAAACATGGGTGTCCAACTTTTTAGATCTTCCAGCTAATCAACAAAAAATTTTTTTTTTTTTTTTAATTTAATTTAATTTCATTCTTTGTTTCAGTTTACTGTAACCTATATTATTTACGAGAATGTTGAAACAATTTTCATAGTGAAACGATACATTGACTTTTTAGAAAAATATGTTTATATTAATTAAGAAAATATGAAAATTTTTAATGAGAACACTGAGCTTGTTCAATCAATATCTGGTTTGATACAGATAGTGGCAATGCGAAGAGTATTTCCAAGATGCTCGTCTAAAAAAATTTTTCTTATTTTATTTTTTGTGTGCTTTTCATATGGGACAAAAATCTGTTTGCAAATATTACTCCCCAAAAGGGACATCATGAACATTCCTGGTTAAAAAATTATTCAAAAGATAAAATTCTTCAATTCAATTATTCCAATTTTTGTTGGACACGCCTGTTTTTTAAAAAAAACAATTTACGAAACTGCAGTTTCATTGCAGCCGAATCACGAATATTTTTCGATCGGTGTGATTCATCAAGCGGCGGCGAAGGAAGGTCTCCTCTATTACACGGAAGAAGTGCGCAGGCTGATCATCGAGGAATTGGTGAAAAGCCATCGAGCTTACAATCTTGAAATCTGTAACACGTTCGAGACGATAAGAGAGCGTGCTTCAAACGTTCCCAATACCACTAAAGAATTACTCGAATTGGGTAAATTTTTTAAATTCTCTAAAGAAATAAAGAATTCTAAATTCTAAAGAAGGGGAAAGAAGATTAAACGAAGTAATCTCGTTACAGGCGAGTACATGTTGTACGCTGCATCGACGTTGATGAGATCGCTGGAGGAAAAGATTACCTCCTCGTTGCGCATGATGGCGTTGCTAATCGGGATGACGACATTGACCAAAGACCACATCGAGTTGAATAACGCGACCATTCATTGGTTAAAGCGGATAAGACCGATATTCGAGCACAGCAGCGCCACCTACGAGCAAATTAAATTTGAACTGGAGGAGAAACTTCAGCAAAAAATCGAGGAACTAAACGCGGACGTAGAGATCATGTTTCCCAGGTAAATCGTTGTAAGAAAAGAGAATTAACGCAGTCTTGAATCCCCTATTGACAAACGTACGTATGTACAGGGTGTTCATAAAGTCTCTTTACAATTTTAAAAATTTATTACAAAGGCAAACGAAAAGACAGATGAGTGGAAATTATTACAAAATGGGACGTATATATTTAAGTTTTTTTTTATCTTATTTAATATACCTCTATATGGTGTATTATTAAAACACCATCATCAGTTGCATAAAGTACTATGGTGTAATAAATTTTGAAATTAAAGAGACTTTATGGACACTCTGTATATATATATGTATTTCGATATTGCATTATCATTTTTCTGTGTCTAGATTGAAAATAATGAACGATATGGATGACGCAGATCGCATAAGGGAGTACATAGAATACATGCGAAAGTTCGCACGCGATTTGGATCGTATGGATGAGAGAGTGACGTGCATCAACGACGAGGAGAAACTTTTCAAGTATCCCCCCTCCGTATATCCACGCATCAACGAATTGAAGGAGAACATAATGCCGTATTACGAATTAATTTATCGCGGTTATCAGTGGCAAAGGCATCGAGATGTTTGGCTAGATGGCCCGTTTGAATACTTGGACTCCAACAGCATTGACAACACGACGAGCGACTACTTCACTAATTTGAGCAAAATCAGCAAACAATACCGAACGAGAATAAAGCTGTTAATTGCAATGAATTATCCGCACAGGTATATAATGGGCAAAAAAAAAAAAAGAAAAAAAAAAATCAAATGACGTTGAATCAATGTCGAGGATTTTGATCGATATTTTTTCGTCAGTTTTGTAGGATCACTGGACGATCCGGATCCTTTTCAACAACCGGCACCTTTGAAGCTTTGCCATCAACTGATCGAGGACATCAAGTGGTTCAAGGTGACTACTTTAAAAAGCGAAGCAAAAGCCGGCTGTTTTGTAAAAACGCCCCCTCACCCGTTCTTTCTCTGTTGCTGTCAACTTTGCAGCAATACATACCGTTGCTGGCTGTTTTCCGAAATTTCGCGATACGTCAGATTCACTGGGACGAAATGTCGGTTATAGCCGGTTTCGATCTCACCCCGGATGCTGGCACCACGTTTCGAAAAATCATAAGCATGGATTTAATGGCGGACTTGGAAAAGTAATAGAACTACTCCTTTAACGTATTATTACGAGCTATTAGGTATGTCTCTCTTTCCCTCTCTGTTTCTCCACATCAGGCAGTTACATCTGAGTCTATGTTCGATCAAGGTACGAAACGATAAGCATAAGCGCGACGAAACAACTCATGCTCGAGGAACTATTGGCAAGGATGATCGGCGAATGGGACGACGTGTTGTTCACCATTATGCCTTACAAAGACTCCGGTGTGAATATTTTAACGCAATTGGACGACATCCATACTCTCTTGGAGGATCACATCGTGAAAGTTCAAGCGATGCGAGGCTCTGCGTTTGTCAAACTCATCGAGGAGGAAGTGAAGAACTTTTACGTTCTTTTGCTTCGAATACAGTCGACGATCGACGAGTGGGCCAAAGTATTGTCTTCAGAAGCTTTAGAAGATTTCTGGCACGACTGACCGCATAACTTTTCACACGTTATTCAAGGTCCAAGTACAATGGATGTATCTGTTGCCCATCTTTACCAGCAAAGACATCGTAGCGCAGTTGCCCGACGAGGAAGTACTGTTCGCTCAGGTCGACAGGATCTTTCGTAGCGCGATGAGCGGCGTTTCGAGGGACCCTCGCGTGCGAGAGACCGCCGGTTCTGTAAGTGTCACGCATTTTGAAAGAAAGAAAATGCCCAAAATAACGCCAACGTTTACACAGGTGGGTCTTTTAGAAATCATGCAGGAGGCTAACGAATTGATGGAGAAGGTGAACGACGGTGTATTGAACTACTTGGAGTTGAAGAGGCTCTTCTTCCCGCGATTCTTCTTTCTGAGCAACGACGACATGCTGGAGATACTGTCCGAAACGAAGGAGCCCCTTCGAGTCCAACCGCATCTGCGAAAGTGCTTCGAAGGCATAAACAGACTCCGGTAAACTATCCGTAGACAGACAGACACGAGACGAGAAAAAACGAAAAATTCACCGATTTTTTAACCCGACAGATTTAACGAAACAATGGACATATGTTCGATGTTCAGCGAAGATTACGAAGAGGTTCGAATGCAAGAGGAGATTTCGACCGCTGCCGCGAGAGGTTGTGTGGAACGTTGGCTCCTCCAAGTATGCGATCGCCACTTATTTCGATTAGAAAAAAAAAAAAAAAAAATTTGAACCACTTGCTTCGAGGGGCTGTAGGTCGAAGACCAAATGGTGAAATCCGTAAGGCACGAGATCCAGATGAGCTATCTCGACTACGAAGTCACTAAGCGCGTCGTCTGGGTACGCACGTGGCCTGGCATGGTCGTCTTGTGCGTTTCGCAGATTTACTGGAGCATGGAGGTTCAAAACAGCCTCATGACCCACATTCCCTCGACGATGGAAGCGCTACATACGAAGCTTGGATCTCAGATCTTAGAGATGGTTCAGTTGGTCAGAGGTACGAGGCAACGGCCAAACAGCTATGAAACATAAATAAAATACATTTTCTTACTCAGGGCAACTGTCGAAACAAAATCGTACCACGTTGAACGCTCTCATCACTCTGGACGTGCACGCTATGGACGTGGTGAAGTCGCTGATCGACAAGAGGATCGTAAACGAGACCGACTTCGACTGGCTGGCGCAGCTGCGTTACTATTGGCAAGACGACGTGTTTATAAGCATTATATACACGAGCGTAGCATACGCGTACGAGTACGTTGGAAACTGTCCTCGCCTCGTCATTACTCCTTTGACGGACAGGTGAGTAAAAAGAAAAAGAAAAAAAAAGAAAGAAAGAAAGAAGGTGTCGTCGATTGAAATTTAACAGAATCTCTCTGTGTCTACACAGATGTTACCGCACCCTGATCGCTGCGTACTCGTTGCACCTGAACGGAGCGCCGGAGGGTCCGGCCGGCACCGGTAAAACGGAAACGACAAAGGACCTGAGCAGAGCCGTGGCGGTACAGTGCGTGGTGTTCAACTGCTCCGAGGGTCTCGATTACAAAAACATGGGCAAGTTCTTCAAAGGTCTTGCCTCGTGCGGCGCTTGGTCCTGTTTCGACGAGTTCAACAGAATCGAGCTGGAGGTGTTGTCCGTGGTTGCCCAGCAAATACTCTGCATCGCCCAAGCGGTTCGTGCCGCGTTGGACACGTTCGTCTTCGAGGGCACCGAGCTGAAACTGAACCCCGCCGTTTACGTCTGCATCACGATGAACCCCGGCTACGCGGGCCGCACCGAGCTGCCGGACAATCTGAAAGTGCTGTTCAGAAGCGTGGCGATGATGGTGCCGGACTACGCGATGATCGCCGAGATATTCCTCTACTCGTCCGGTTTCAGCAGCGCTCGAGAACTCTCCACGAAAATCGTCACGACGTACAAGCTCTGCTCCGAGCAGCTGTCCGCGCAGTCTCACTACGACTACGGCATGCGAGCGGTGAAGACGGTGCTAACAGCGGCGCAGAACATGAAACTGCAGCTGCCGGACGAGGACGAGTCGGTGCTTCTGCTTCGATCCGTCATCGACGTCAATTTGCCAAAGTTCTTGGCCCACGACGTCCCGCTGTTCGAGGGGATCGTCACCGATCTGTTCCCCGGGCTGCAGCTACCGTCGCCGAGTTACGACGTGCTCTTAGCAGCGGTGCACGAGGTCGCCGGCAAGCGGAACCTGCAGCCGGTGGACGGCTTTCTCCTGAAGATTATACAAATGTTCGAAATGATGATCGTTCGTCACGGATTCATGCTCGTTGGAGAGCCGTTCGGCGGGAAGACGTCGGTCGTCCGCACTCTGGCCGACGCCCTCACCTTGATGCACGCTCGGGGTGACAAGGGTGGTGCCACGACCAAGTACCACACCATCAATCCGAAATCTATAACGCTGGAACGGCTGTACGGGTACTTCGACCCGGTCTCGTCCGAGTGGACGGACGGCGTATGCGCCGTTGTGTTCCGGGCGTACGCCGGCGAGGACACTCCCGACAGGAAGTGGATCGTGTTCGACGGGCCGGTCGACGCGCTGTGGATCGAGAACCTCAACACCGTTCTCGACGACAACAAGAAGCTTTGCTTGACATCCGGCGAGGTGATACAGATGTCCAGCGTGATGTCGATGATCTTCGAGACGATGGACCTGGTGCACGCGTCGCCGGCCACCGTCTCCCGTTGCGGGATGATATACGTGGAGCCGCGCGTCCTCGGCTGGCGCCCGTTCGTCCGTTCCTGGATAAACACGCTGAACCGCGCGTGGAGCGAAGGCCAAGAGAGCAACATCGAGCAGCTGTTCGACTGGCTGGTCGAGCCCTGTTTGCAGTTCATCCGGAAAGCCTGCCGCGCCACCGTCAACGCTGGCCAAATCCACCAGGTCGTGTCGGCCATGAACATGTTCGAGATGACGATGGAAGATGCGGTGGAGCAAAATCCAAAAACGTACGACCAATACCTGGTACCTTGGTTGCAGGCGACTATGTTGACGTCGATGGTGTGGGGCGTCGCCGGCACGCTGGACTACGCCTCCCGCGTGAACTTCAACGCGTTCTATCTGACCATTTGGAAGAACGAGCTAGAGGAACACCCGATGCCCGAGTTTCTCGCCGAGTCGTTGATCTCTCTGCCGACGGAGGAGCTGATCCACGATTGCTTCTACACTTATCGGGGACGAGGAGCGTGGCGGCGGTTCGCCGACGTGGCGCGACAGCAACGGTACCCGGACACCGGGAGCATCGTTCAGCTGATGATCCCTACCGTCGACACGGTGAAGTATCAGAGCCTGTTCCTACGGCACATTAATCGCCGCAAGCGTTTCCTGCTGTACGGCGAGACAGGCACCGGCAAGAGTTTCTACATCAAGGATCTGATGATGAACAAGCTGGACGAACGGAGATACCTGCCGAACATCGTCGCGTTCACGCCGCACATCACGGCCGCCCAGACGCAGGAGCTGATCCTGTCGAAGCTGTACAAGAGACGGAGGAACCAGTTCGCACCGTTGCCGGGCACCCACTGCGTCGTGTTCATCGACGACGTGAACATGCCGGCGAAAGAGACGTACGGCAGCCAACCGCCGATCGAGCTACTCCGGCAGTTCTTCGATCACGAGATCTGGTTCGACCTGAGGAAGCCGGAGATGATCCACGTGCACGACACCCTGTTCGTCTGCGCGATGGCGCCGCCAGGTGGCAGCAGGCAGGAGCTGTACCAGCGGTTCCTCAGGCACTTCAACCTGTTCAGCATCGACAGCTTCACCGACGACACCATCGTCAGGATTTTCACCAACATCGCGTTCGTCGGCCTGCAGCGAAACGGCTTCACCACGGCGATAATGCCGGTCGTCGTCGACATCGTGAACGCGACCAAGAACATCTTTCACGACGCGCAGAGCCAGCTACGACCGACGCCGGCCAAGTCCCACTATCTCTTCAATCTGCGCGACTTCTCGCGGGTGATCACCGGCTGCGCCATGATCAGGGAGGAGTCCGTCGTGTCCAAGTCGGACTTCACGAAACTCTGGACGCACGAGATCCTTCGGGTGTTCGGCGATCGTCTGGTCGACGAGAACGACCGGCGCTGGCTGTTCTCGAGGATCAAGGAAACGGTCGGTGGCAACATGAGGGAGACGTTCGACACGGTGTTCGGCCATCTGCCGAAATTCGACGATCAGCTGACGATGGAGAGCCTGCGGGACCTGATATTCGGTACATTCATGGACGTGGACACGATCCCGTGCGACCGCCGTTACGAGGAGGTGAAGTCGATGGACGAGTATATGGAAGTGGCGGTCTCCTGCCTCGAGGACTACAATCTCACCCACAGACGCAAGATGGACATTGTCTTGTTTCGATACGCTCTGGAACACCTCGCGAGAATCTGCCGGATATTGGTGATTCCCTGCGGCAGCTTGCTGATGGTCGGCGTCGGTGGATCCGGCAGGCAGTCGTTGACCAGACTGGCCGCCAACATGGCCAATCTCGGCCTCTTTCAGCCAGAGATCGGTAGCGCGTACGACGTGCAAGAATGGCGTGACGATATAAAAAGGGTTCGTTCTGTGATCCAAACGAGAGACACTAATTAACAACGAAACGTACCAAATATCATCCAGAATTCTGAATTCTTTCGTTAAGTTTAATCCTTGTTAAAAAGAAGGAAAGAAAATGAAAAAATCTAATTTGCTTAGATGATGTGACAGTAGGAATAGGTATATATAAAGTGTTAAATGAACGCACATTCTGTATATTACTTGTACTATACTATGTATAATACTTGTAATATATATTATACTACAAGTATTATACCGTACACATAATATACAAGTATATTATACTGATACTTATAATATATACAGATATAATATACTATATATGCAGATATCCTTATAATATATTTATAATATATACTATACTATTATATTATTATAGTGTACTTATATGTGTTGTAAGTATTATTACTAATATAGTCTAGAATATAATAGTATAGTATATATTATACTACATACTATTATATCATATTATAGACTATACTATTATATTATTATAGTATATATTATTATAGTAAATATTATTACTAATACTTACAATATAGTCTAGAATATAATAGTATATAGTATAATATAATATACATTATACTATATACTATTATATTATTATAGTATACTTATATATATTGTAAGTATTATTACTAATACTTACAATATAGTCTAGAATATAATATAATAGTATAGTATACATTATACTACATACTATTATATTATATTATATTATAGACTATACTATTATATTATTATAGTATACTTGTATATATTGTAAATATTATTACTAATACTTACAATATAGTCTAGAATATAATAGTATATAGTATAATAATATAATATACATTATACTATATACTGTTATATTATATTATAGACTATACTATTATATTATTATAGTATACTTATATATATATATATTGTAAGTATTATTACTAATACTTACAATATAGTCTAGAATGTAATATAATATAATAGTATAGTATACATTATACTACATACTATTATATTCTATTATATTATAGACTATACTATTATATTATTATAGTATACTTGTATATATTGCAAGTATTATACAGATATACTTATATACAATTATACTATGTATATACACTTATACTTATATGATACAAGTATATCATACACAATATATAATACTTGTAATACTAACTAATGTATTTGCGTCGTTTAGGTGCTCATGAACTCCGGCGGGGCGGGCAAAGATTACGTGTTCCTACTCACCGAAGGGCAAATCAAAAGTGAAATCTTCCTGAACGACATAGACAGCTTGTTAAACTCGGGCGAGGTGCCGAACCTCTTCACCGTCGAGGAGAGACAGGAAATAATCGAGATGACTCGGCTAGCAGCACAGGGTGGCGACCGAAATTTGGACATATCGGTGCTCGCGATTCTCTCCTACTTTGTGAACCGTTGCAAGGAGAAGCTGCACATAATGCTGTGCTTCAGTCCCATCGGGGACACGTTCAGAATCAGGCTCCGGCTTTATCCGAGTCTGGTGAATTGCTGCACGATAGACTGGTTCGACGTGTGGCCGGAGGACGCCCTCGAACAGGTGGCCCTACGCAGCACCACCGCCATCAATGTCGACGAACAAGTGAAAGTCAACGCGGTGATCGCGTGCAAGTTCTTCCACGTTTGCGCCAAGGATATCAGCGCCCGGTTTTACAACGCCACCGGTAGGCAAACTTACATCACAACGGCCGGATTTCTGGATCTGATACGAACTTACGCAGAACTGATGAAAGAGAAGCAAGAAGCGCTTATTTTCGCGAGGTACACGTTTTTTTGAACATTAGAAATGTCGTCGACGAACAAAATGTCAAGGCTTGTGACATGGATGAGTTCTAAAAATCCAGCGTGTCATATTTTGTTTAAAACACTTGTGCGTAGAACTAGGTATATAGTTCATACACTTATAATTAGAAAACTCTGTTATTACACGTATAATTAGAAAACTCTGTTATTACACTTATAATTAGAAAACTCTATATTATACACTTAGAATTAGAAAACTCTATTATTACACTTACAATTAGAAAACTCTATATTATATATTATATACTTAGAATTAGAAAATTCTGTTATAACACTTATAATTAGAAAACTCTATATTATACATTTAGAATTAGAAAACTCTATTATTACACTTATAATTAAAAAACTCTATATTATACATTTACAATTAGAAAAGTCCAAATATATGAGTATATATGTTTTATCTTTTCTTCTTGCGTATTGCAGGGATAGATACATCAACGGACTGGATAAATTAGAATATGCGGCCGAACAAATTGGTCAAATGAGAGTAACACTTTCGGAACTGCGACCTCAGCTTGAAGCGTCTGCCAAGGAAACCGCCGACACAATGAGGAAAATTGAGATGGAAAATATCAGCGTTGAAAACGCGAGGATCATGGTAAAGAAAGATGAAGATATGGCGAACGTGCAAGCCGAGATTGCGAAGAACTTGAAGACAGAGTGCGAGGCGGATTTAGCGGAAGCGTTGCCTGCTCTGAACGAGGCATTAGGTATTATGTAGCGTTCACTATGGAGGATGTGACAAAATAAGATGAACTTTGTTTAAATTGTGTACGTTTGAAAACAATTATAACAAATTTGATGTCACAACAATACAACAGTAAATGATATTCCCTATGAAAAGGTGGATTTTAAAATCCATGCTTTCTAAGGATCAAACAAGGTGGATTTTATATAACATTGAGAGAGAAATGGTGACACCATTTGTAACAAAGTAAGATGAACTGTAGTTGAATTGTATACATTTGAAAACAATTATAACAAATTTGATGTCACAACAATACAACAGTAAATGATGTCCCAACAGTATGAACTTTTAAATCCATGCTTTCTAAGGATCAAACGTTTTACATAATATTGAGGAAGGAGTGACGCTAACTTTTCTTTCCTGTACAAGCATATATGTACATCGCGGCTCTCCACAAATTTTGCTCACACTGTGCTGCGTTGTCGTTGCAGCCGCTCTGGACACTCTGAAGCCAGCAGACATAACGGTTGTAAGAACGATGAGGAGTCCTCCGGCCGGCGTGAAACTCGTGATGGCTGCGGTGTGCGTGATGTTGGGCATACCCCCTCTCAAGGTCGAGGATCCAGTCACCGGCAAAAAGGAACTCGATTACTGGACACCGAGCAAACGTCTGCTGGGTGATATGAGATTTTTGGAAACTTTGCGGCAGTATGACAAGGACAACATTCCACCGCATATAATGGAGGTGATATATACCGCTAATTATTATTATTATTATTATTATTATTATATACGCTCTTAGATTCACTTTTTTAAATTTTTCTTAAAAATACTATTATTATCATCATTATTGTATTATAAAAACATTAATAATATTAAATTATTTAAAAAATAAAAATAAAATTTTTTTATAGTAATATTATATAAAAATATAAAAATTATTAAAAAATAAACTTTTTATAATAATATAAAAATATAAAAATTATAAAAAAATAAATAAACTTTTTATAATAATATAAAAATGTAAAAATTATAAAAAAATAAACTTTTTATAATAGTATAAAAATGTAAAAATTATAAAAAAATAAACTTTTTATAATAATATAAAAATTAAAATTTATTAACAAAATTAATAAACTTTTTTATAATAATATAAAAATATAAAAATTAATAAATTTTTTTATAATATAAAAATATAAAAATTATAAAAAATAAATAAACTTTTTATAATAATATAAAAATATAAAAATTATAAAAAAATTAATAAATTTTTTATATTATAAAAAAATTTATTAATCTATCCTGATGATAATAAATTAAATTCAATCTCAATTTTTTAGGTAATAAATATACTCATAACTCGATAATAAACAAATTAATAATAATTTCTTAGATAATAAATAAACTTTTAACCCCAAGTGAGTAGGAAATAGTTATGTAACAGTGATGGAAGTGTTAACAACCTAGTGTTAACAACCGAGATATGACAGAAAATAACATGGCGAGTTACAGGAAATCAAGACAACCTACATGACGGACAAGAGCTTCGAGCCAAAAGTTGTGGCCAGGGCATCGTCGGCGGCCGAGGGTCTCTGCAAGTGGGTGAGAGCAATGGTCCTGTACGACGCGGTGATCAAAGTGGTCGCGCCGAAGAGGGCCAAGTTGGAGGCCGCGCAGCGCGAGTACGAGAACACTGTGAAATTCTTGAACGAGAGACGCGAGATGCTGGCCGAGTTGACGGAGAAGCTGAACGTTCTCAACGAACGTTTGCGGGTAACCCTGGCCAGGAAGATCGAGCTGGAAACCGAGGTAACAAACACACCGACATACATATACGGATCGTGCAGGCGAAACGCTAATTACAATTTCATTTAGGTGACAAACTGCAGGAACAAGTTGATCCGGGCCGAAAAATTGATCAGCGGTTTGGGAGGAGAGAAGAATCGTTGGACAGAGGCGGCGGCGAACTTGAAGAGCTCGTACGACACCTTGCCAGGAGATATTTTGATCTCGTGCGGCATGATAGCGTACCTGGGCCCCTTCACGTCCAACTATCGCGTCGAAAGTTTGGGAAAATGGGTCGACCACGTGAACAGTTTGAACATACCGTGCTCGAGAACTTACGACTTCGTCGAGGTACTCGGCACCGAGATCAAGATCAATTCTTGGAACATATTCGGCCTGCCGCGAGACTCGTTCTCCACCGAGAACGCCATTATCATGGACAACTCGAAGAGGTGGAGCCTGTTCATTGATCCTCAGAGTCAAGCGAACAAATGGATTCGCAACATGGAGAGGCAGAACGAGCTTGAAATCGTCAAATTGACGCACGCGGATTACATGAACGTCATAGAGCGAGCACTGGAATACGGTAACGAATCAAACGTTAAGTAGAATATTTATCTGATTGTTTATTGAATGAGAAATAATTATTAAAATATAGAGTGGGCCAAAAGTTTCTTCCCCACCTATATTTTTCTTTTTCATGAAACATCAAAATACAAGAAAATACTAATTTTGTTAGTTTTAAATTAAATTCAAGTTCAACTGTTAGTTTAATCTGTGAAAAAAGAAATTTCAAAAAAATATTTTAGTAGCAAGTGATTTTTGGCCCTGTATGAATAGAAAATATCAATTATTAAATATTATTCCTGGTTTAGAAAAATTGAGAAGGAAAAAGAGAGAAAAAGTAACAGAAAACTAAATATAGAGACACAACTAAAGTAAAGAGAGTATAGTACCAAAGAGAAATATATTAAGTGTAGAGGCAGTGTGCAAATATCATTCTCTATTAGTCTAATTAGTCTATGTATAGTATAAAGTTACGTTAAAGCATGCAATACTAGATGTAAGGGAAAGTAATAAGAGAAAACTTGACAACCAAGGGAATTAAAACGGAAAACAAAATGTAAAGAATAATGTAAGGCACTGAGGTCTATTCATTCATATTAAATATTATTCAATTGCGGCCTTACTTTCACTTAATAAGTACAATGTATCTAAATATTATTATTATTATTACAGGGAAACCAGTATTGTTGGAGAACATTCTCAATGACTTGCCATTATCTCTTTATTCAATTATTGATCTTTATTATTATTATTATAATAGCAAAAAAACCATTATCATTAGAAAACATTCTTGAAGACTTGCCATCACCTCTTGATTATTATTATTATTATTATTACAGGGAAACCAGTATTGTTGGAGAACATTCTCGAGGACCTGCCAGCAGCTCTTGATCCGATATTAACAAAAGCGATATACAAAATGGGCGCCATGTGGTACATCACGCTCGGCGAGAAAGTGATCGAATACGGTTTGTCGTTCAGGCTGTACATCACGACGAAGCTACGGAATCCGCATTATCTACCGGAGATTTTCAACAAGGTGACGGTGATCAATTTCGCGTTAACGATCGGCGCGTTGGAAGATCAGTTGTTGGGCATCGTGGTGGCGAAGGAGAGGCCCGACCTGCAGGAAAAGCGAGAGTATTTAATCGTTCAGAGCGCCGCGAATCGGCAGGCGCTGCAACAAGTGGAGGACAACATTCTGAGAACGTTGTCGGTGGCGGGAGCTAGGATCCTGGAAGACGAGGAGGCTATAGAGATCTTGGACTCGTCGAAGATCCTCTCCATCGACATATTGAAGAAGCAGGCAGCCGCGAAGAAAACCGAGGTGCAGATCGAAGGATTCCGACAAAATTACAAACCAATCGCGAGGCACAGCTCCGCTCTCTACTACACCATCACCGATCTACCCAACATCGATCCCATGTACCACTACTCCTTGGCTTGGTTCATCAACCTGTACGTCAGTTCCATCGACACTGCGAACAAAAGTAAAATTCTCGAAAGAAGACTGGCGTTTCTGCGAGAGGCTTTCACTTACAACCTGTATCAGAATGTCTGTAGATCTCTGTTCGAGAAGGACAAGGTACACAAGGATTGTACTACAACAATTTCGATATGTATCACAAACACTCGTAATTGATCTCCTCGGTCAGATTTTGTACTCGTTCATCTTGTACTCGACGATCTTGATATCGGAGAACACCATCACGAGAGAGGAAATGATGTTCTTTCTGTCCGGAGGCGTCGCACTGGCCGCAATACCGGAGAATCCAGCATCCAGCTGGCTTCCAGACAAATCTTGGGGGGAAATTTGCAGAGTTCACGCGTTACCCAGCTTCGTCGACTTTCAGTCGAGCTTGGCACACGATTTAAACGCGTGGAAACAGTATTACGATTTGCTGAATCCGGAAGACTCGCCGATACCAGACCCATGGGAGACGAGTTTAACGCCTTTTCAAAAGCTAATCGTCACAAGAATGATCAGACCCGACAAAGTGACGATTATGGTGAATCAGATTCTTTTTCATAGTGAAGAGCACGACTGTACCAATGACAGTGAGAAATTATCGATAATTTAAACTGATACAACATTTGTCGAGAAAGATCACACAACCATCTCATTTGGTCTCATTTCAAAGCGTGAACCTTGCACTTTGACAGTCGCGTAATTTGCTCTTTTAGAAAATGATTTTACATCACGTGGCAAATTGTAAAAATTCAGGCACGCATAAAAACATTAAAAAAATCTGACGATCTTGAAGACTGAAACTTTTTCTTTACAACAACCTCTCAAAACTTGCTGTACAACTTTTTTGAACTTGGTACGTTAAGCTTAGATGACAAAATGTTGGGATTTTCAAACCCTAATATTTCAACATTCTATAAAATAGTAAAGGAAATATTGTGGAGCAAATTTCAGAAAAACTTCAATCTTCAAAACAATGGTGGATCTCCACGAAGAAAAATTTTTAATATTTTTACAATTTTTTGATAAAAGTGTGACATAAAATCATTTAAAAAAAAAACTCACAAAACTATTAAAACAGAAGCTTTGCTCTTTAAAATGAGACCAAGTGGATTACTCTATATAATCCTTTTTTACAAAGTTATATCACAAATGAAATTATTCACAATTTTTCATTGTTATTGGTACAACTGGTACAGCTATTCGCTGTACTTAATGCGAATTAACAATTGAAACGTTTCAGATTCAACGATTCGTCGAAACAGGCATTGGCTTGAAGTTTGTCTTACCGCCGCCGTTTGACATTTCCAAGTCATTCGGAGAATCGAGTTCTTTGATACCTTTGATCTTCATTTTATCCCCGGGCTCAGATCCGATGGGAGCACTTACCACATTCGCCGGGAATATGAACTTCCTCGAGAGATTCCATTCGATCTCCCTCGGTCAGGGTCAAGGGCCGATCGCCCAAAATCTGATCGAACAAGCACAAAACAACGGCGAATGGGTTTGTTTGCAAAACTGCCACTTGGCTGCATCTTGGATGCCCGTATTGGAACACTTCTGCGAACTATTTGATCCCTCGAACACACATGCCAACTTTCGTCTCTGGCTCACGAGTTATCCCGCTGTTCACTTTCCAATTACGATCCTGCAGAACGGTGTCAAAATGACGAACGAACCTCCAACCGGATTGCAGAATAATATCATGAGGTGAGCTCTACTCTGCAAGAGCACATTTATGATTTGTATAACCTCGTCTTTGGCAAGAGATTCTTCTCTTAATACTACAGAGGCCGACACCGTTGTATGTCATGTAGCGACCTATAGTTCCTCGAGTACGAGTTTCGAACACCAACTTGCACAAGCCGCAAGTGGCTGTGCGCCTAGCGTCGAAGTCAACCGATATTCGATGTTAAGCAAACAGAGTGCGGAACCGCTAGGNGATGGTCACCCATCCTAGCGGTTCCGCACTCTGTTTGCTTAACATCGAATATCGGTTGACTTCGACGCTAGGCGCACAGCCACTTGCGGCTTGTGCAAGTTGGTGTTCGAAACTCGTACTCGAGGAACTATAGGTCGCTACAGTCATTTGTAAAATAGTGGTTAACAGCCGATAGGTGACGCACTTTCGCGTCATTTCCGATTCCAATTCTTACGTTTGTTTGAAACACATTAATTATGTATATATCATGTATTTATTTAAAACACGTGTACATATGTCATGTGTATATATTGTCAGAGAAGCAGATACTGAAATGTATACGTTCCAAGGAAGATTTTTTTTTCTAGAAAAAAAAAACAGCAGATTTTTTACTTTTTCCATTTTAATTTGTACATGAAATAATAACCCTTTGTACTATGCATCGCCAAATTCTCGCATGATCATGTCAAATATCGCCGGCCTGTATAGTGTCAAATGTAAACGAGAATTCGATTCAATCGTTAGGTCCTACAAATCCGAAGCCACGAAAACCATGGACGCGTTTGATAACGAACCGAATAAGAAGAGAACGTACTCAAAGTTGCTTTACGCCTTGTGCTTCTTTCACGCCGTGGTGCAGGAAAGACGAAATTACGGTGCACAGGGTTGGAATATAAAATATGGTATTTATTGTCGTACCCTGTCTTTTAAGTTATAACACTATTTACACGCGGCCACAAAATATAGGGTGGGCCAAAAGTTTCTTTCCATCTATTTTTTGTTTCAATAAAATATCAAAACAATTAAGAAATAATTATTAAATTTAAGTTCAAACATGATTTTTTCATTATGTTTTAAAAAATTTGTAAAAAAAAATTAAAAAAATATATACAATAAAAGAATTATGGATTTATTTAAAGTAAAAAATGATTTTTGGCCCAGCTTTTCCTTTCAAATGTTTTGTTTTTTTTTTTTTCTTTATACCGACAGACAAGATTTACGCGATTTTCATTCAACGTGGATAATCCGCGTAAATTGATGTACGAGTGTACTTTCATCTTTCATAATTCCAAACGCGACACTACTATTCCGGCTAAACACTGACAATGAGAAAGTATAGTTTCGCGGTGCAGGTTTCAACGAGTCGGACCTCGAGATATCCGCCCAACAACTTCAACTGTACATAAACGATTACGAGGAAGTTCCTTTCAAAGCCATTGTCTATCTAACCGGTGAATGTAATTACGGTGGCCGAGTCACGGACGACAGAGACCGAAGATGCCTAAACACGATATTGCAAGATTTCTATAACCCGAACGTAATTACGGACCCGAATTATGCTTTTGCGGACGTCGGGCCTGAATATACTTTACCAAAAAAGTACTTCCTTACACCTATTTACTTTCCTTGCTCGAGCCTTTATCTATCGTCGCAGACCAGAGAGAGAAAGAGTGAAAGACTAACCTATTGTTTCACGTACGCACGCACACAGGCACGAATACGAAGATTACATCAGGCAAATCCAAGGGATTCCTTTAACCCCGTCGCCAGAGGCACTTGGACTGCACATGAACGCAGGGATCACGCGAGATCTCGAACTGGCGAATGAATTCTTTGTGTCCATGATGTTAATCAAAGGAGAAGTAACGATAGGCGACACTACGAAACAGGACGAAATGTTGTTGAACATAAAAAACGATATTTACGACAGAATGCCCGAACCGTTTGACATCGAGGAAGCGGAGAAGCGTTATCCTATCGTGTACATGGAATCCATGAATACCGTTTTGATACAGGAATTGATAAGGTATAACGTTTTGTTGCGTGAAATTCGCGAGTCTCTCGACATGCTGGAGAAAGCGGTGAAAGGATTGATAGTGATGACTCCTGAGTTAGAGGTACTGCGAGATTAATTGGCACGATAAATTGATAAAACATAGTTAATGTCAATCACATACGATTCCAGATTCTGGCTAGTCACATACTGAGCGCCAGAATTCCTCCGTCTTGGGTGCAAGCGTGTGCTTATCCAAGTTTGAAACCGTTGCCAAATTTTATTAACGATTTCCTTGACCGGTTAAGCTTCTTTCGCAAATGGTTGATAGAAGATAAGCCGAAAACATTCTGGATATCTGGATTCTCATTTGTGCATGCTTTTCTCACGGCAACGACGCAAAACTTTGCGAGAAAATACCAAATACCTATCGATAGAATTGATTTTGATTTCAAGGTTCTTTTTTTTTTATTTATTTATTACAAACATAATATAGAACGTAATCACGTCCTTTACCGCGGCGAAAATAGTGTTGGATGTTTTCTCTCTAGGTACTTCCTACGTATGAATCACACGAATCTCCAATGGATGGCGTTTACGTTTATGGAATGTATTTGGCCGGTGCAAGGTGGGACATGCAGCGCATGCTACTCGCTGAAAGTTATCCAAAAATTCTTTGGGAGGCTATGCCAATGATTTGGATGAAACCAAGCGTAGTGGATTCTATTCATGTAGGAAAACGATACGAATGTCCTCTTTACATAACTTCTGCGCGTTTTGGTATTCTCAAGACAACAGGACATTCGACTAATTACGTGTTGTCGATCCTCTTGGATACTACTTATCCTGTCAGTCATTGGATTAAAAGAGGGCTGGCTCTTCTCTGTCAACTCGACAATTAAACGATTTTTCATAGTGCTTGCCCTTTTTTTTTACCCTCGATTTATACCGATCACAAGATCACAAATTATTGAATTTATTACATACATATCCATATATATAACGTACAACATTCAGATGTTACATATGTAGGTATATTATGGAAATTTTCAATATTAATATTGTACAATATAATTTATATAATATTATGTATATACAGGGTATTCTGAATTTAAACGGTCAAATTGCTTGATTTACATATGAAAAGAAAAAAAATTTGTTATCAGTAAATGCTCTGTTACAGAGTTATAAACAAATATTGTATGTATGAAATAGGTACGCATTTTTTTTCGCTATTTGATTTTTACTTATGGACTACTTTAAAAGAAAAGATTTATTCACATGAAGAACTAGTGCAAAGAATTTTATTGAAACTTTTATGGACTGATTGTACCAGCATTTGGGAATGATTCGTGAATTATAGAAGTCATTTTTTAATCTACATCTAAACCATTACAGATTATACAAATGCACCATTAATGTGACACAAAAGCATCGAGTGTCATATCTACTCTCTCGTTAGTCAATGATGAAACTTTTAAATTTGCCGGCGAATGAAATTTAGTTTAATCTATATTTTTCAACAGCGTTAACTGTTGCGTGTATACAACAACGAATGAAGAAATAATTGAATTTCACTTTATTACAAAATCGCACTATTAATATGAGTAATTCTACCTTTGTTCTTGATAACGGTGCTTATACCGCAAAAGTTGGGTTAGCTTCTGACAATGTCAAGTAAGTAACAATGATCACGATACAATGAAATTAAAGTGTGCAATTGTCAGCAATTAACTCTGTTTTAGATTAGTGCCAAATTGTATAATGAAAGCAAAGAGCGAACGGCGGAGACCTTTTGTAGGAAATCAAATCGAAGAATGTCGAGATGCATCTGGCCTGTTCTATATCCTGCCGTTTCAAAAAGGATATCTCGTCAACTGGGACGTTCAGAAGACTGTCTGGGACTATATATTCTCTAAAGAATGTTGCCTGGTAAACTTGAGTCAGCTTTCTCTAATTGTAACCGAGCCTCTATTTAACTTCTCGACTGTTCAAGAAGCTATGACAGAAATATTTTTCGAAGAGTACGAATGTCAAAGCCTTTTGAGAATCAATGGCTCCACTCTCTCTTGTTATCAGTATAAGGTAGAGAATCCTAATGCAAAGTGTTGTATTGTAGTTGATAGCGGTTACAGTTTTACACACATAGTGCCGTATGTAAACGACACTAAAGTTAAAGAAGGTATAAGACGTATTGACGTGGGTGGGAAACTTCTAACAAACCATCTCAAAGAAATTATATCGTATCGTCAGCTTCATGTGATGGATGAAACCTACGTAATAAATCAAGTGAAGGAGGATTCATGTTTTGTTTCTCAAGAATTTTTTAAGGACATGGAAATGGCCAAAAACAAGTTAGAAAATAACTCCATTGTCAAAGATTACGTTTTACCGGATTACACGACATTGAGACGTGGTTTCCTCAAAAATCCAGAACCTCCTAATGAACAACAGACATTACGTTTGAGCAACGAAAGATTTGCCATACCCGAAATTTTGTTCTTTCCCTCGGACGTTGGTATTCGTCAGATGGGTATTCCAGAAGCAATTATGGATTGCTTGAAAGCATGCGACGAAGAAACGTGGCCGCATCTTTTATCCAATATTATTCTCACTGGTGGTAACGCGAAATTTCCTGGATTTCGGGAAAGAATTTACAAAGAAGTTAGAAGCTTGGCACCTGCAGAATATAGGATAAACGTACATCTGCCCGAAAAGTAATAAAACATTCAATTTCTTAATTAGTACGTCTAGAAACTTCAATCTATGCGATTTACTGTTGCATGTTGTTTTCAGTCCAATCACATACGCATGGCACGGAGGTAAAACACTGTCGAAAGATCCAGCATTTTCAAATCTTCTAGTAACTAGAGAGGATTATGAGGAAGAGGGTCAGAATCTTTGTTTCGAACGTTTCGATGTTTGACTTTAATGAATTTGTTTCATTGAATAATTCATGCATATGTGTACGATATTGTATATAATACTATAACATATGTTCTTTTTCCTTTATACGAAATAATAGTACGAAAAATATAAACGGAATGCACGAACAATGTTGGTATTATTATTGTAAAGAAATAAAAGTTAAATAGATTTCATTTGTGCCATTAGTTCCTCTAAACTAGTGTCACATTCGGACGGAATTTGATTGATTTGAGAATCAATTGACCACGAAGCACTATGTACTTTTTCATCAATCTGTTGATCTCGTTCATCGACGAGGGTAATTCCTGCAATGACGCAATCGTTCAATTTAAGAGAATTTGCACTAATATTTCATCTTTCATTACTTACCCCATTCATTATCTTCGTGAAGAGGCTTATCTTCAACTGCTTCTTCTACCCTCTGTTCTGGTTTTGGTTTTGAAGCATAATCTAATTGATGTTTTCTACAATACCTATCTTCACAGTTAGGATTTGGTTTTAATGTCATTATAGGAAAGAAATCTTGCATAGCGTTGTAACCCAAATAATAGGTAACATCGCCAAAGTTCAAAAGGTATTTCAATGCATTTTGAACTAAAAAACCTGCAACAATTCCCATAGTTGTCGGCAAAGATGCAGCACATACACCATCCCGTTTTAACGTTTTCTCGTCTATATTTTCTGCTACCACTAATGGGGGAGCACACTAAAAATAAAATAATTTTCACAGTTCAAGTTTTAATGTTTTCCTTATCGTTTAATTTTGATTTTTATTCACCGCGAAGCAAGCTGTTTCCCCAGGAATTATAAATTGAATATGACCAGAAACTGCATTTTCAGAAACTCCACTTTCAAACCACTTCTGATTAAGTTCATTACAAGCGGTATTAATTGCCATCCGTGCTTCAAAATTGTCCACACAACTCAGAACCAAATCTACTGGACCTTTGACTAAACCTGCTGTGCTAAAAATAAAATTTAATATCGCTCAGACGTTGTTAATTGTTATCATCTAAGAATCATCCTTATATACCTTATGACATTCGTGAAATGTTCAAAGTGATCCATTGTGGTGATGTTGTAATTATAAGTTTCAATTTTTACATCTGGATTTATGTATTGCAATGTTGTTGCTGCTGCTTCTACTTTATTTTGGCCAGCTTGATAAGGTTGAAAGAAAAGTCTATTCATGTTTGCCATTTCTACTTTATCATAGTCAAAAAGTATCAACTAAAATCCATGTTATTTGTTACTTAGGAACAAACGGGAAGTTCTTCATTCGTGACTTTATGTATCATATGTTACCTTGCCAATTCCACATCTTGTTAACATTTCGGCAGTCACACTACCGACTCCACCTATTCCAACTACAGCAACTGTCAGCTCTTTTATTTTTTCATAATTACTTACTATACCCATACGTTTTAAGGCCATCAAACGACTAGTCAAAGAACAAAGGGTGCATTAAGAAATTTTATTTTCAGTTTTGTATCAGAAAGCAACTGAATTATAAAATATTTATAATACAATAGAAATATTTATAATACAATAGAAAGGTTTCACGCAAATACAAATTACCTGTAAGGGTTTGAATCAGTCACTTCGCTTGACATATGTTCTATTTTCTCTCTTGTTGTAAACACATTTTTCTGCTGTTCTTTCAGCAATTTGTCTTCAAGCTCACTGATTTTTTTTCGCAGTACGTCAATCTCGTCCATCGTAAATGTTAAAAGTAATTTTTAAAAATACCTAAGCAGCTGTATGTGAGACAGCAACTACCGACTAGGACACGCCGATTTTTTGTAGCTAACAGATTATGCACTTGCTTACATATACATATATGTACATATGTATGCTTATACGCGCTGTAATAAATGAATCTTTATACACGAAACAGATGTGTTTATTCAATTTTGAACGATAATTATTAAATTGATAATTACATTTAAGTGTGAAATTTCACATTGATTCTTATCAAGTTTTATTACAATTGTATAATTAGAAACATAACCTATTTGATTTATTCAAGAACAGCACGTATATCACAAATTAAAAAACTTCGCAGAATTCCTTACACACGATACTTTCCTTCTTTCTCTCACGTTACGGTAATTAATTTAAATTTATTCGAAGACTGATTACAAAGATTCAAGTTAAAATTTATAAAACCACGACGGCACGTACATATGCGTAATTAAAATTACATTTTGATGAGAAAGACCAGCCTGAAATGTTGTTTAATTTCAGTAAAAAAGTTCAATAATTGTAAGATTTATTGTTTCTTTTTTAATACAAACAAAATTGTATTTGCTTCTTTTTTTCAATTAATTTTTATACAGCATTATGTAGTATTACAGCATTTCGTATTATAAATTATACATATTGTTATTATACTGCATATATGCACAATTGTTTTGTACCCGCATAAAAAAAAAAACGTCGTAACTTTTCGTTATTATTTATTTAGCCATCGTATCGCTAATGTTAAGAGTAAATATCGGAGAAAACATTAAAAAACATACGATCGTGTAATACAGGATGGATCATCTTTCTTTTTTTTTTGTTTGTTTTCATGCTGTTACGATCAATAATCAAATTTAAATCAAAGTAGATCCGTGCATTTTGGCTAATTTTATTGTCATACCTCAACCGTATTAGAATAGTCTGCGTTCCAATACCACGCATTTGGAAAAAAAAAAAAGATTTAAAAATCGAAGAGAGAAACAGAAAACGAGGAAGTATGTAAACAATTTCACTTTATCACTTTGGCATTATCATGAGTGAATATAAAATTCGGATATACATTTGGTGTATGTTCGAAAATCAGGTGCACTTTCTTTTTATTAGGACGCAGCCGTTCTTCAACGAAACAGGGGAAAAGAATTTTTAAAACTGGCCTATAAATATGACGATTAATGACGGAAGAACGGCTCTCTCCCAGTAATGTTCGTTTAATAATACATTCTGTTCTCAAAATAGTGTTAAACGACGATTGCTAGATAAAATATCAACGTTAAAATTTAGCATAATATATTAATTACATTAGTGACAGTTCGTTAGTTTATTTCTTTACTTTTTTTTTTTCTTTTTGTTTAAATTCATTTGCAGATTTAAATAGTAGATATTCAGTAGTTTTTCATTTTTTTTTTCTTTTTTTCCTATAAAACTAAACTAGATTATCGTAAACTTAACGTATGAACAGGGAAGGTTATTAAATTTGGACAAACAATTATATTTGCGCCGTTCTTGCCCTCTTGTGAGCGTGTGTGTATGTGTGTGTGTATGTGTGACTTGAAATTAGAGATTCGCCACGTTTCCAGCGACACGACAATTACAAGCGGAATAAATAAAACGTATTTATACTTTACTCGTACATAAAGTATATTCCCTTTTTACATCTTTAACATCTATAGCGCAGCATCTATCTCACACATATACGTACTTCTTTCAACTTATATGTTCACCTATCTGCGTTACGTACATATGTATATATATTTTTATGCATTATTGAAAAATAAAATATACATATATATACATATAAAATCTTTAAATACATGACGGATAAGGCAAAAACGGCGCAATGATCAGAATAAGAAGCGAATATTATTCTTTAGCCGATAATATTCGAAAGTATACTCCGTTTTTCTTTTTTTTCGAATCCAAATTCACACTCCGCTTGATTGGATGCGCGTTTTTTTAATACGTTACGTATGTATATATTTATACACACACACAAACACACACATACATGCATACACACACGTGTACGTATTTTGTATGTGTGTACGTATGTGTCATACATGTATATATGTATATGTAAAATTATTTTATATATATTGAATTGACCGTATTTTATGCATAATTTATACGTAGGAACTGACGAATTCTTTCGAAATAATACGAAAGGACATGGTTTACAAGTGGAGTGTGTCCTATTCCTATATATTTTTTTAAAAAGTACGTTACTCTCCTTTTCTCTCTCTCTCTCTCTCTCTCTCTCACTCTCTCTTTCTCTCAAAATAAATTTTTCAAATGTACACAATAAACTGGCTTACGGCTGTATATAAATAATTACATGTTCAATTTATAAGAAACACATTGGTAATGCTGTATATCAAAACAATTTGTTCGATTGGATGTTATTGACATTAAGTTCCTGACCAGCGCGTCAGTCGTACAATGTACAATACAAATACTTCTTTTTCTTTTTCCATCTATCGGCGTGTATATATTTTGTTCATGTACGTAGGCTTCTGCTGGCGCCAAGTGTTTTCAGGTGCCTGTGAATTCTCATTTTGATCAATGAAAATGAAAACTAAAAACCTTAAACGGTGCTCTCTATTCTCTTTCTTTTCTTTCAAATCTTTCTCTTCCTCTCTGTCTTTCCTTCTCTGGTTCTCAATACAAATGACGATACATGATCATAAAAATATTTGATCAATATTACGTCTTGGTAATATCTATTACTGGACATACAGGTATTCACAGAGCACAAAGAGTACTTGGCTATAACAAACATTTTATTCAACTATCATTGTATCAGATATAAACGAACATTTTTATCATCGTTAAAAGTACTAAATCGAGCGGCCTAAGGTACATGTTAAGTGTAAGCACGTATGTGCTATGTGTATGTGTGTGTCGTACGCGCCTCTATAGATGCAAGTGCATATGATTTATCCTTGCATCGGTTTTTTTTTTTTTGTTTTTTTTTTTTTGTTATGATGTCTCATGTAATAACGGACGATCTTTCCAAGTGACATAACATGATTTAATCGTATCTTGATGCATTTACAAATTTTCCGCGACCGTGACATTAGTAGCAGCGTCAAAAGAAAACAACAAAAGTGACAGATTACAAAAAAAAAAAAAAAAAAAAAAATTTAGAAAAGAAAAGAAACGCAGAAAAGCAACGTACAATTATTAACCGCACATGCACACCGGCCAATATGGACAGAGCACGTACTTCCATAGACTTCATTTTTAATATTCTAAACTTTCTTCCGTTTCTAGATCATTTGAAATACAGCAGAGTTGAAAACGCATTTTGCATTTCTTGTTCGAGCCACTTAAGATTCCAATCACGCGTAATAAAGATGGATATTTCTGATACATTTGAACATCTCAAATTCATTCAAGTGATAGCCAGGGTGAAAAACGAGGAATGTCTAAAATATAGAAGTTTATACACCACGTCAAAATATAATTGCCATTTACATAAGGAGTGGTCCACCATCATACAAAATACTTTTCTTCCCGATTTTGTACGTCTGGGTGGAATGGAAGGTCCAGATTTTAGCGCATAACTAATCAAAAGTTGTGAATCGTGTGTTAAGGATGAAACGGATGTGATGAATACTTCATCGTTTTCTGAGTCCCATTTCCAACTTGTCCCACCACGTTTTTCAGTCGGTTTATTCCATGAACCGCAACGCTGCTCACAGTCACGCTTAGGGATGGGATTAAGCCCCTTGCGCGAAGTATCGATACCTAAATGAAAATGTTTGATTCTTCGCACGCTCCTCATAATATACTCATACTGACTAAAAAAATGTCTGCTTTGAAATGACTGAGCAATTCAAGTCCAGTTGTCGTTCGATCGACTAACTCGTAGGAAACGTATACATACATATAATATATATGCATCTGTTAGTAGTTATCATTACATTAGAGATAGATTTTGAAAGTAACGTGTATCTGGCATGCTCTTCTCCAAAACTATATATATTCATTTCGATTGAACATCTCGTTTGTTCTTTTGTATGGTATATATATATTATCCATTATTCTCTACCCAAATCTATTTACAGGCTATTAAGTATGAACTAGTCGGACCCGACTTCCAATAAATTAATAACTTTTGTAATGTTCGTCGTTTGTCAAGGAGGAATCAAACATTTTCTTCCAGGTACTGTTTCCTAGTGCGTGCGACTTTTCCCTATTAATAATATCGAGGAAAAAAAAAATGCATCCATCACGTAATAATCGGCGAGGCATCGTTATAACCGATTCTGCGATACGACAATATAAAAAAAAGTCAGCATTTTATACATTTTATTCCAATCATGGATCAATCGATACTAAACGACATAGACTTGAATCGTTTAAATATTTCAAATCAAACATTTGTTCAGTCGCATCTCTAGTCACATTTCACGACCATCGGAAACGATCTTCTTATTTCAAATGAAGAAAAAAAAAGAAAAAAAAAGAAAAAAGAAAGAAAGAAAAGATAAAAGGAATCGGTAGTCGTAAAAATTTGAAATTCCAAATGTATGTAAGTGCATCGTGGAAAATAAAATACAGTACTACTTGTAAAAGAAGATCGTTTTGCGTTGTTAACGGCCGACATTATTTTATTTCACATGTTTTCTTTATAATATGACTATAAGTCGCATTGGTCATTCCACACACCTAAAATTTCTAATCGAAGTATTAATACGGATGATTATATTCTGGCCACAATGCGGTGCTACATCATGCTCCTGTTATTTATTTAGATGCCTGGAATGACTTTGCGTAAAGCGTAACACAGTTTTCTATTTTAACTAATTCGTAATGGGAAAGATTTATGATGAATTACTTACTTACTTAATATTACAAGAATTTGTCTCAACATAAATGTGTTTCCACGCTCAACGTTTGAACACTTTGCAAGAACGGTGTCTGTCATTACGAATTAGTTAAATTTTACAATGCCGGACGATGTCAACAATTAATTTCATGCACTCAATTGAATGCCAACTAGAACCACGTGTATTCGTACATTGCAATACAAACACGACGTGTTCATATTCTCGGCATTCGATCTCGTTCTTTGTTTTTATAAATATCGTAAAATAGAAGTTGTATAATTCGAATCAATACCAACTTCATTGATGTTCAAATTGATAGGCATCATATTCGGTGATGCGAATGATTATTCACGACATTCTCATGATTGATTCAACAATACGTGAATGATATGGTTAAATAATTATAAATTGGAAATTGAGGTGGTGACATTACCTGGGCCGTTACTCACCTACAGGCAACGAACCTGTTATGGGAGTAGGTGACGATGATACCATATTTAATCGACCTTGATCTTTTACTATTGGATCTAAAATAGATGAGAAATAAGAAATAAAAATGGAATCATCGGTCTTTCAGTATGTACCATACCATTTACATTTTGCAGAAATTTACAGTGAAAAAGTTTGAGCACACTTCATAAGTACTTACAAAAATAAGGATGTTCCATAGCTTCGCGTGCAGTAAGTCTTTCGTAATGATCGTAACGTAAAAGTTTATCAAGGAAATCAAGGCTTTCGTGTGACACCAAATGCTGATTCTCCGAATGCATAAAACGCTCCCAGCGTTTACGTGAATGTCGACCTAAAATATCATTGAAACGGGGATCCAATTCAATGTGGTACTTTTCAAGGTATTCAAATAGTTCCTCAGTTCCGAGAACTTTTGCAATTCTCACTAGTTGGTCGTAATTATCGTGTCCGTGAAAAAACGGTTCTTTCCTGAATATCATACTTGCGAGCATGCATCCAAGAGACCACATATCTAATGAATAATCATACATCTGCAGTGCAGAAGAAGGAACATGTTATCCACAAACTATTATTATGCTGTACAATTAAAGATATAATAAATTACGCACAAACCTGATAATCTACAAGTAATTCTGGGCCTTTAAAATAACGCGATGCTACTCGTACATTGTATTCTTGACCTGGATGATAAAACTCTGCTAGACCCCAATCGATTAACCGTAACTTTCGATTTTCATGATCTATCATAACATTGTGCGGTTTGACGTCCCTATGCATTATTCCCATACTATGACAATAATCCAGTGCCTACAGACAAAACCAGGAGACGACCACGTCTTATACATCATTAATGCTTCTTTCTATCGTTTTGTTGTATCTTATATAACTATAGATGCAAAATGGATATCAAACACTGTCACACGTACGTTACTTACTTAAACATTCATGAGTCCGAAAATTTTAATAATTTCTGAAACTAATGTTTCTTTTTATATACTTTAACAAAGAATAGTTTCTATACCTTTATATAGAAAACTACTACATCATACGTTTTCTTATTATATTTACTTTTAAACTTTTCGAAACAAAATATTTTTGAGACTATTATGTCCAACTTCACAAGCAAAATCAACTAAATATAATAAATAATTATATAAACAAGATAATCAATAATTACTAAAACATAAGAAAAAAAAAAGAATAGAAAGTTTATAATTGCTCAAGTACTTAAATTTCAAGTACATGTAATTGAGAGAGATAAAAACACAATTAATAGTAATCTGATATCAATTTTTTACGATAAAAGAAATCGTACCAAATATATATTAATCTAAAAATGCCAGCACTGAGCAAAACAACGATAATGGAAGCAGAAAAAATGAACTTGTAGAAATGAAATATTTTCGAACTCTTCCTTGAACCCATAATATGCACCTACATCTATCAAAATAATAATCTCGAAGATTCACATTGGACTGATACTTGGTTCCATTGCACTTAACAATACACGCACTTTTAATAATTCGTAGAGGTAGTATCTTATGTCGTAGTCTGTTAGCGTCTGGTATAATTGCTTGAAATCTGTGTTGTTCACATGTTCAAATATCAGTGCCGGTGTTCTCGATACAGGATCTTTGACAACAGCTTGGAGTGTAATTATGTTGGTCCCACCTTTGAGGTTTTCTAAGATTTTAATCTCCCTTTTTATTTTCTTCTTTTTTACAGGCTAAACATTAAAATCACATGAAATTTGAAGTTTCTTCACAGTTGCAATTAATTGCCAAAGCTTGATTCATATTCTTTTACCTTCAAAATTTTTACAACACATTTTTCATTACTTGTAATATTAATGGCTTCAAATACTTCACTATATTTTCCTCTGCCTAATTTTCTTACTAGTTGATAATCATCTTGTTGTCTACATAACAAACAATTTGTGATGATTAAACAAAATAAGAAAAATATATGTATACATACAAACATAGATATATTTATGTAAATAAAGAATGCAGAACTTCTTATTGTACACTTACCCCCAATCGACAACATAAGATTCATAATCCCAATAATCTCTGGATTTGTGGGAATTCACATCTGTGTAGACTCGCGCTCTACTGGGTAGTGCCATTTTTTCTGATATATCGCTACTACTATTTATTTTGCTGATTGCTATTCTTTCACTGTTGTCTATCGAAAAATTACAAAAGCTAGTTAATTTATATCCTTCACTCACCCAGTTACAAATGCGCGAGGACAAATATACACCTGGGTCATTAAAAAAAAAACCATATTAAGATTAAACATACTTCACGCTAATAAGAGAAATATGAAAAATTGTTAATCAATGCTTGAACGTGTGGTGGTCTTTTGCTAAACATTAACTTACATTCGTACATAAACCGACATTAAAATATCAATGATAGTGGTATTTATTAAGACGATTCAATATTGCATTTACATTTATTTATACTTTCAACATATACACTTATAAGTCATTATTACAGTGCAATATTTTATTATAAATGTTAAACATACAACACTCACTTGTTTCTTATATACTTCTTGTTTGACTTAACTTAAAGGAACATATAATGGTGATGATGAATAATATGGATGAATGAATTCTCTTATTTAAATACATCTACACCGCATTTCAATGTGGTAGACGAACTGAAAATTATCTGTTGAAGCAATTAAAAATCAATCATATTTACAACGTGAAAGTGAAACAGCACGTTAAAAAAGAAAGATACAAATGCTTTATTGACGCTCAAACTACCTAGTGTAATTACTTTTACGTACAAATGTTGCAAAATATTAACAAATTCATTGATAAATTATCCGTCATCGTCTGTATTGGAAATATCTGTGTAACGTTTAACTGAATGTAATTAGAAAAAGAAGTTATATGGTTAGAAGGATCAAAACAACTTTCAACAAAAAATAATTACACGGCGGCAAGCAAATTAATCCGAAGAAAAAATCGGGTCCTAACACAAGGAAATTAATAAACTTGAAAACATGTTGACCGATTGCTACGAATGAACTGCATATTCTTTAGAAGTCTATTGATTGTGAACTCGTAGGAACACTATCAGTTCATTTCTGTGGTTCGAAGTTACGATTTAGCAAAAGAACAGTTTCATATATGCGAGTACAATTTACGTAGGGGGGAGATTGATATTTTCGTCGGAGGGCGAAAATCTATGTAAAAATTAATCTACTATCGCGGGATAGGGATTAGAACACGCACAAGCACAAGGCACGAACACACATGTACGATAAATCACACGCCATCGCAATCAGGAAATTAATGTTAACTTATTTTCGACTCACCTAAAGCATTCCGGAGACGAATCTTGATCGGATTGACTGCAACAGATCTCGAAATTCGTCGTGAAACCACGCAACCTGCTTACGAGATACGTGGGGCCGCGCGAACGCGTGAAACTCGAAGATTTTTGCGGGCGGCCGGCTTCTCAAACGATCGAGGTTCAAGATGGCAGCCAACAATCCACCACAAACTTCAAATATATAGATTGAAATCTCCAACCTTCAACCGTCTCTTCAATCAAACCTTATTACGACTATTACTTCCTTCAATTATCAACTTAACCTTTCGAGATATTATTCGTAATATATTGTCGTTTAGTACTCTAATTGCAAGCCAGAACAGCGAAATCAAATTTAAAGTTAATCTTTCGATATACTTCACGGGTATTTTCTTTGCATAGTAATAAAAAATCTGTCCCCAATACTCGCTAAAATACCGACGAGAAAAATGTTGTAACGATAACTAATCGTATCACATCGGATTTAGCAATCGTTTATAACGAGCTTTATTTTTATAACGAGCTAAATCTTTATTTTAATCAAGAAACTTTCATTTTTATTCGAGAGAATTTTTAACTTTAATTGGAACGGGAGAACTCAAGTATGTGTCTAGTGAAATATTTTAATACACTTTGCACGTATCGACCAATCAGATAATTTCTTTTATAGTGATTTTTTGTTCGGAATAATTTAAACTTGAATAATTGAAACTGTCGCTATTGTGTTATATTTTTATAAATGAACTGTAAGGGGAGTTATAAAAATTAATATCGAATCTCTTAAATTATTAAAAATTGAAACTTATCCATACCGGATATAAATCATATTTATTCTTGGTTTGTTAATAAATTACTGGCCAATATTAAAATCGAATAAATTTAAAAATTAAAAAATTTTAAAAATTAAGAACAAAGTAATGCGTTTATTTCAAACTTAACGGGATTATTATTTAAATAATTATTACAACGACATAAACTAAAGACTACTCCTAATTTGCGTTAAAGAATGTATAGGATGTAATAATGACAAATCATCTTTTATTGAAAACCATTGCTTTAGAAGTTCCTCTACATTTTCAGCTTTATCCTATAACAGAAAGAATTTTTATTTATATCAGAGGAAAGAATAGCATTGTTTATTTGATGGATTATTGCCCAATTTACCTCGTCGGCATTCATATCAGACACTTGTAATTTTTTTCTAAGATTTCTAGCGTCTAAAATCCAAATATGCGCAGATTTACAAACAATCCATAAGTTTGCACGTAATAGTCCAACAACAGCATTAGTATTTTCACATGAAGAACTACAATGTTGAATGATATCAAATGTTGAATAACAATGTCGTGCATTTGCAATGATCTTTGGTACTTACTCATTTAGAAATTGTTCAGTAATTTTTTTTAAATTTATATCCCAAGGTACAGTAGTTCTCATGACTAAATTTTCCTTCTTCTCCATATTCATCACCTTCAGTTTTTCGAATGCTTTCAGCAGTCTATTTTTATTCTTATTAACATCTATGGTACATTTTGTTTTTGCTTCCAGTTTATCTTCCTCATACTCAGACGCCTTTTCCTCGCGCGCAAGGTCTCTGTAATATCCCCGTTCTTCAGGTGACAACTTTTTCCAAAGACTGGTCATTACATGGGCAATTTGCGGTGCTGTCATAGTAGGATCTTTTCCCACTACTAAGCAAAATAAAAAACATAGATTTAATACGCACATTTTTCCACATGTCATACGTAATAAATTAGATTATCTATGTTAAACTTTTACCTTCTGATCTGATAGATTTTGAAAATTTAAGAAACCCTGGACATAAATTTGTATGTGTATCGATGTTTGGTGATTGGTCATTCGATTGTATGTAATTACAAGGTTCTACATCCGTGCCTCCCTGCAAAAAGTACCTCAAATATAATTCACGTGATTTTCTTAATTCTTAAATTTCTTAAATTTTTTATTTAATTACCTTCAAACCAAATATGTGTCCTTTACTCCATTCTTTTAATGTAATTGGCTTTTTCGCATCTAATTTATTCTCTGCGTGCAAAGTTTCTGACTTTGTATTCTCCACCTTGTTTTCTTTCTCATTTGTATCTATATCACAAAAATCTTGCAGTAAGAAATCATCGCCTAAATCTACTATTGGCAGCTGACTGAGTGTTTCAGACGATGGAGTTAATTTGAACGGTGGAGTATCTTCAGTAGTTCTTTCGGTATTATTGTTACTATAATAAAAAAATTATTTAAATTACTATTGTAAGACATACATTTTTGTTTTTTATTCTGTACTTCAAATCTGTACTAACATCGTATTACAAGAAATATCGTTATCGCAATAAATCAATGTAAAATTCTGTGATTTTTCTGAGTCTGAATCACTTAAATCTAAAGATGGCAATTGAACGTCAAGGTCGTCCGTTTTCTTTTCACATCTTTCAGCATATTCATCAGAAGAATTTTGCATATTTATAGAAATTTGTGCTTGTTGCTTATGCTCGGAATTATTAATCGCGGCAGAATTTAAATCATTTGTCATACTTTCATCAATATTTATGTTTTGTTCAGTAGGCTCGTCGGAATATTCTTCTACACATATTTTCCGTTTTTTACATACGGGAGCTTTGTTTTCAGCATTATTGACGTTTATTTCTTGTGTATAATCTTGATAACTAGTAAATGAACTTTCACAATTATGTTTTGCTTGTATTTCTGTTTGTATTCCATAAAAATTATTTAGATGTTTTTCTATTATATCTATAACCATGTTCTGTGCAGATAATAAACACCACATAAATTCTTAAAACAATATATGATTATTTTTCCAAATATATCTACCTGTTCTTTAAAAAATACACAAGTTTTATTTGGTTCCAAGTTGACATCTATGCTTGCTGCATTTATTAAAATATATATAAGAAATATTGGTTTTTTCCTTGATTCTTGTCCCACTGCCTCTAGAATTATTTTAGTCGTTACCTAAAAATGACTCTTAATTTCTACACAAATGTATCATTTAATTTAAAAAGAATATTAATTGTTGATAAAATATAATGTATACCTTTTCTAATTCTTTAAATTTAATTGGTCTGTCATTCACAAAAATATATTGTCCTCCGGATTGAAATACTTCAACTGCATGTGTTTCTTTTAAGGGAACCATCATTTTTATTTTAATCTGAAACATAATTATAAATTAAAGTAGTAAACATAGTTTTTATGTATCAAAGTATTAAATAAAAAATGTATAAAATTTTTTATATAATTACATCCATATCTGTAACATCCATCCAATTCATATTACATGTTACTTTTTTACCAAGGATATATGTAACTGCTTCTTCAAGGCTACTTGTATTAGGTTTTGCAAATATAATGTTATCATTTACTTTACAATTTATTCGTACAAAGTATTTGCACATTCCATAACTTTTTATTAAGGACTCTAAAGCTCTAATATCCTGATTGACTTTCTTTGAATTTGTAATTATTTGCCTTCTCACTGGCATTCGTTTAAATAATTGCTTAACTTGTACAGTTGTTCCTAAAAAAAAATGTGTTTTTTAAAATTGTAAATAAAATAAAGTTGATTTAATACCTGTATGTCTGTGACAAGGTTTTGAATTCACGATACGCCCATTACAATCAATAGTATAAGATGTGGCTGCTTCATCTTGTTCTGTTTTTGATACAATTGTAAGGTCAGATACTGAACTTAGTGCATGTAAAGCCTCGCCTCTGTATCCATACGTTTCTAAAGAATCTATAAACAAGAGGATGACCATAAACACATTAAATATTAACTGTGTAATTGCTTTCTCTTATAATTCTGTAATTATGTACCTAAATCGGAGAAACTACTTAGTTTTGATGTATAAGATGATAAAGTCATATAAGGAGCATCTACTTTTGAGATACCACAACCATCATCCTTTACTTCTATCAAGGTACACCCATTATCTATCTAATATCGAAAGAAAAACATTTTACATTAAAATTTTGAAATACATTGCCAAATCGTCAAAGAGCAAGATGTGCTCTGAATAAGAAAATAAATGTGGTACCAAGTTAATTTCAATATTTTTGGCACCAGCATCCAATGCATTTTCTATCAATTCTTTTACAGCAGTAGATACGGAAGTTATAACTTGAGTAGTAGTTATTAGTTTTACGGTATCTTTGTCTAAGGCTGAAATGACCATTTTCGCGTAACGTCGGATTTATTCGACATTTATTAAGATTCGTGATACGTAAAATCTCTCAATATTATGCGTTTATACATCACACCGTACACAATAGGATGGAATTAACGCGCGAACGTCTATTTTGAACATTGTCTACGAACCGAATGGGAAAGACACAAACATATGAAAATCTAGAAATGAGGAACACGATTACAGCGACGTTTCACCGACCGCGCGAAATATAAAACGCACAAGCAATCAGATCTTAAAAAGAGCGAAACCAACTTAACGTTTAAATTTCAAAAGGTGGGAAAAGAATAAGTATAAGTCGGCATGATTATTTTATTTCAAGATATTGTATAAAAACGTTATATAAACCATTCTACCAATGTAACATTGTCGCATTCATATGACAAAGTAATTAAATATTTTATTTGTACTTTTCCACCAATGTGTCAACGAATTTAATATATGCTTCTTTCGCATCGTTCTGCGACATTCCATCCTTTGATTTCCAAGCGTCCCATTTTGCTTTCCCCTTCAAATCCAACATACCAGGTCTTGCTGTACAAAATAATTATCTGATATAAATATAACAATTACTTAAAATTTTATGCAAACTAACGTGTATATTATATAATAAGTATCAAGTAATACATATATCTCACAGGTATTTATATTTCCCACCGATGCTTGCTTGAACAATGCGTACAATTCTAAAAATTCCTCGTCAGTAGGACGCTTGGTGAGGGTTTTTACAGCTTCTGCTGCTTGCTCGAATTTCTATAAAGTCGAATATACAATCATACATGCAATTACATCTAATTATATTAGTTATTGCATGTACATGTTATTGCAATTCTATGTTTAATGTTTAATGTTTAATATTATATTTAATATTTAAATTTTGCATTCACTTTTTTATGCAAATGAATATTGCCAACGAGTATCGTGACTTTGCACAAAACTTAATTTCTTAATCGTTGAGTTGTCCGTTTGGAAAATACTCTCGTTGGAAAACAAACTTCTTCTAAATTTGTCATTTGCACGGGTCGGACTAGTTTTTCTCTTAAGCGATCTGAAGCCAACAACTTAGCAGAAATTATAATCGCACGAGAAATAGTTGCAAAATGTACGAACAATTTAAATGCAAAATCCGTTCGTTCGAAATTAGTAGAAATTGATTAATTAAAATAACAACCACTCTGAAATACCGATAATTATATAATAGTATAAAATAGTATAAAAGAAAAAGCAAAATAATTAACCAGAAGATTAAAAATCACCGACTGCATTTTACAATGACTTTGCAATTCTTTTCTTTTTTTTACAGTTGTATAATCCAATCAATCTTTTACAATTATCCAGCCAATATATGTACGTGTACTATTAACGCACAATCAATATTTATCTGCTAGAATCAATTAGTACATTAGATAATCGTAGTTACCTGATCGAGAGACATCCTTTTCAGCAGTTTCAATCGTAACGTTCGTTTAATGATAACTGACCAATGGATCTATCGTATGCATGGATTAAATATTCGTTTCGAAGTCCCCACTAACCGTGTATTATGTATGTATATATGTATCGATGTACGATATGTACCTTGTAATTGCAAGAAAAGATTAGGAAAAAATTACTTTACACGCTCGTGCAATTTATGCGCATGTAATTACATTAATAGTATCTCATCAAGAATAAGTGTCTTTATCCCGATTTTGTACAAAGTATGCCATATATAATTTGCTATCGTCAGCGAACGAATTGTTTGCTTCGAAAATTTAAAAAAAATGGACAATATATATATACATATATATATATATATATATATAGCGAAGGTGCGATATTTTCTTTTCGATTTTAACAACAATTTTTCAAGTCGTCAAAATTAATTAAAGATGGCTGCTAACTGGTCCGTTTTGGTCAAGAAACAGCGTCGTGATATGTATTTGACGATCGGTGACGAGGGAGACAAAGTCCGTAAAAACTGCTCAGAGAGAATGGGGCCAACCTGCCACATCATCATCCGATACCCAGCTACGCAAGAATGTAGAAATTCTTGACTACCTGATACATCGTTTTGCCTTTCCCCGACTCGGTTCTGCGCGAGGATCCCTGCCCCTCAGGGCCGTGTTTGAGAGAACAAGCGTTCCAAAACTCGATCTAAATTTCCGAATCTGAACGGCAAGGGATCTAACAACGTAATCGTAAAACCTGAATGATTCGCGTCCTAAAAGTCTCGTTTGTCAGCACAAATATGTTACGCGGTGATGAAATTATGCGTGACAATGTGAAATTACGAGTAAGAACAATGAACAAACAAACATGAATTGAACAATGAACGACCGAAAGGAAGAGGCAACGAAGCAAGGAGAATAGAATAAGAAATTCACTGGTGTTCCAACAATCGTAGGGAAAAGTCAGCACAGCCGCCGCGAGTTAGCACGGACGAAAGTAGAGAAACGGCGCGTGTGAAAGTGCGAAAACAGAAGGGGGCGAACAATCCGTGGTGTACGAGAATGGTCGGCGAGTGGGGACGAAATCCAACGGAGACGGCCGATCTCGCGTACGCGGGTTCTGCCAGGGCAAAACGGTTTAAAAATTCAACGAGTATGCGTGATTTGTCACTCGATCGGTGATCGGCTCGATCGAGACGACGTTACTCGGGAGAGTGCGCGGCACGTCCGTCATTTATCGATGTTTGCCATTTATCCGGGATGGGGACGCGGTGTCGTGTTGATTTAAACAGACTCGCGAGGCGATAAACGTAATCGTGGCCTTGATAACGAGTGCAAGCTCAGGTGTCGAGCGAGACTTTGTGATTGTTTATTACAAAAAAAAAAAAAACGGGAAGGGAATCGAATCGATAACAAAGGCACGAGACGCATGCAGTGAAATATCTCGAGTGTCGAGGTACAAACCGTGAACGAGGAAACTCGACACGAGGAAAAACAAGAAAAATATTTTGATTGCTTTCGGTTGCGTCCGTCGTTTGTTTAGTAAATTATATTTCGTACAATTGGAGAGTAACGCATGATCGACAAAGTGTGCGGCGATTTACCATCTCGAGCGGTACACGTTACGAAGCAACGCAAGCGGGAAGAGGCTTAGTTCGAGTCAATTCTTAAGTCAGTTCCGAGAACCGAGATCTCCGCGACAAAGAGACACGAGGGCCAGGCCGCGTTCTCGTTTGATCGCGATTATTTCCTAACAGGCGTTTCGCGTCAAGGATACCGATGTTGTTCGGCCGGCCATCCGCGTGTCGCGGTGGAAATTTTCGCTGACAATGGGGAAAAGAAAAAAAACTGTCGTTGTCACGTATGCGTCCCACCGAAAAGCCATTGCTGAAAGCCAGCTGAATTCGATCTGATTCCCAATACGCGTGCATGCGCGCGCGTGTGTGTGTGTGTTTAGCGGTATCTGATAACGGATCGTGTTCCTTTTCTCGTTATCGTTAGATACGGGCTTCCGTGATTTTGGTTGTTGAAAAATCGACTTTGCCAGGGAAACGGCTGTGGCAATGGCAGCGATTAACGCGAGAAAATGACGATTCTTTGGAAGAGCCGATAAGGATCGATCGGACAGCACCGCGTGACAAGAAGACAAGGGACAGGATGAGTATCGTGCCGATCGCGAACAGGAGTTTCCTCCACGGAGAACGGAAGGCATCCGCGACTTCGGAGAGAATACTCTACGCAACTCTCGATAGTCTAGCTTTGAAGGGGGCGACGTTGCCTCTGCAGCTGTTGCCCATCAACGACGATAACGTTGCGACCGAACGAAAGAACGAGTCGAAGAGTAAAGGGAAAAACCGTGCCGAGGCGACTGCGAAGAGATCCGGCCTCAAGGTTCGCGTGAATTATATACACAAAAAAAAAGATTCGTAACTTGTAGGATAGATAGTACTCGCCGAAACATGGAAAAAAGTTATGACAAACATGGGTCGAAAAATTAATAGTTTCAAGGTTATAAACGATTTTTTGTTTGTTCGGCTGAAGAAATGAATTTTCTTCGCTTCGAGAGCTATCGTGTTGTACGTAAGTAGTGGTTTACCTTATAATTTCTTCTTTTTCTGATTGCAGGAGATTTTCCACGTGTCCTCCTCCTATTTCTATGTATTTCTATGCTCGACACTTTCGTACTAAAGAATCACGTACTCTCTCAAAGATTCCCGGATGTGTACTAACTTTTTCACAAGCATTTTAACCGGAACGAAAAATCGCTTATAACTTTGAAGCTATTAATTTTTTGACCCATGTTTATCAGAACTTTCACTCGTGTTTCGTGTTTTCGAGTACTATCTACCCTAAAAATTATGACTCTTCTTTCTATTCACCCTGTATATATATGTATATTGTTTCAGTATTGTATCGTTTCAGTAGAGTTAGTTATTTTAATTTGTACCGTATTCGTATTGTTTCAATAAAAATTGAACGTTTACCTGCTTTTGCTCGAACCGTGAAATTGCAATTTCACTTTTGTTACTTTACAGTCGTTGAAAACACGAATTGATATTCTGAAGTCGCGAAGGAAAACAAGCTCGGAATAGTCGTTAATAAAGGAGTGGCTTTCTAACTTCTAACAACCGTGTTCTCCGTCGTTCGATACGGATTCGACTGTCCTATCGACTCTGTAGTAGGTTCGAAGTCACTTCTTTATCTTATCGTGCTTTATACCATCGTCTCGTTTCTCGTATCAACTTGCTCGTTTGCTCTTGAACTTTATCATCTATCAGCAATTTATTTACAAAATAGTGAATGAAGTATTACTTCAAATAAAATGATATAGTATTGGAAATAAACATCCTGTTTAAATGGTACTTGGCATGAAATTTTGTTGATTGTATTTTTCTAATACACGAGTGTTTCAATCTTTTAGATCCTCTGGGGCCTCATTAGTCAACAAAAATTTGTCGAGGACCGCGCATAGTTTACATATGTTTTTATCAGCTCAATGCAATCTATATTATTTACGAGGATGTTGAAACAACTTTTATAGCGAAACGATACATCGATCAGAAAAATATATTTATATTAATATTTATAAATATGTTAATATATATTTATATGAATTGAAAAAATATGAAAATTTTATTATGCTTCTTACGTCGTATTACATTATATTAGATCATACAAACACTATACCTACGTTCATTATAATTATCAGCAACAACAAAAAATTTTATAATTTTGCTGTTAGCTACATTTAAGTATAATGTTCTCCTTATAGGGGATCGCTGAACTTTCTGAGTGACTGAATTTTCTTTTTCTCCTCTCTCTCTCTCTCTCTCTCTCTGTTGGAAATCGAGATTCGCGGAATGACGAGACAGCTACGATCGCGATTTCTATCTTCGCATTCCACGAAACCGTTATAAATGTCCCAACTGTAGCGTAAGTAGGTAGATACACGTAAGCAAACTCTAACGAAACGTTTCGTTCAGGTCGACGTTGAAACGGCGAGTGTCGCGACTGTTTCATTGAAACAGCACGCAAAGTGTTTCACAATGGTTGCGTCGCCCTCGTCGTCGTCGAAGCCAGACTCGCAGGAAACGTTGACAACCACCCCGATCGAGAGTCCTACCTCCGTTGTTGAGCAACAAACTCGCAACGAAGATATCGCTTGTTTACCGCGCGTCTGCATCGATAACAGCGACACCGATGTTACATCGATAAGAACCACCGGAGAAGGAACCGATAGCAGAGAGATTGCGCGTGATTCCAATCATTGCTCGAACGATGGGAATGCAGCCTCGTTGAATTCCAGGGATGAGTTGGACGATTACGAGAGAATAGAATACGTGCTTGGTACGTTGGACGGGTGTTGGAAAGAAGAAGCGAACGAAGATGACAAAAATCCTGGCCCCGTGGACCAGGAGACCGCCTCTTGGTGCAGGAAAAACGTGTTTGTCAAGTCAAAGTCTACCAACGATTTAGCCAGCAGAAGGAGCGACTCGGACGCGAGACTGCTGGATGGAAAGTCTTTGATGGGAACGTTCTCGGACGGGGAATTGGCGGAGAGATTTCTCCTCGGTAACGAGTTGCCAAACTGTGAAAAGAAAAAGAGACATTTCGCGAGGAACATTGTGCTGCACTTCGTGCCGGAGTATCTGGCAAGGGGGCAGAAAGGGAAGAAAAGGCAGAAGGGGAAGGATATTTCCAGTCGATCGTTGAACTCTCTCAAAGCTTCGTCGTTGATGGACTCAAAGATCGAGATAGTCGAGAGTCCCGATGGCAGATACAGATCGAGGAGTCCTTCCCGGGAAGAGTTGAAGTACTTGAAGATCTCCTCGCCGACAAATTTCGTCCACGTCGCGTCTGCCACGAATCCGAATCTCGTGTTGAACGAAAACACTATCGGATTCAGTCTGGAGCAAGTGGTGATCATGCACGAGCAAAAGTGTGCCACGTTGCCTCTTCTGGTCGCGACGAGCCGCGAGGATTCGATGGCTGAGAAACAAGTCGGACAACAACCGTCATCATGGTCGTCCTCGTCATCGATATCTTTCGACACGGCGTCGTCAATCGTTCGCAAGCCGAAGGAGAAAGTCACGCGTACGTTTCCTCTATTTCGTCATCCGGGATCGCCTTTTCCTCATTTTTAACCCCTTGCGCCGGAATGACGCGCCACGCACGTCAAGAACTTTTTGCTCCAAAATTGCAGTATTTTCTCAGTTTTAAGTATATTTAAATATAATTCAGGCAAAACAAGCAATAAATTTATTACTTCTTAATAATGTCTATCTACAGTGATAACATACCGACGAGTTTAAAAAGAAAGCGACGAATTATTGTATACGGTTTGGTCACTCGTTATGGTCCGCAGTCAGTTACCAGCTTAAGTGGTTAACCTCTTGCGCTGGAATGACGTGCCACGAACGTCGAGAATTTTTTGTTTCAAAATTGCAATATTTTCTCAGTATATTGAAGTATAACCTAGGAAAAACAAATAGTAAATCTATTACTTCTGAATAATTTCTATCCAGTGACATCACACCGACAAGTTCAAAAAGAAAGAGACGAATTATTGTGTACGGTTTGGTCACTCGTTATGGTCCGCAATCAGTGGTTAACCTCTTATGCTGGAATGACGTGCCAAGCACGTCGAGAATTCTTTGTCCCAAAATTGCAATATTTTCTCAATTTTAATGTATGTTTAAATATAATCCAGGCAAAACAAGTAATAAATTTATTACTTCTCGATAATTTTTATCCAGTGACATCATACCGACGAGTTCAAAAAGAAAGCGACGAATTATTTGACACGGTTTGGTCCCTCGTTATGGTCCGCAATCAGTTGCCAGCGCAAGTGGTTAAACATCGCAAACATGTTTCTAATCGCAACGTTCTCGAATTACAGAAAGGAGCAACGCCTCTTTCAACCTTGAACACCTGAAACGGGAATTACTGTCCGAGTTGCAAGCACGATCGGCAAAAGTGTTGGAGTTGAGCCAGCAGGTGAAAACAAGCGAATACAATCAGGCGAACGTACAACTCGGCGAATTAACGTGCGAGTCGTGTGCCGAATTACCTGTCAATTCCAGTTTTCTTTGGAGCGATCGGACCAAGAACTTCCTCTTGGAAAATATGCGATCCACTCCCGATGAAAGTGTTGAAAACATCGAATGTAGCATCGTAGACCAAGTGTACGATGACGTGGGACCCGTGAATCTGATCAACCAGGTGATTGCCCAATCGGCGTGTGTCTATTCGCTGCGTCAACGCTGAGCGTTTCTTTAGTTCTTTAGTCATCGTTATTTTTTATTTTTTTTTCATAATTTTCAGCAAGGTTCTTCTTTTAGAAACATTCTATTACAGGGTGGGCCGGAATTCGTAGTACAACAGACCAGGAGGTGATTCTACGTCAAAAAATAAGAAAAAAATTTCATATAACATTTTTTTATGTGGGGCTCGATTTTCGAGAAAATCGACTTTAAAATTTGTTCATCTTTGTGAACGATTTAGTTATCTATTCTTCTGCCGCGGTTCTCCGTCCGAGATAGTGTTTATAAACATTATGTATTGTGTGATTAAAACAGTACAAAGTGTTCCTACTGATAATTAATTTTTTATTCCTTATTACTACTTTCTATTGCAATACTACAACATAGTACACTATTACAAATATTGTTGAAAATGACCTCTTCGTTGCTGCATACATAAGTTTGCTCGACGAATTAATGATATCTGAACAGAATGGAAGCTGATATCGTTTTCTAATTTCTCGAATTCCCCCATAATCTTTTGCTTTAAATGTGTAATATTTGAAATTAATATTGTCTTTATAAACTTGTTCATTAATATGCTCCCATAAAAAAAAATCTAGAGGCGTAAGGTCCAGAGACCTTGAGAACTTATCAACAAGTTTATAAAGACAATATTTGTCTCATTAATATTCGTAATCAGAAGCCCCTAATTATTCAGACTCGACTACCAAATTTTTGGCAACAGATTGACTCTTTCCCGGTGTCTATAATCAATCTATGATCAACCAGTTTTTTTTTACTGTTATATTAACGACAATTTTACAATTGACAGAACGATTACGACGACGTGGGCACACCTGTGTTACATGTCGATGAAAGTCATATCAGCGAGCTGTCGGCTGCTTTCCAAGATTCCAACGACATCTACGACGACGTGATGGGCCCAAGCTGTGCGGAAGACGCGTGTACAAGTAACGAGGCTGAAATTTGTGACAGCAAAGCGAAGCAAGGAAGTAACGAGCCATCCGTCGCCAATGAATATTCCAGCGTAGATGAAGATATCGACGTTGCGTCGAGTAACGACCAGGACGTGTACGACGACGTTGGTTTACCGAGCGAAGAGCGAGTCAATAGTCTTTATACCGGCTCTACGATGGGCTCGATTTTAGGGCCGAGTTGGACCTGCGGTAAAGAATCCGAGTGGGAGGATCTGGAGGATTCAACGACGATCGGTTTATCTCAATTTGAAAGCAAGTACTATACCTGGTAAGTGTAACAGTAAGCGTTTCTCTTCTTGCAATTTCTCTACAACGTAGTTTGCTTGTTGATGAAAAAAAGCACAGAGGCGCAAGTCGTTCCGAATAAAAGAAAGTCGGGCCAAAGATGGTCCCAGATGATGAGGAGACAACGATCCAGAATGTCGAGGAAAAATTCCAATTCGTCGTCGAAACCGGTTTCCTGCGAATCCATGCTTCACGGTGAGTTTGCCCAAAATTGATTTTGATACGTCCTTAGATGAAATTGACAAATTGACTATCAGTAATGTCAGATCTATATACTTTTAATGCGTGTTAACACTAGAACTACCATTAATGGTCAAAATGACCAATTGATAATTTTTGTCAGATCTTTTATAAATATAATACAGTGTATTTTTAAAGACTCGAATGATTCTTCGTAAAATAAAAACTTGCGCACCCCATTGTATCATAACGATTTTCTGTTTCTTTCACTTTTAATGTCTCTAATGGAAATGTTATACTTTAATCGCCGGTAGTTCTAGCGTTAAAAGACTATTGAAAGAAATAATTTTACAAGTGATTAACAAGAATAATCTTAAAAATAGAAGATGAACATTTTAGAAATTTGTAGTATTCGACATGGCGAATGTTTTCCTCAGAAAAATCTTGAAACCAACGTAGAATGTAATACTCGCTTGAAAATTTTACAAAGTAAACAGTAAATAATCTTGATTTCTGGTTTTGACTTTGGAATTGGATCGAATATCAGGGAAATTTTTTCATCGATCGTCAGACTTTTTCTTAATATTCACTTTGTACATTTCTCGAGATTACAAATAAAACAATTGAAAAACGAAAAATAAAATAAGAGGATTTCGTTAAAGAAGATGGAACAGAATTTTGAAATGATCGACTGTGACGCTTGTTGTTAATTAACTGTCAGAAGAAAAAAAATCAACCTTTTCTCGCCGCACACGTGTATCTCATAATGAGCAAAGATTGCCGACCAGCGCCTGCACGTGCGATCAATCGATCACTGGTTCTTTTTTTCTGAGCGAGATTTCTCACCGTGAAATCGATCGGTAAGGAAGAGAGGTCGCTTGGCTCGCGCCTTCCTGTTCGTATAATTCTGGAGGAATCGACAACAATGTGGCAATGAGAATTAAAAAGGAACGTAGGCGATGATTCGAGTCACGTGAAAATATTTCATCGAAGAGAGTTCAGCCTGGAAACCGGACTCGAGCACGCAGATCGCTGGGAAGGTGAAAGCGTGTATATTGCGCTCTCTCGGTTGCAGTGTCAGTCACGGCCGAGACGCTGACTGCGTCGTGTCGTTTCGCGCCGCGCCGCGTCGAATCGTCTCGCAATTTTTACGTCGGTTTACGTCCGCGTCGTTGAATTTTCGTTCGTCAATGCGTATCGTGGTTTCTCGATCGTCGTTGCTTGCTTTGTCTTTTGCGGTGTACTTGCGCGAGACTCGTCTGCAACGAGTCGACATGCCGTCGAAATGAAACAGACCTTGAAAACTTTCCAACGACCGAATACGCAAGGTAAATTATGCACGTTGATTGTTTCACACCGATACTTCGTCTTACACACGACACAACAAAAACTTGAAATTTGTCCAAGGAAATAAACGCTTGTATACCTATACTTTGATCGTTCATTTCAACAAGCACACTGTTTGGTGCTTTAAAGTAACGAACCGCAAGAATTATTCGACGAGCCCCGACGAGATTATCCTCGTTTAAAAAGTAAAAGTGAAAAGAAATTACGCGACTCACGATCGCGTAAATTTCACCTTGCTCGTTCGCTGGATGCGCCATGACTTTTATCCATTCCTTTCTCTCCTTGAGTTTTTTTTTTTTTTTTTTTTTTGTCGATCACGTGAGGCGATCTTTTTCTGTTGAGATCTTGGACGAATATCGGGGGAGCAGGCAGACACACCATACACATGTATTGTTGGTACGCGTGTGAGGAACGACATAGTAACGCTTGACCGTGAACTATGATTTTTAAGTGGCTGTGAGCCTTGGCAAAGGATCGGTGTTGCTCGTCGGCTGTACGGAGAATGTCGTGGAATGGAGGAAAGAAGAAGAGAGCGACGATCGAGCGGCGCAGCAAGATTCACAGAGGACGCAGGGCCTCGTCCAGATGAGGGTCATCGATCTGGACGAAGACGTGGACACGCAGGAAACATCGTGCTACGTTCACGAAGGTTCTTGCAAGAGATTTTAGGAAGTTAAGATTTAAGAAGCTGATTCAAAGTCGAGTGAAACTTCTGTCCCGTTAAACAACGACGAATCTATTACTGGAGAATTTCTATGTATTCCAAAGCCCAAACCCAGAAAAAAAGATGCAATAAATTACCTTGTAAAAAAGACAGTTTGAGACCGTGTAAATTACCATTTTCCTGAATACTTTAGCGTTTGTAAGAGAAAGAGTAAAACGAGTGTTTCTAATTTTTTTTTTTTTTTTTTATTAACTTGAGCAATAAGATACGAATCTTTTATAAACGAAAGCAATATATAAAAAATATATGAAAATCCAAGCTTCTACTTAGGAAAATAAATTGTTACAAGAATGCAGAAGGATAAAAATATGTCGCTTCTTTCAACTGCAACTTATTGTTAGTCGGTAACGTTTTTACAGACGACACATCTGACGACAGCACGTACGAGAGCCTCCATTCCTTCCAGCCGGACGACTTCTGCACAGATTCGGAAACGGAGACGACGATGAACGAGGCAACGAGGGAGCGAGAGAGCGAAACTGCCGAGGCGGAACAGAAGGTGGCGATCGATTCCGATCGATTGATCGCGTATTTGGAAGCACCCACGAGGCCGAATCCTCCGCCACCGCGTGAAGTCAGTTTGACTCGAACTCTCGGCAGAAGGATAAAGATGCTCCGGAGGACCTGGAGCATCACCAAAGGAAGCCTGGGCCGGATGCGAAAGAAGACGACGGCCGACGACGATCACACCTGCGAAGACAACAAAGAATTCTCCAACGTTCACTCGAACGTGGACGGTGGACGATACTTTGGTTTCGCCAGACACTTTAAAAAGTCCGTTACTGGACCTTTCTCTACTTTTTATTTGAGCGACTATGCCGATTCTGCGAACGGTAACAACGATTCACCGACGTCGAACGTGGAGCCAATGTACAGCAATACCAACGATGAGATGGGTAAGTCAGTACAGTGGTGTCCGCTTAAGCCAGTGACGGTCTTTTTGAGAAGTTGGTCAAATTCATTATATTTTTTTAGTACTATCTCGTGGGTCACTAAGTCAGTGGAAAGGGGGAGGGGTTAAAAACTACTTTCTTTTGGTCTTCACTTTTATAATCCTCTAAAAAGTTTACGTTTCCTTTTTGTTTTACAACGTTTACTTTTGCAAGTAAAGAGTAAAAAAATAAATGTCGACGTCAAAAAATTGATATAAAAGGGGTCACACCATGTCCAGTCACCCCTGCACTATACATTAAATATATATATATATACATATACTTTATTTCTTAATATTTTTTATTGTCTGTTCTCTCTTTTATTACATAAAAAACTAGCAAAGCTACCCATTCTGAGAATGGGATCTAGTATGTTTTTTAGTGTTTATTACATCTGTTTAATCGTAAGCGCTGTATAAAATTTTTTGGACACAAGTAACTCGTATAACATTTAAGACTTAAAATACCTATATGTATACGTAACCAAGTCGTAAATCCTCCATAAAACAATTATGCATTTATTTCTCACTTTTAAGCTCTAACCGAACACTTGTAATTTTCTTAACATTTTTTGAAAAGAGGGGTTCGAAAAATAATTGAAATTCTTTTATATATATGATGATAAGTTTATAAAAAATCAACGCGTGGTCACTTTAAAAAGTCTGCGTGGGTCAGTGTCTGAGGTGTATTCTGGCGAGTTGTGCCGAAATATCGATATCAGGTATCACTCGCTTTGTATTGTGCAAGTATCTTGTTTCACGCGACCTTCGGCATAGCAACGGACGCTTAAGTGGACACCACTATATTTGAAACTTTGAAATTGAAAACTTTTCACTCTCTCTCTCTTTCCTTTGTGATTCTTATAAGTTCTCTTACAATTGCTCCAGATCACTACAGCGTGCTTGCCGATCAGGAACCACTTTATCAATTTTACGCGGCAGCTGCTGCCAGGATTGCGTCCGACTTCAGCTCGGATGGTTACGAGGAGGTAACGTATCGCAGACCATTCTCAATTCGCCCTCGAACGCAGTCCAATTGTTCATCTGTTAATGATTAATAATCAGATCGAGACTACGATCCCGTCACGATCCACCACAGACCTGGTGAAACCCGGCCACAGAACGTTGTGGTGCCAAACACCGCAAGTCATCAATAATAGTCTTTTACGTAAGCGACACGTCACATAGTGTTTCGAACTTTCATTCACACTTTGTCCAGAACGTAAGGTCACGTTTTATTTTTTTGTTATTTAGAACGATTAAGCACGGACGAAAGGAAGGTTCAAGAGGCAAAGTTCGAAATTCTCACCTCCGAAGCGTCCTACCTGAATTCTCTTCGTGTCTTGAAGAACGAGTTCCTCGACGAAACCTCTTTCAACGAGTTCTTAACTCCGGCCGAGAGAGACAAACTGTTCGGTGGTATTCCTGGCGTGTTGCAAGCGTCGGAACAGTTTTTAGCCGAACTGGAAACTGTATGGAGACAGGATCCGATGTTGCACGGTTTGCCAGACGTCCTGTTCAAGTATGCCGAGAAATGTTTGGACATTTACGTGGCATATTGTTCCAATCAAGTTAGCATAGACACGACTCTTAAAAATTTGAGGTAAGTGAAAAATGTTCTCGTCTCGTTGACGAAGTTGTACCGATGGATTAATTGTTCCAGAATGCGAAAAGGTTCGAAATTTACAGAAACGGTATCGCAAATAGAAGCACGCTCTACCTGTCAAAGTTTGTCTTTGCACTCATTTTTAATGTTACCGATGCAGCGAATAACCAGGTAAGATAAATTCTGTTCGAACGTTGAAATTTCACGTATCGAACGACGATATATAAACGTGACAGGAGCGTGTAAATTATTGAAAAGTATGTGAATTCAGACTTCCTTTGTTGGCTGATGCGGTTCTTTCTAAACTACCAATAGAACACGATGACAGATCACACTGGGAAAAAGTTTTGTCGAATTTAAGTTACGTCGTCGCAGAATGTAACGAAGGTGCCAGTGCCGCAGCTAAGGAAATCGAAATGGAAAATTTAACGAGGTGACGTTCACGGTTTGATGTAATCAAAAAAGATTCAGTCGTAACTTTTACATATATATCTGTATATGAAACTGAGGAAATCTATTTTAACAGAAAATTGGAGTATTCCGCGAAAATTAAACCGATAGCATTGAAAGGGAAGCATTTGGTTAAAAGTGGATCAGTCGTGCAACTATCGACGAAAACTGACACGGAATATAAGCTTACGTTTGGGAAAAGATTCAACAAAACTCCTCTTTATTTATTATTGCTCACGGATCTTCTTCTAGTCGCAAAACAAAAGTCCAAGTACGAGCGTTCATTAAAATCAAGTTTTCAATCGCGTCTCCAATATAAAACAGAAACGTATCTTCTCTCTGTTACAGTATTCACGACGAAACATATACCGTTATAGACACTTGTAAGAGAAGTTTAATCACTTTAGAACCAGTTCCTGAAGACTCGATCTTTGCTGGACGCAACGCGATGCTCTTGACTCTCTTGGAAAATTATTCGGGGCATCAGGTCGAGTATATATTAACGTGCGAAAGCGATACTGAAAGACAAAGGTGGTTGGAAGCAGTATCACCTTCGCAACACGGATTACCAGAAGAGACTCTTTACGAGGTGTGGGATTGTCCTCAAGTTGTAGCTTTATATTGTTATTCTCCGAACCAACCGGACGAATTGTCGTTGCATCCAGGTATACATATATATATATTTTTTTTTGTGAAAATCTGCTACCTTTTACCGACCTTGCGTTTCAATTAACACGAGAAGCTGGCTTTTAGGTGATGTTATAAACGTATTTAGAAAAATGTCGGACGGATGGTATCAAGGAGAGAAATTGTTAAATGGTGAACAGGGCTGGTTTCCTGGAAATTATACGAAAGAGGTCGCTTCGGAACATGTTCGCGCGAAAAATCTTAAACAAAGACATCGTTTTCTTGCGCTAAATGGGAACGTATTGCAACGAAGAGCAAAACAACAATCGGCCATTCATTAAATGAATGATAATTAAGTTATGAATTATTAATTTATGTAATTTTTAATAAATCAATCGTCACGATATTCTATAGAAATTCTAATCCCTTTCGTTCTCGCATAAAATATATAACAACTATAAGAATTAGATAAAATTAAAAACATTTTTGTAACAAAAGTATTTTGTTATTTATTATTTTAATATAAATACTATTATAAATGTTTTCCTAATAATCTTGTGTATAATTTAATTAGTTAAAAATCTAAGAATAAAAACGAATGAGATTAATAATTTATTCGTTCTAAATATAATAATCAGTGGAATGTTTTGTTTATGTAAATATGAGATATGATGCACAGTCTTGTAAAACATGCTCTCCAGTTCTTTCTGAGAAAAAGAATAGTATACAGTGCTCAAACGGTAAAAATTCAACAAATCTGAAGCAACATAAATAATTTTCTGAAAATAAGAGTGTTATATTTTTACATAAACATTCCAGCATATTTGTAATTATCGTTTCCAGTAATAAATGCAGAAAACTTCTTCAGCTATGTTCACTTTTGCACGACACATCTTAATAACATTTATATGCGTGCCCTGGAGTATCTAGATGGTCTCACTTCAAATAATTTTCTTACAAAATATACCTGTATTGTTGTTGTTACCATTATAACAATTATTTGTGCAATAGACCACGTTTGGACATAAGAATTGTTATCCAACAATAAATTTAGATCACGAGCTTCTCTACTTCTGCTCAAATGCTGAGTTTGAAGCATTTCGTTAATGTTTTTTTCCACTGTGGTTATCGTAGACTGGAAAACAGAAACGCACGATAAAAAATCACTTTATTATTCACTTTCAAGTGAAAATAATAGATGTACTTACTGTAAAGTTTTCCACAGAAACATTCAATTCTTCTATTTCTCTGGAATATTTATCCCATTCCTCATATCTGCATCAAAGAGATAAATCATGGACCACATTTACAATGTAATTATATTCCATTATAAATTTTAGAATGCACATACATGTATGACTTTTTACCTGATCACTGTAATGTATAAATTAACTAATTTTGAAGCAAATCTGGAAAACTGATTATCTATACAAATGCTGTAGTAACCAGCATTTTTCACAGTATCTTGATAATCTGAGTTAGAAAGCCACTGATAGGGATGAACTATCACTCCATCTGGATTTCTTACTGCGAAACCAGCTTTTCCATCTCCACCACGTACCACCTGCATTTGCAAACATTCTTTTTTTTTTAACATTTAAAATTTTTCAAGGATTTACCATATGGTTCAATACATTCAAGCAAATCACCAGATGAAAGATATTTTTCAATATTCTAGCGATAGTCAGTGCTCACTAGACAAATACACAAAAAGGAAAGTATTTTCAGTGAAACGACAATGTGAGAATGAATTGTATACCTGAAAATTTACGTAGAATGTAGCGCCAGCATGAACATATTGAAAGTAACAATCCTCCTTTCCGGCATCAATATGAACTTTGTAATCTAAAGCCACCGCGGGTAAACTTTCATACCATGGATGTGGCATGCTGGTGTTCGCGAGGCCAAGAAACACTCCGAACACCAGACTTCGTAAAAGATTAGACATTGTTCACGTTTAATCGAACAGATCATCACAACAATCTGCTCAGCCAACAATCGCTTTCACGATCACTAACAATCGCGTTTCAACGTGCCTCTCCTACCGCCACCAAGATCTTCAGTGATTCTCAACTGTTTCGATGTATTGTAACTGAGTCACTGAGATTCAAATTACTAAAATTCATTATCGAGCTTATCGTTATTTCATGTAAATATGATAATAATAACGCAATAAGGAATATTGTTTGCCAACCATTTATCCATTTGCCAAGGTTATAATATTATAATATTATATAATATAGTTGAAATATCGCTAATTTTAAAACAACGAGTATAAAACCAATTTATTGTTCGTTGTTTATCGAGGGAAACGTTTACAATTACAATCGTGAAACAATTACAATTACAATCAATGGGGATAATAACAATTCGATCATTTGAATTTTAAAACGCTTCATAATTATTTACAACTCAGTCGTTTATCGCCATTGAAAATTGTTGTACACGTTTGCCAGATGAGAATTATTGAATGTGAATGAAAAACACAATAAACAAAGAAGATGAATATGTATGTAGGTATACGCGATTCCAGGCGATCTAAATTTCAACTTTCGATGCCAAGTGAAAATATCTGTGAAAGTAAGAGCAATACGGATTTAACGCGAGTAAAGTACCGGGGCAGTTTAAAATCCTACACGGCATAGTTATTAATTTTTATTCGCGAAGAAACGAAAGTTTTTTCAAAAAAATTTCTATGGATATTGGAAATTAGGAAAAAGAAAAAAGAAAAATTGAGATTCGTTACGCGTATGAAATTGCCAAGCTAACTCGTTGAATGGTAATTAAGATTGTTTAATAATCAAATATCTCAGCCAATGTAGCGAAATAGATTGAACTTTTGAGAAGTATACAGCCCGAAGAACATCGAGCCACGTAAGTTCAGGGACTTTTTTTACGTTGGCTAACCTACTTACGTATGTCGGTGTATTTTTCAAATAATCATTAAAGCGCATAACTTCAGCCTATAAAGACGTCCAAATCGGTTCGGCAGAATTGGATGAGAGTTGTATGGAAATGAGAGTTGTGTAATTTCTGACTGATATAGGTCATACGGTTTACCGACTAAACGACAAGTATCGCCGACGAGTATGCAAAGAAATATATGTGGTAATATGTGGTGCGTTTTTAAGAATGGAAAGTGTTGTAAGAATACAAAAGTACAGTAAAAGGAAAGTATCGTTGTTGCCTGTGCGGTGCATAGCATAGGAATGGTATCGCCGTCTAAAATTCAACACCAACAGGAGCACAAACAGCCATCAAGAGGAAATAAATCAAACAAGTACTCACGTATGTTTAACCTATATACATATTTGTATCGAGACGATTGGTCGTACGATTATTGAACTTTCACGAACAATTCCTTTTCAACAGATACGTAACAAAACGGCTAGTTGCATAAAGTTATTTCTATTGCTCTTTTGACGTATTTTATTTCATGATATACAGAACGATTTTTTTTTTTTTTTCGTGTAACATACGCACATATTAACAAAGAAAACGTGTAATATTTTGCTTTTATCCTATTACACGATGTGTTTATAAAGTTACACTTCAAAATCATTTAGTAAGTAGTAAATTAGGTAAAATTTTTATAAAGTTCCGTAACATTTCAGATGTTCATGCAAAGAAGGAACTGGAGTTGTTAAAAGGAAAAGTGTTTTATTTGGATATCAAGAACCATGCTACTACAGCTAAGATAGAAGCAAAGATCAAAGATTTGGGAGGAGTAAGTGTTTAGTTATTTGTAGGTGACATTTGTGAAACCTCTACTTTTGCCTCTTTGTTTTTATGTATGCATTGACTTGTTGCACAGTTTCAGTATATTGATAATAATTCCTTTTTCACAGACTTTTTTTTTCTGTGACATAGCATTTGCTGGTGCATTTATCTTTCTATCATTTTGTTTTCTACTGTTGCTTATTATTACTTCTACATCCTATCGATGTTAACTTTGCCATGCAATCGTGCATGTGATTCAATCATTTTGTGACCTGTGATTCTTATGACTCGCCTATGAAGAATCAGTTTCATTCGTAATATAAAATCTACGGTTAACGAGATTTAATTCAACGCGAAAAATTGAAAGCAAAAAAGACAAGTATGATAGATGTCAACTTTCAAGTATCAACTATATGTTCCATGAAAAACTGTACTGTCCCTTGTACAACGATTAAGAATCATACGTGTATACATACGTAGTGATACATACGAAAGAAAAAAAATTTTGTAACTCGGCAAACTCATACTCGAAGAGTGTGGAGAAAAATCGTCGGAAAATATCTCTGTTGACAAACAATTGGTGAAAAAACCGGGCCGCGTGACGCCATCTTTAGGAAAAGCCGAGAAACAGGAGGGAAGTGGGGCAGATTCGTCGCTTTCGACTGTTGTGTTGTGGTTTGAAAAAGCAAAAAATATGGACGCGAAAATACTGGGGAAAAGGATTTTCACGTATTCAGCGGGGCCACGGCGTTCGTTTAGTGAGCGTGTCCATCGACGGAGGGCGAGCAAGAACGCAAAGCGCCGCCTCCAGGCTCGTCTGCCAAGCTGTTAACGGCGAATGGCCATTTTGTGCGTGACAGTTCTCCCCCGCAAGTAACGATCTCGTCGCGCGTCCCAGCGCTCTTTTCCTTTGCCACCTTCCTTTCGTTTCGCCGCTTGGAACACGTCTCGACGAGCATTCCTCCCTGAAACCATTCAAGCCGTGTGTTACTTTTCGAACACCTTTCGAACACCAGCTCCGGGATATTCGCGGACTCTGTAAACCGATAAACAGTGTGGTACGGGGAAGTTGTTTTGCGCGAAGGTATCGTGCGTTTTGTGACCGCTTGTGACAGTAATTCGATAGAAACTCGCCGATTATCCCTCCGTTTTCCATGGATTTCTCCCGAGAGGTCCTTTCTCGTTGACTTTCCGATCGAAGTTCCATGGATTATTCCTCCCGTTTGATCCCACGTGCTTCGTTATTGTCCTGATTTGTTCTGTAACGTGTTATTAGAACGGTGTGTAACAATGCGGCAACCATTGTTAACTACATGAAGATTACGTACGCATGGCTCGCGCTTCTGCGAACTCGATTGACGGTGCGGCTGGCTGCACTTGAGGAGAACGCGAGATTGCTTGACGTCAGCATACCGCGATGTAAACGTGTGTATCCGCGTATCCGTCAACGGGTCACTTATCGCCGGGCTGCCACACATTACGTATCCCTTTGACGCAGCCACCAGTTTTTTTTGAGTTGACTCGCTGTAAGTCGGCAAGCTGTCCCTCTTTGTTCTTGCTGTTTTTTTTCTACTCCTCGATTCGCCACTGAGGTTTCATTCGTCTTGCATCTTACTCGTCACTTTCGTATACGCCGTTTGTTCTAATCTACAGCTGCCGGCAATCTGTTTCACAAGCCTTATTTACAATTTTCTAGGTAATAGAATTATTTTTAATAAGGAGCGTACACCTGGTGATCAGTGACAGAGTAGACAAGACTGGTTACGTGAATTTGGAGAAGCATAAATGGGGTTGTGCCAGCGGAGGCAGCGGGGGACCTCCCTCGCTGAGGAGTTTAGAAACTCCAACCCCCATGCCGACTTCCTTGACACCATTTTTTAGTCCCGAGTGTCCCTTGTCTAACACAACCAATTTAAGGGGTCAGACTACCCAAAGATCCGTAAGTATCAGAGTGAAGTTTCAGTTCTGCTTTCGATTTCTGTTAACCGAATTTCATATTCCATACTCTGTGCGTTGTTCCATAGAAATCTCGGGTGGAGGCAATGTTGGAGCGTGCTCTCATACAGCCACAACAGTGTTCAGTGGATCCACTTTACAACGCTCAAAATTGGGGAATTCCTATTTGGGCAATTGACAAATTTCAGACTTGGCTTGACAAAATCTATGCGCCTGTCAAAGACACTAATCATTTGAAACAGTTGAGACACACGCATCAACAGAGTGCAAGCAAAGATATAAAGGTCAAACACCTGAAAGGTCCTTACCTGAAGTTCGAGTCCTTTCAGAGGTATCTTATTTAACACAAGATTTCCACAAGTGTATCTCGAGTTACCTTCGTATATAATGACATGTTGACTAATATATAGGAATAGTAGACCTGTGTTTGTTGAGCTGCCTGTGTGGCCAACGTTGAATTTTCACGGCGATCCAGGCTCTTGTCCTTTTGCTACAAAGAGGCGAGAAAAGCAGGCAAAAATAGAGAAAGAAGTCAAGGAAAATAGGGAAGGTATTCAAGCTATCAACCAAGAGGAGGTAATGTTAGATACATAATTTTTATCGTATGAGATTTAAATAAAATTGACAGACGTTAAATTGTCAAACGTTGTATTGAATATAAACAGAAAAAAGAAATGACTCGGCGGCCACGAACAACTGCCCGTACTCGAAGAACAGATCATTTAGTTTCCGGTTATTGTGAAATCTGCCGTATTAGATATAGAGATCTGACCAAACATGTACAAAGCGATCAACATCTTAGCTTCGTTCGAAACGACGATAATTTCTTGTCTTTGGATAAATTGATTAACGCTGGAGCCAAAGTAGAGGCGTTTTTAGAATTAAACAGAGGAAAAAATATAGAGTGCGTAGAATACATTACATTAATTAAATCGTTTTTTTTAACGATAAACGTTAAAGTTTTGTTCGATCGTTGTTTAATGACCTATTTTGTTCTTTTGCAGGAAAGACTGCAATTTATTTTCCAATGGAGATCGTAATCTTCATGACACAGTACTGCCAGAAGGAAAAGTCAACAGAAATGCAAAAAGTTTAGAGGGTTTCGATGTCGGAGATATAAAAATGGTGCAACGCAATGGTGCACGCCGGAATCTCAGTTTAAAATTAAATTCCTCTCATAATTTACGTACACGTGCAAGACACGAGAGTGGCCATTTGTTGAGATCGAAAGGTAGCCCCTGGCACGAAGCCGATAAAGCGGAGAAGTTTTATGACGAGTTCGAAGGTTTTACTATCAAGAAGCGAGCAAAGGGGACAATCTGGATCGAAGAAGATGAGCCAGGAGATAATAAATATATAGAGGAAGATGAATTGAAAGAGTCCAAGCAAAACGAATATAAAATTAAAACGTTTTCAACGGAGTTGGAGGAGAAGTGCTGCGAGAATGAGAAAAATTGTGACATGTGTAATAAACTTAAAGATACTAGCAATCAAGACGTACATAGGACAATAAATTGTAATAACGAGGAAAATAGTATTAAGAGTGATATAGAATGTATCAAGCAAGAACAAACTTCTATAAAGGGTAAAAATCACGGTCAAATCAACGGAAGCGTAAAACATGTTTGTAACGAAAATCTTTTAAGTACAAATGACAATAGCCGTACCGAATCCTGTAAAGCATCGCCTGGGAACGAAACTTTAAAAGAATTGACTTGCAAATTCCAGTTAGAGACCACTCCGTGCAGCGCAAAAAGGCTCTCAGAGCACAGTGACATTACCGCAGACACCATCTGTAATGGTCATACTGTGAAAGACGAGCAAAAGGTTACTAAAACGCCAAACAATACAGAAAAAGATGAAGTAACGAAAGAAGAGAAATCGAAATACTACAAATCAAGTAGGAGAGGTAGCCGAAGCGTTAGAGGGCGGCATAGGTTGTCCGTTGAGGAACGTTTAATCGAAGATAACCGTGCATATTATAAAGTGGAAGTGTTAGGAAGTAAATTAAGGTCGAGTGTATTGTCGAATAATAATTCCCAATGTATAGTTCAGAGAGATGGGGATTGTGAGGAAAAGAAGGAAGTGCCATCTAGTGAAAAGCCAGTAGTTGTACGATTTAAACGTGTAAGGAAGTCGGAACTGTCATTACTGAGTGACGAGGCGGAATCTTTTATGTTTAGGGAACTTAAACGAGACGATTCTAGTGAGACGAGCGATGGCGAACAGAGTAGCATATTGCCAAGGGATACTGAAAGTGAGTGCAACGATATCGGCAATTCCATTTCCTCCAGCTCGTTCTTAAGTTCTAGTTCACCTGTGAAGTCTGAAACTATCGAAGACGATTCTCAGGACTCTTTAAATTTGGGTCGAGCTAGAAAAAGAAGACGGACGCAGGCAGAAGCGCTGATCAAAGACAATGTTGATTATTACAAGTTTGAAACTCCTGGGAGCAGATTAAGGTATCAGGCACCTCTGACCGGTATTAAAGAGTCATCGATTATTGAAAATTCGGTGAAAATAGAGGGAGAGAGAATGATCGAGAACAGTGTTGAAATAGGAAAGGTATATCCGTCCAAACCCTCACCAGAGGTCGAGAAAATGCAATTTTCCTTCGAAGGCATACCGAAGTCTGAACCGTGGTATCAAACGTACCAGCGGCAAGATATGGGAGCTGAATTTTGGCATTATTTTAGCGAAGGGGATTCGCAAAAACCATTTCTTTTGCCATACGAAATTGAAAATTTTCACGAGATTTTGATAAAAAATCAAAATAGAACTGAAAGCAAGAGGAAAGGTCGCGGACGAAGTGCGGGTTGTATCGGGCGGTCTCCTCGGAAAAGTCCTCGCTGTCACGCTTCCACGTTAGCTATTATGTCAACGATTATTAGGAAAAGGGAACAACAACAGCAACAACAATCTACAAATTTGTGCACGATGGACGAATGCCAATCTGTCAGGTCACAGGCAAACACTCCAAGACCCGACCACAAAACTGAATCGAAGCCCGACGTACACGAAGATCTAAAGGAAATAGTGAAGAGCATCGACGAGATGCTTAATGCAAACGACAATTTCGAATTGATCGAAACCTTCAAACCAGACACAACTCAGATAGAACTGATTGTTTGCGAACCAAACGTTCCAAGAGGACCACCTCCGAATTTGTTCGAGTTATTGGAGAGTTCTCACGACGTGGTAAACTGTTTGGAAAATTCATCGTGTGCGAGTTCCGAGTGCGGCGAGGGTAGCGTCGAGTTACCATTGAAACGAAGGAAGAAGAGGAAAAATAGAACCGGTTGGCCTGGGATTAAAATGAAGAGAAGACTCCAAAGTAAACCTCTGGCGGATATAAATTGTGACAGAGAGAACTTGGCCGAGAAAAGTATTGAGCATAACGAGAAAGATTGCGATGTACAGGTGACGAATATATCTAGTAGATTAACGGAAGAAGGTAATATCAAAATAGGTGCATCTGTTACGAGTTCGATCGCGCAAGATGAACAGTCATTAGGCTTCGGCCAGAGGAAGGACGACGGACGTTTATTCGAAATGTATACCTCGAGTATTTCCTCTAATACGCGTCACGACGAAAACGAGAAGAAAGATGTAAGTATAGCGGTCCCTGATAATTCCATATTACATACAACAAATGCTGAATCCTGCACAGGTTCACTTACACCTGATATATGCAACGAGACTGACAGGAATTTCATATTGAACAAAGACTACGGATTCAGGAAGAACTTGCCAGAGATCGAAGAAATGTCAGAGAATGATCCGGGAAACGATGAGAATCATGAGAACGTGTTCCGGAAAGATGTTCACTCTATATCGGAACGTCGCTTTATCTCCAACGCAACCATCAAGAAACGGCAACGTGACAACAACGCATCCTCTGAGACTTGCGAATCTCGTGTGGAGCTTGACAATCACGAGATTTTGTGCGGGAAGGAGGCCGAGGCTACAATTGTTTCCAGGAAACATCACAACACGAACGGATTGCCAAGAAAGCGGCAACGGAAAAACCATTCTGAGAACTCTGACTCTGAAATCGAACAGCATCACCACCACCATCATCACCATTACCATCACCACCATCATAACAATGTATATAAAAGGAACAGAGTAACTTCGCGGAAACGGATTTACGCGAGAAGGTGTGCGAGAAAAAATAATATATCCTCGAACGCAGTGTTCGAAGATGAGAACTGTAAAAAGGATTCCTATTTAAGTATTACGTGTAAAAAGCCACAAAATATACGGGGTACAAAGCGACGAGCCGATACTATGTCATCGGAAACGCAAGACTCTGAGGTTGATTGTACATTATCGGGACGCGTTAGTCCTGCGATTATAGCCACTTCTGAACTGGGAGAACGACGTTCGAGTATCGAGTTTCAACCAGTTGTTAGAATGATGAAGATCGATGATCAAGTTGAAATGGACCACAGTATTCTTTCGGTAACGATCGCAAGCAACAGACGATTAAGAAGTTCCAGTTCTCCGAGATCCAATACTCAGCCGCCGAAAAAACGTTTAAAAACCAACCGCGGTCAATTCGGAAGATGGTTAAAAAGTAGCTGAAATCCTCGATACAATTTTCGTTGTAGTTTAAATTTCAAAATCGAGATTCAGTCTTTCATACGATCTCGCTATTGAAATTTAATCTATACATTTCGCAATGTGTAAATTATGTATAAAATATTTGTGTATGTAGAATAGTATTTAACATTACTGGCGCACCAATAATAGGGTTTTATTAATATTTTCCTTAATGTCCTTTTTCGATAAGAGTTGTACATTGATATTTAGGTGCAGTTTTTGTGTTTTCAAATCAGAAAGTCAGCGTGCGTATGTATACCTGCGTTTAAACAAAGTACTTTCTTTTATTTTCTTATTTCAGTATACATACAATGTGCACATATGAAGGAACTTATTTTTATTTGTAAAAGCAGGCTTTAGAATGCGCAATGCTGTAAAACAAGCTTCATTATAGCAAACAATAATTTTCTGTTATAAAACGCATCATTGAATGTAAGATATAATTCAATATATATATATATGTATTGAATATATACATATATATGTATATGTATATTGAATTCCCTTACGAGGGTCCATCAAATATTTTATTTCAAAGATGAATAATGTAAGCCTTTCGCGATTTCGAAAAAGAGATGACTATTAAAGATATGAATTTTCCATTAAAAATAATAATGAAATTTTACATGTTCCTAACCTGTTTTGTTCTATGCTATATTTGATTATCGTAAAATATTTAAAAAAAAAAGAAAAAAATAGTATCGAGTAGTATTATGTTGATTTACTGAACTTATTGGAAATTTATTAGACAGTGTATCATACAATATATGGAGGAAAAAGTTGCTCAAGTAATTTGTTATATTTTCAATCACTTTAAGTTCTCGCGTTTCATGAATGCATTCTTTAAATCTGCGAGCTTTTTCTTCTTTTGTTTTTTCTTAATGGAGTCAACTCTCATTAGTCGTTCCTTTTGATTTTCTAGAGAATCGTCACCATTGATTAAATTGTCTACCTTTTTCAACAGTATATCTCTAGCAATTTTTCTATTTTGTTGTAAACTTCTGGTTTCGTGACATTTTACAACTAATCCTGTAGGCTTGTGTTTCAAAATCACTGCATTATTTGTTTTGTTAGTCGCTTGACCACCAGGTCCAGATCCTCTCACAAATTGCTCTTGCAAATCATCTTCTTGTAGTTCGGGTATTTTTGAATAATCTAAGAAACGATTGTATGATTTGTATCGAATTTGTTTTTGGATATTTGAGAAATTGCCCCAATTATTATTAGTTTCGCAATATAAAGATCCAAACATTTTTTTATCAAACAACAAGGTACAAGTGTTACAGGATTGGTCGAAACATATTCTATTTAACAACCTCAGCATTACTATGATTGTACAGCTATATCTGTTTAATTTCAGCAAATTATGGATTTACACTACTCGTTGATTTTGCAGAAATTTTTGTCCTTTCTGAAAAAAAAATTACTTTCAGGTTAAGTTTTATTTTATATTGCTCCATTTTATTTAAGAATATCTGCAATAGGAAGTTTATACAAAATGAATTGTATTTATGTTTATTTACCTGGAACTGAAAGTTAATCTCTGTTTGATCACTTAAGTGCTTATTTTGTTCGAAATTTTTGCGAATTCTGTATCGGAAATACTCTTTGTCTGTATATTTCAATTTTTCACCGTAACGCAACAAATCCTTGTATAATTTCAAAATTGCTTGTCTCATTTTGTATTTCTATATTAAAATAAAAATACTTCAATGCTTCGTTTTGTCATTTAAGTTATCGACGATGATGAAAACAAATTTCCAATAGTCCTAACCTCTCGATACTAACATTAAGTAATTACTAGCAAGTAGACTAAATCGTTCGATAAATATTTCAATATGTTTCACATTAGTACATTGAAATATTTTGTATATACAAATACGTTCGAATGGTCACAACTGTAATTTTTCAATTACAGAAAAAGAAAATATTCAATTAATTCTTTTATATAACTCACATACCACGTAATGTTATTAAATCTTGCTTTCTTTTTATCGTGCTATTGGTAATTTACTGATAATTTTGTTAAAATATTTTCTGGTACCAATTTTATTTTTTACAAAAAGCAGATTTACGGATTAAATGAATAAATAAATTACACTTTAGCATTACAAATTAATAATTTATTTAAAAAGTTGTACTTTAAATAAAAAGACTTGAAAAATTATTTGGTTTATAAATATGGTTTCCTATGTTAATCCCACATATAAACAAATGTCGTTACAATTCGTGAAATTCCAGTTCAAACAGCTTCGTAATTATATCATTCATTTGCAACTCTTCTGTTATTTCAATTATTAATTCCTCTATCAATTTATCAGATATCCTGTTTAAAGATATTTTCATAATTTAAAATTTGCACAAGATGTATAGAATAGTATTCTTACCATGCCACAATGTCCCACGGTTTGTTTTGCGTATTGCTGGAATACATTGGTCTCGATTGACAAAATTTCTTATATTCGCACCTATATGTGAAAAATTGTAGCTCAGTTTTTTCCGAAACGATAAGCTGCACTTCATTTTTGACGTTTGAGTCCGTGATTTTTCCGTCATCAATAGTCTAGAAATTTTGTTATAAAAACATATATATTTATTCATTTTAATCAAACGTGGTAACTTACTTTTAATGCAGTCTCACAATCTACTTGACACGAAGCATCGCACAGTGTCATCTTAGGAACTTTATCCATAGAAGATATACAAATTAATTGTACATTTTCATCGTGTTTATTAATTTCAGATAAGCTGTTGCAATTCATAAAATATTCAATTTTATTGTTTTAATCAAGATGTACTTTTATTATGGTATTCTATTTACCCATTACAATTAGTTTTTGTTAAAGATGCTTTAGTATCACAATCTTTAGGTGATTGATATTTTTGTAAAAATTTTCGTAATATCTCCACCGATGTTTCCAAAACAGGTTGCACCTCACGTTCATTTTGCTATGATATGATACAATAACAGTGGATGTTGAACAACGTATTAACTTTTGTTACATATATATTCTTATTTTTATTACAACAAACTGCAATATTACCTTTTTTGATACAAGAGTTACTAAGTCGTTTATTACAGGAGCTAGACTAGCTAAATGCTCTTTAGGAATTGCAGTTACTCTTTTAATTAAATCATCCTCCTCATTGGTAAAATTTTTTATTTTAACATTTACTCCGTTGCTTTCTATATTTTTCATCTTCCGCATTTCTGTAGATGTTTTTTTACGTATTGCGACAGATTGTCGTTCGCTATTCGTGGCAGATTTACATTTACTTTGAATTTCTATATTACTGTCCTGTATTGTAAAATTAATATTTTGTATTAAATTCTCCTTAAAATATATTTTTCATTATAATATTTCTTACATTTTCAGAATCCATCGTCAATCCATCCATCATAGTTCGAATGTCATCATCCTTCATATTATTTATATTTTTCACGGAATCGATCTGAAAAACGTCCCTCGAAGATGTCGTACGCGTTATGGGACTGGGATATAGTAAGTCAGGTACCGAATAATCCTGAGCATATGAATTTCCAATATCTTTAGCATCGTTTCCATCTTCCTTCCGATAAGTATAGTCTGTAAAATATAAATTTAAATTCATAACATTAACATTTAAAACAGTATGTACAAAATAATGTAAAACCTTAAATAGATTTCGTATACTTTTTCTTCTTATATCATGTCTTCTTTTCTGGTTACCCTTAGACACTTTAACATCCATACTATACATGCTTAATCGATTAGATAGATTCTTTCGATTGGAACGTCCTTTGTTAGGTAAAGATGTTAGTGCAGCGGTCATTACAGGCTGTATATTCTTATGATTTATGGATTCACAATTGTTTTCCAAATTTAACTTTAATTTAGATAAAATAGCATCACATTTATCCTGAAGATTCTTTCCCTGCAGAAAAATGTATTTTTAACAAATTTTTATGATTTATAAATATTACAATACTGTTAATAAAATAATACTGTTATTCAAGCATTACCAATGATGTAACATCTCCTGAACAAAAATAATAACTAGAAATCTCAACTTTATCACAAATATTTATCAGATTATGGACAATTTGTAATACATCTTGAAGTTTTCTAGAATGACCTTCAAAAATAGAATTAGGAATATGTTTACAATAAGCACTTAGGGCTTGTATCAGTAATTGATGAGCAGCAACCAGCTTTTGTTTTATCATATCTTGATGAAATACAATGTTTTTATGACATTGTTTTAATCCTAATCTGGAGGACATAGCTCTGATATGTCTTTGAATACTTGTAACGAGTCTGCCAAGATTATATAAATAATTTCTTGAAAATCTTATTGCAAATTCCAGTGTTTGCTGCTGTCTTTTTTTCAAATCATTTTCACCATCTGGTAAAGGAATTCTGCATAATCTAAATGAAATTTCATCTAATAATTCAGCAATTTTTGTTTGCATTGATAATAGTTTCTGTACTGTAAGTGGATCTGGTTGTATATGAATGATGTCATCTTTGTTATTACTTGAGTCTGTATCAGAATTATTTTCAAAATGATTGGTCGCACAAAAAAGTTGATTTGTATATTTTTTCTCTGTTATAGAGGAATCTGACAGCGATTTTTTAGCTTTGGACTTAAAAACTGTTTTCTGTCCTTCAGATTCTCTACGTATAGAAATGTTATCATCTTGAGAAATTGGAACATTAGTTTTGCATGTATCTCTATTCTTTGAATGATTTCTCCTAATGTTGTTTACCTATAAATATAAATTAATAAAATTGAAACAAATACAGATTGAAACAGTGATAATATAGATTCGAATAAACATTTCAAAATACTTACTTTTGTATAAATCACTTCATTCTTAATATTAGATTTAGGATTTTGAGTTCCTTTACTTCGTTCAGGGAGAGCATCCTCTTCAAGTCTCTTAAGTTCTCTATCTACATTTTGCATGTTTCCTTGCAACAGATCTTTCATATTTTGTATAGAATAGTCGGTATCTTTTTTCTCAAACTGCAAACTATTTAACTCCCGTTCTTTCACGAATGAGGCCCATACGCGTTCTTCATCCTCCTTGCGTCTGTATCTCTGTACATTTTTTACTATACGTTTAAAATGACTCTCAGGAATATACTATAATAAAAGATATTTTATGTTAATGGTAGTTGAATATACTTGTACGTTTATACACATACATGTAGATAAGACGTATACCTTAAAGCTATAATCTTCAGTAACTTTTAAAGAAAGAAAATGTTCTCTGTCTTTATTATTTACTTCATTGATTGGTCTATTTTTCAGCATAAAAGACATTCTTTCTTAGCTGAATTGAAATTTTACAGAAGTGACAACCAAATTTTTCTATTCTCGTGCGGCGGTAGGGTAAAGGAATATATCAAAGGATATATACGAACTCCAAGAAAATGGGCGCAAGCTTATTTGTTTTGAATAATGATATAGAAGGAAGGTAAAAAATTGCTTTCTATTCGGTTTTTGAACAGGAGTTAAATTAGCATTTTAACCTCGACATTTTAACAACGTATCAAAAATACTTCAGAGTATTCTTTTACAATGAAATTAGGCCTCTATTGGGCAATATGTAATATATATATACATGTATATATAAGTTAATATAAAATATGTATGTATATGCATATAATATATGATGATCTATAATATACATGTATACCTATATATGCGCGTGTGCGTGTGTGTTTACACACACATAAACGTCTAAAAATACACGTTCATGAATACATGACTATTTTAATCGATAAATAATTTTTCCTTACATGTACGTGCAATTTACAATTTAGTTCAATTTTTTTTTTAATGCACCACAACAATGTCTTTTACAGGAAAACGTTAGAGCAGTGGCACCAAAACTCCTCGTCAGAAGTTAGAATCGGCCAAGTAACTTTCTACAAAAACATATTGACAAATGACTCTTAATGCCGACTGCACATTAAAAAAATCAAGCAATTTAATTGACAAAAACCGATTACCGACATAAAGATATTTACAGACAATATAAATAAACAAGTCGAGATGGTATTGATAAAAATGTGGGTGCGGTTGAGGCGTGCTACCATTTGTTAGCACGCCGTTAAATATCATCGGATCAATACCCATGCGCGCAAGGATATAGAAAACACAAGTATTGCGAGCAAGTTTTGTCCTGCGTATTTGAATACTCTCTCTGCCTGAGACGATCTATACATTCGCGCGCTTGCTTTTCAAATTGTCCAAGTAAGCAGCAACACGATTGACCTTTATTGCTCTCTCTCGCTGTAATATCGTTGACACACTTGCGCGTACTACCGAGGATTTCTAATCTGTTTATTTTATAGTCGGTTAAATATTTCCTCGAAACCATAGAATCTCTCCCAACGGCATTGTAATCGGTCGCAAAATTGTTTTTAAACCGTTAACCAATCCTTAGTTAGTGCGATGTGACGTCAGGAAATTCAGGCGCAGAATCGCACTCCGCCAGCCTCTCGATTACTTGCATGTTGTCGGTACTTCGCCTTTTATTACGCGAAACCTTTGGAAATTCAAAGCTAATTTGGTAATGTATAGAAAGACGTATATTTTTTTCTTTTTCAATCTTCTCGCAGACTTGACTCGCTTTAGTTTCTTTCTATCTTTCTTCTGGTTGTTGAGTTCCTACCGTTTTGTGTCGCTCATATTTTGTACGATGATATTTAAAATGTGCCGAATAACAATGTAACGTTGTAGAATGATCTTGGTCCTGTGTGAAAAAATAATACATTATTGTTGAAAGCAAAATATATACATGTACTTTCAAGTTGATAATCGTCGAAAAATGAATTACATTTCATTATATGTGTATTTAATATTTCGATGTCCCTTGCATTTTTTTATACTATGAAATTGCCTTGTATTATATTGTTAGAGTTTATGTCGAATGATAACGATTTTATTTGAATTATCTTAAATTATGCTGTGATTTTTTTTCAGATTTTCAAAACATGATACACATTTAAGGGACGCTTCTTAATAAAGTAATTTGTATCTCTGTGATTTTTGTGTATGTGTGTGCGTGCGCAAAATAATTTTATATGCCAGGTCCACAAATGTTTATGTCTTTACGTATCAAGTGAGCATAAGTTTTCCCAAAATGGCATCTACAGTATTAGTTAAATTGCCGACTGTACCTTTTCCTCAAGTAAGTATCTTATCTATTTTATTTAAGGTATAAATATTTCAGTCATTCAAGTAAGGTACTTGCTACATCTAGGGAAAGAAATCACCGTCAGAAAGAGATATAGTAACATTACCAGATAGAAATGAAGGATTGAATCAAAGTATAAGACATCAAACTGTAAATGTCGATAGAGTAGCTCAGCTGGAACAAAATATGAAATTTTTACAAGAACAGCATCAGGCAACCTTGGTAGCTTTGCACCAAGAAGTAGAATCATTGCGCCAAAAGAATAGAGGTGAACATTATAGTGCAATACTTTTCGTTAATAATACGTTTGGTTTTTTGTTTTATGACTGTCTAATATTCTGTAATTGTACATAGATTTACAGTTTCAATTAGTGTTTTCAAAAGGATCTACTTATGTACCTAGCAGTCCTTCTTCTCCTGAAGACAATGGAAGTGGGTTTGTGAAACCAAAGGTACATTTCACAATTGTAATATATTTTGTGTGTATTTTGCATAGGAGTTTGTTTTTACAGGGTAGCCCAGTGTGCGTGAATATTACACCATTACAAGTGGAACTTTTGGAGAAAGATTTACAAGATATCAAGATATCTTTACAAGAAGCTAAAACGCAAAATCAGTATTTGTCTGAAATTATTGAAGAACAGAAAAAGTTAGTAGCTGCGACAATCATAGAAAGTACTTAGATATATGTTATAAAGATAATTCTATGTTATTGCAGAAAATTGACTTCTATGGAAGAAGAAAAGGTGAATAAGGAGCCAATGATAGATGTAGGAATCCAGGTGGGATTGCACTCCTCCCGAGCACATATAATCGCCTGCTTTGAAGGTACAGAAGCGACTATAAAACGATTACGTAAACAAAATGAAGAACAAAGAGAACAGATTGCAACATTGAAAACAACATCGTCAAATATGAATGGTAATAAAGGAGCTCGATCCCGTGACGGTAACAATAGTCATCACAGTCGCGGATCACCTACGAGCACTGTACAAGAACAAAGTCCTCATATATTTCCACCGTTGCAAAGCTACTGGCATCACAAGTCACTCAGGTAATCAGGACTTAAGATGTTTATTACTATTGTAGTATATATTATGTTCATTTATTATGTCAATTGTATTGTAGAAATGGAAGAAATCGACACAATAAATCGGACCATCAGACGGAGGTGGATTCGACTATGTTACCGCAACTTCAAAATGGCAATATAAAATTAGATACGATGATGTTTGAATCTTTGTGTTATCGATCTCGTGGTCACCGTAATTATTATCGCGATGAAAGCAATAGAAAATACAGAGGAAACGTTTCACAAAAAGATCGTAGAGATAGCGATCATCATCACCATCATCATCATCATCATCATCGACGAGATTACAAGGATAGAAATTCTAAAAGTCATCAAAAAGAAGTACCAGATTCGGCAGAAGGATCTAGCGAAGCTGATAATCCTGCGAATGGTAAATCATAAAATAAAAGTTAGTCTGTTAATACACTAGACATGTAGCAGACTTCCTATTCTCTATCCATATACGAACAATTACAAAAGACTTTAATAACGGTACATTTGTTAATAAAAGAACAATCTACGTTTTCTTATATTTGCTTTAATAAGATAGCATTAGTTACATATATAACAGCTTGGAATAGGATAGTTGTAATATCAAATTAAAGTTACGCAATCTTTAATGTAAAAATCTAGTCAAATTTTACTCACTATAGACTATTAATATAAAAGCAGGATATTCGTGCTTTATGGATAAAAAAAAAAGTATTAGCTTGTATGATTATTTCTGCTGTTATAAGATAAATAGAAAAATATACGACTGTACCATTTTTAATAAAAGAAGTGATAGTATATTTCTCCTCGACGAAAAACATGACCATAATAACGATTAGGAAGGACATGAAGGCGAAGAATAATAATTACTACGATAACCAAGTAATAATAATATTAAAAATAACAATAAAAAAAGATACGATCAATGTTTGTGTGATGCTACGTTCTCAAGCTTTGAATGATAAGATTAAATTCGATGTACATGTATGATACTTTAATATTGTAGACCTGTAATTTTTTTTTATTATATTATTTATATAAATTTAAGACTTAACATATAGTTGAATGATTCAGTGATTGTTTTTTATTATATCTTAAAAATAATTTAACATGACATACGATATGTTTTATAAAGTGTAAATAGAAAAATTGTTCTGTAATATTTCTTTATTTAATATGATTGTAAAACAATAATTAAATATTAATTTTTCTTTTATTTATTCTTTTACTTGAAACCTATTTTTCATCAGATTTCAATAAGGATAACTAACAAGTTATCAACTGCTATCGTAGTGGTAACAATATTCAAAATTGCCGCGCAATAAAGGAATTCATACCGTATGCATAGCAATCATACCAACTCATTTATTGTTTTTACCTTACATTGGACAAAATGTGAATTGTATGGTATATTGTCTAGGCTATTTACTTAATGTATATAGTATAAATACATTTAAATAATGTATATAATGTTTTTTTCTGGATTATTACTATACTAGTTCTCATTATAAATACTGTCAGAAAGTTTATTTACTCGATTAATTGAATGTAGAAAATACAAACTTGTATAATTACATATGAATTCATGATGTTGTCTTAAATTAACGCAATTTACAATTTCTTAAAAGTTAATATAACATAGAAACGAGTTATCTATTTCCTGTAGTTATTGCGTCGTGTATATTTAACGGTCGTCCATTTGAATCGGTAGGATAATCTTGAAATCCCGCGTGAATGACGTTTGGATACGATGAAAGAAAGGTAAATGAGTGAGATAAAAAACACAAACACATAAATCATCTTCGAATACGAGAAGCAAAATCAGCGTTAATTAAAATCCGTACCGGACGTAACAGTATAATGTAAAACATAATATAACAAAATATATATCTGAATAATTCATTTTACCATTGAAATTTTTAAATGACACACATGACCGAGGTAATTATGTTTTATGTATAACTAAATACGATTAAGTGTAACCGATGTTTTAGTATATTTTATATTCATTCGTATTGATGTAGGTAAACTTTGCCGATCTTCAAATGGAAGAACGATACAAAAAGTTAGAACGAACTTTAAAACTGGCGTCACTTAGAAGTGAAAATAGCAAGAAAGATACATTACGGCCTATATCTCCTAGTATTTCTAGCATTAACGCAGAGACATTTGATTCCACAGCTACTATTCCCTCTTTGCAAGTTTCCAAAATTGGTAGTGAGGTTGTTTCTTCAAGTAATAATTTGAGAAATATACAGCTGAAAACGAAAAATATTAATAATAATCATAGAATGATTGTTACATCTACTGCTAAGAAGTTTAACAAGGAAAACAACTGTTCGGAGGATCGTATTATGATGCCACCACCCAATGTTGACAGGCATTTTTGTAGTTTCAAAATGTCAAACAGTACAGCAATACATTCTGCTGTAAAGTCTTCGCTACAAACAAAATGTTATTCCTCTGACATTGATACTGAATCACCCAGGAAAAGAGCGAATTATAGATTCACCAATGAAGATAGAAAATGCAATGAAAGTTTCAATCCCTTACTGATTAGATGCGACAGTTTGCAAAATAGCAATGTTAGAATGTTTACAAAATGGAAAGTTATGCTAAATGAACAAAACCAGTTGATCATTAAAGGACAGATCGAATGGTATGATATATAATATATTTTAACTTTTACTTTATTTGCATCCTAATATTTATTTGTTATTTATGTCATTGTAGTGGTAAAATTGCTTGGAGTAAACCTATTGTAAGAAGATTGACAAGTAATAAGGTAGAATCTGTTTTTAAACATCTGTATCAGTTGCAAGGAAATCTTGTTGATGATGAATATGGTAGATATCTTATAATATTTGTACATATACATGTTTTGATTTATATTATGCGTTTCACTTTATGTTTTATATTTAGAATTGCCAGAATATGTTAGAGGCAAATTTCATAGTGGATTTCCCGATGATTGGAAAAATGTTTATCAAGTCTGGAGATCATTTGTACAGCAAGGATGTAGTGTAACATTTCGTTGGCCTACCTCTATTGCAGATAGTGATGATGATTTCACAAGTATAATAACAGATATATGTACTGATTCAAGAAATCCAAAGGATTTAAAGTTCCATAAAGAATCGTATGCATCTGAAGCAGCAGTTGATTCTGACTGTACATACAATGATTTGCAGATAAGGCAGAAACAAAGTCTCAGTTCATGCAATTGTCAAAAAAGTGACTCATTCACACAAACTAATTTATCAATTGGGAATACTTCTCGGGCGAAAACTAACATTCACTCTTTAGTAAATCAATATAATAATGACAAGGAAAATTATGAACAACAAGGAGATGTAAATTTGAATTGTTCTTATAATGAAACTGTATCAAACAGTTTGAAGGATAAACTAAATGTTATTGTAAATAATTTAACAGATAAAAATTGTCCGCAAGAATATATTAGAAAAATTATTGAGATATTTGATTGTTTAAAATATGTTGTATCGTACAGGGCAATTAAAGAAGATGGATCTAACATTAAAGACTCAAAATTGAAAACAAACGAGTATATGATAGAAGGACAATATAATAAAATAAATGACAAATCTCAAGATTATGTGGAATCAGAATCAATTTCACTGCACAATTCTATAAGTAATAGAGTCGATTATAGTATGTCATTACAAAAAAAAAGAACTTTTACGGAAATGACTGGAAATGATGATATCAATACTTCCGATACTGAAAGTGAAATTTATGCAGGAGTTCGGAAGATACCGATAGAACGAATAATACAGCAAAAAGAAACATTACTAAACCCTTGTAAACGTAAAATGCGAAAAAAGATGTATCAAAAACATGATGCTATAAAAAAACAAAATGTTTCAAACGTGCTTCCAATTATGTCAAATCATAATAATGGAAGTTATATAAAAACAGCAAACTCTGAAGGAATTAATGACATAAATTTTAATGATTCCAATGTTAGTGATATAGAAGACGAGAGAAATCATTTAGAAAGAAAAAAATATATCAATTCAAAGAATGAAGATATAATACTCGTCGATTCGAAGAATAAAGATACACATAAAATTCAGAAACATTGTATACAACAAAACTCAACAGATGCTCAGTCTATCCAATATTTGCATGATTCTTATGAAATAACTAAAAATAATGAGTGTGGAATTGACATGACTGAAAAATATAACAATAAAATGACTGAAGCAAATTCTTATATACAAGGCAATACACAAGAGAGTAACAGATATATGAATGATCGATGTCAAAATCATTCACCTTGTCAACAACGTGAAAAATTATTGTTTGATTCAAGGAGTACCACGATTGAAAGGACAAAACCTGTTATAATTGATTCAATTCCTGTTAACATAAATGATAAGGCTATTAGAGAATTAAATGAAAAAGCCAAAAATAAAAGTTTGACGGACAAAAAGTCTCCAAAAGCAAGCACAAATTCATTGCTTGACAGCAACCAATGTTCTGAAGATTGTGTTAAAAGTCAGTCGAGTAACATAGATTCCATTGTTCCAAAAAAGTTATTACGAGATAATTTAAATGTTTCTAGAGATAACGAAGCTTCAAATAGTTGTAAACCAAAGTTACTGTCTGCTTGGACACCAAGAGTTTTGCACAAATCAGGATTGCATTTAATTTTTGAAGGGAAATTATTAAAGTAAGTAGTTAAAATGTGTATTGGGTATTATTAATTTAGTATATAACATTATTATTATATTTATACAGCGAGGTTGGCCACGTTATAAATAGAAAGTTTCAGACAGATGTAATATCACGTCGAGTATCACAAAAAGTGGTTGAGACGGTTCATCATGAATTTTATCAGTTGATTGGCGACTTGAACGATACGAAACATGGTTAGAATCGTAACAGTCAATAACGTTAAAATATTTGTAGTTATATTTATACATTAATTACATTGTTTTTCATTACATATAGTTGTACCTAAAAAATTGGTAAATCGCTGTCGTTATGGTTGTCCCACTAATATAGAACAGTTTTGTAAAATGTGGAAATCGTTAGAAAATGGTAAGCTAGTAGTAAATAGTGATAGCAAGTAATTAATAGCAAGTAATAAATAATATTAGGAACGTTATAAATGGGAATTGTTTGTGTTTAAGCGAATGTTAACGATTCCATAAATGCGACAGAAAACTGTAATACTACCTCGGTAGATAGTATAAACGTTGGTGTAAGTTCAAAAGGTAGAAAAATAATACCTCCTTTAAGTTATTGGACAGGTAAAAAAAAAAAGAATTATTGCTTCTTATATATAAAAAATAATACATATAATCATTTTTGAATTTCTTCTGTTTTCAAGGAGAACGCGTTGTTTTGAAAGACAATAGTCCAGTATATAATCCTGGCACTTCAAAAGACCCTTTAATAATTTTTTCTCCTGAAACGGTCACCAAAAGTAAAGACGTAAAAACGGGAAAACAAAGAAATGAGAGAATTAAAAAGAATATTTCAGGAACTAAAAATAATATAAGGACAGTCAAACGTAACAAATCCAAAAGATATATAATGAAAAATAAGAGACAAGAAGAGTTAGAATCAAGCGATTCCAGTGATGATGAAAATATTTCCAGATATAAGGTAATATTGCTTGTTTATTTCTTTGCTTTTTTTTTTTCCTTATAGTTTTCTCATTTTTTTTTTTTTTGTTCACTTTGGCAAAATCAGAATCATTCCAAAAATATAACCAATAAATGCGATACAGAATCCATAAATGTTGAAAATCTGGTACGTGATCCTTGGCGATATGTATATTAAGACGATTAAGTTAAAACGATTTATAAAAGTACGTAATTACATTATTCTTGCAGCTTAAATCTCATACAAACTTGGTTACAACGGAACCAACGGTGAAAAAATCAAAAGTAAGGAAAGATATTGAATTGAATACGTCACTTAGCAGCCCTTTTAAACAATTGTAATTTACAACTACATTGTTAGTATCAATTTTATTATCTTACATTCAATGATGTTGATACGGTATGTCTGTTTAGGCCTAGAAGTCAATCATCAGCTGGGAAATACGATGTCGTATATACTTATTACAAAGATATACTAGATAAAGATGACATATTATCCGATGACCAAGTCTCTCATGTGTGACGTTGAAAATTTCAGTGTGATGTTAAATAAATTCTTTTTATATGTGCATATTTTATAATTATAGCTACTATAGTGTATTTTATTACAGTCTTAAGTAAAAGAGATAAAAGAATACGTTTATTGCTTATTTGTTGATGTATTGCTATCAATCTTCGTTTCAATTAAAAAAAGGATTATACTTACTGCAAAAATAAAGTAAACTTACAAGATAAAATTGATTTATTGTTTAATGATGTGATTTAACAATTATATAAAGTATGTAAGGAACATGCTACGTTCCTAAGTTAAAAAACATAAGAACTGTACAATAATTCGATGTCACTAAAATTAAAATTCAAATAAAAATATGCTATACATGTATACTATAATATAATATAATTCGATATGAGTTAACAAACGTCAAATAAAAATATAATAAGAAAAATTTGAAGTTTTATTTTTTACATTGCAATCAGTATGTATTTTTTGAAGACAATAGGGCATGTAGTTTAACAATGTAACATATATATATAAATAACATATATACATATGCGTATCATGTGTTTGCGTGCATACGTACACATACATATGACATACATGTACATGTATATTCGAAATATTTATTTGTTGCGTAAGTATATCAACGTAAAAGAAGATGCCGTGAAGTGTGTAATAAGTGTGTTCGGTAAATGATTTTATACAATATTTTTAATGCTCAACGTTGAGCATCACTTTGAACGAAGATACAGGTTGTGATTCTTTTTCAAATCCTGTCGGTATCTTTCTTTTCACATCACACGACGTGATACAATTGGAAAGCATGATATATTATGTATAAGCGAACCTGTTAACTTTCATCGTACAAAGGAGTACCGTCTCCGCTAAGGGACATACTTCGAGGACTAGAATTGGTGTGCGGTGTACCTCGAGGAGATTTGTAAGAAGGTGTCCGATTTGAAGTTCTATTTCGCGGTGTTGTCCTTCCAACTGATTCTTCGTAGTTTCGCGGAGTTCTTCTAGACTCTTCGTACCTCGGAGTAGAAGTACTAAAATAAAAAAAAAAAAAAAAAAAAAAAAAAAAAAAAAAAGAAAAAAAAAAAAAAAAAAAAAAAAAGAGAAAAGAAGAAAGGAAGATGCGTTAAAAATGTAAAATATTGCATAATACCAAGTTGAAAGCAACGCGAAATGAACATTTAGACAAATACTTACGACATACGTGGACCGCTTTTTAATCGCGCCCATGCTTCCGCTGCTTTCTTCCAATCCATAGGATCGCCAGGTGTTGACATTGGAGGTGTAGGCCTGTGTGACGGCGTTGATCTGTGATGTCCAGCGGCATTTAACCCCGAAGGAGGAGGCGGATGAATGAAAGGACCTTGCTGATGATTGGGTGTTTGCTGCCCGTATCTTGGAGTTGGCTGACCATGATGATGCGGAGTGTGATGCGGTGTTTGATACGGTGTCATGAAGGGTGTCTGTCCAGAAGGTGTGTACGGAGTATTGGGATACGTATGAACACCACCATAGCCGGTGGCACTCGTGGTACCTGGCGTGTGCGGCGGATAATGATGCGAAGTTTGATTCGCCACTTGCGACAAAGAATGTAACATGTGATGAGGAAGATTTTGCGCCACTCTCTGTATGGCTTCTTGATTCATTCCTGCAACATTGTATCAATGAGTTAGTTGCAACTCGATCTCGAGCAATTTTGACAAATCGACAGGGAATAATAATATACGTACCACCCACTGCACCCGGCGTTGCGTGGTAAGGTGCTCTAGATGTTATCGCGCCACGCGGAGTACTGGGAGTAGACTGACCAGGTACTGGATCTCGAAAGTGTTCCTTGAACCATCGGAAGAGATCGTTCACTCTACCGAACATTTGCCCTCTGAATCTGAATCCTTCTGGCGATACCGTCACGTATTCGTGACGGCATCGAGTTCGTGGAAGATAAGACAGCAAAAACTTGCCAGGGTAATTCTGAAACGATGCGAAACATGCACGAAACAAATTTCATCGCAGAACGAATCTGTACGCAAGCGTTTCTTAGCTAACCTTTGCGGCAGATATTATATACGGAATCCCTCCCGGGTTCTCCTTCTTTTGTTCCTTCAATATGTCTTCCGCTTTATCTTTGATGCCTTCTACAGCCGGTTTGTAATACTTAAAGTCTAACAATTCGGAAGCATACGCGGCCATAGGGTTAACGTGCCTCGCAATAATTTCATCCAAGTCCTCGAATTCTTCCTTCCCGATCCACAAACTTTGACCGAGGGAGAACGCATTTTCCTTTCCCTCCTCCCTCACGTCGATGTGCTGATAAACATCATCGGTGACTTTCCACGTGACCGTTAGGTGATCAGCGCCTTTACTGCTCGGTCTGACTATCGCTTCTCCTTGCTTCATAGTCTGCATCAACTTCTCGGCTTCTGCGAAACTGATGTTGTGGAAAGAGGGATGCACGATCACCCGTTTTACATACGTCTGTCGTTGCTTGGCTTTCTTCGCGTCCTCTTCGACTTTCGCGTCCCTCCGTTCTGCCTCCGTGTCATAAAACGGATCTTTCTGTGGCCTAGAATTAAACAGAGGAATCAGAATAGTTTAACATTTACTTTATCATACATACATCTATTTATTACACATACCTCCATTCGTGATTCTTATCCGCAAGGTCGCTACTTTTGCTCGTACACTCGACGCTGAATCGTTCCACTTCAATCTTTATTATCCGACAATGTATTATTTGCCCTATGCTCACCCTCTCTTCAGGATTCGCAACGTGTCTGTCGGATAAATTTTTTATGTGAATATAACCAGATATCCCATTGTCTAATCTCAATCTCACGCCAGTAGCTTTGCCGGGGCAAGCTCCGGCGTCGAAATGATTCCATACTTCGGACAACTCTGGGAAATCATTTTTCAAACAGAACGGGCATTGCCACAATTCCGTCTCGTCGTTTCTCACGGGATTCGCTTGGTCCAGCTGATCACCCTGCGGCTTTCTGTGACTTATCCCGATCACCGTGGCCAGAACTAGCTTCCCAACGTAAAACGTCTCCGGCGTTTCCTTCGTCAGAATATCGAACAACCTTTCCGCGCTCGGCGACTGATACGGCACGCGTAAGTCTTTGTATCTGCAATTTAACTCCGCTCTGATATCGTACAGGGTGACGCATTTGTTGCCGAAACCTTGTCTCTCGAGCTCCTCCGCGAACGCGTCCAGGTCGAGGTCTTTCAATCTTTCCGGGGACTCGAGGATCTCCTCGAGTGCCCCGGCTGGATTGGCATCCTCGTCGTCGTACTCCAGAGCGTCGACCGCCATTTTTCTCGCCCACTCGTACGTCTCCGGATGCACCCGGGACCCATCGAGGACCTCGACGTACGCCTCGGTGCTGTCTCCCAAGCTGTTTGTGTCTATCTTGATGAAACCGGCGCAGTTAATGAAGACCTTCGGCCCCATGTGACAGGATGTGACCAGCTGCGTTCTGTTCTCCAACCTTTGATTCGTTTGCTTCAACATTTTGATCAACGCCTGCCCCTTCCTCGGCCCCAGGCCGCACACGAACTGAACCAAGTTCCCGCAGTAAGCTTGCTGCACCGCCTTGTTCACGTCGACGCCGACCTCGTTCACCCGATTCACAAACTCTAGATACAAGTTGTCGAGGAGCTCGTCCTTCGGCAACTGATCCTGCAGGCCGTGATACTTGAGGCACAAGATCTCCTCGTCGGCGGTGCACAATTGAGAAAACTCCACCAATGGGTCCTGCATTCTTCTGCCCAACGAGATCGCCTGCCGCAACAATTCTGGATAATCTCGAAACTCGGACACGCCCTTGTTGCTGTTCGAGTAGATTTTTGCCAATTCGTTGTCACAGATCTCAATCTGAATGTTTGGATATTGTTCCTCCTCCACCAGGTTCGCGATGCATTCCTTGATGTCAGCGGCGATCATCATTGCCTCTCTCGACTCACCGCCGATAACCACCACGTGTGGCTTCTTCGTCGATATGAAATTTCGGATCGCCAACAGGTCGGCCTCCTTCATCGCTTTCTCGTCCTCTCGGTAACTGTTCTTCCTCTTCATTATGTGCGGCAACCTCAGGTAGTCTGTACACTCCCCATCCGGCGCAATCAGACAAGCGAACGCGGCTTGCGAGTAATCTGGAACGTAAGCCAAGCTCATTACTCTCAGTCCTTTGCTGGTGTCCCATTCCTCGTCCTCCTCCTCGGGGAACTCGCAGGTGTACGGGGCCACTTTGATCCAATTGTACATTTTACGGCAACACGCCCTCATGACGCATTCCTTCGCCTCCGCGATCAGATTCGCTCTCAGCTCTTTCTTCAAACTCGGCAGAACGATACGCGTGAGCGCCATTTCCACGCTACCGACTCTCAACGCGTTCCAATCCTGCACGTTCTTGCTAAACTCGTCTCGATAGTAAAGCTGCTTCATCTCGTCGACGTAGTTGTTGCTGGTGTTCCCTTTGATGCTGTCGCTCAACGTTATCGTGATCAGTTTGTCCTCCTCGGCGATGACCAAATTCAGGAATTGATCACCTACCAGATCTCGCACCGGCTTGTCCTTCAAGTACTTCATCCCGTACACCGGATGATTCTCGTCGATCTCTTTGATACCCTTTTTCGTTGGCTTCACGGATATCTTTGCTCTCTCCATGTACATTTCACGAACGCACTTCCTCACCAACGGCTCACGGGCCAATTGAATGGCCACCATCAACTGAGCAGCTTTCAGCACCTCCTCCGAATTGTTGAGTATCTGGCTGCAGTATTCGTTGGCGATGGTCAAAGGTTCCGTCGGCTCTTGGTCCACCTCGTGCCGCTGGTAATTATCTCGCAGATTTTCGGCGAAGTGCTCGGGAGTCAGGCCGAATTTCTTCGCCAGACTGTCGAGGCCGGCTCGCCTGCAAATGGAGTACGGGCCGGTTCGCACTGCCTGTTTCAACGTCTCGTCCGCCTCCTCCTCTTCCTCCACGTCCGCTTCCTCTTCAGGCAGAGCGACCTCGCCGTTCTCCTCGGCGTCCGCCATCTGCTGCTTTCGCTTTTGAATTTTCGCTTCTTTCCGCGCTTCTTTCTCCTTCTGGCGGGCTGCCTCTTGCATCGCCGGTATCTCGTGGCTATAGTACAACATGAAGTGATGATAAACGTCGTTCAGCTCCTCGCTGGTTTGCACGTTCTTCAATCGTTCAATGTCGTCGTCTTTGATCAATCGTACGTTGTCCGGCAGAGGGGCATCGGGATTCTTCATAATCTCGTCCAACTGATAGCTTCTCATTTTCTCGAACAGTTTTAGTAAATTCTCCTTCCTCTGGCGAAGCTGGCACCACTTGGCGTCGAACTTGTACACCTTCCAAAGATCGTTGATGTTCAACTCTGGCAAGACGTACTCCTTTCTATAAAACGATATGAAAGGCACCTCGAATTGCTGATTTCGCATGAAGTCCAACGCCTTTTTGATTTTGCCGATCGTCTGAGGCCCCTTCCGGGCTCTTTCCTTCGCCTCGGCGTTCAAATGCGCGTCCTGAATCGAAATGGTCGGTCGACAGAAAGCCTGCTTGTAAATCCACTCTGCCTCTAAATCCAGCTCGTCGGAACCTTCTGCAACCGGCGTGACGGGGACAGTTCGCAGCTGCATTCTCTCAGGTATGTCCGTGTTTCGTATTTCATTGTCCATGTCCGTGAAGTGGCCGCGTTTCAGCTCGCTTGGCTCGTAAATTTCGAAGATGCTCTTCCTCGTGGTTTTCTTCTTCAACTGTTTCTTCGGTCGTCGCGGCCTCTCCGCATCCTCGTCGTCCATGTATTCATCCTCCTCCTCCTCTTCCTCTTCCTCTTCTTCCTCGTAGTCCTCCTCGCCGTATTTACCAAATTCATCGTAATCGAAGTCAACGCCGAAAATGTCTTGCGCCTCTTGCAAAGCGGCGTCAGAGAAGATTGGCTTTTTCTTTTTCCGTTTCTCGGCAATCGGTCTACCGTCGTCGTCGACGATGAAATCGTCAGCGTCCGTGTATTCACCCTCGCTTCCCTCTTCGTCGAACGTATCTGCCTCGGGTCTGTGGCTACGTTCGCTTCTTCTTTCATCCTCCTGGCGCGTAACAAAAATAAGAGGGTGAAACAAAGTGAACGTAGAGAGAGCAGAGTCAAAAGGATTTTTTCTCAAAGTTATCTTTATATTCGCGTCAACGTACCATAATAATCTCCCTTTCCTGATGCAAAGACAAAGATAAGTGCAAAAATTAAGGATATAGCAAAAAAAAAAAAAAAAGAAAAAAAAGAGAGAAGAAAATTCAATAAAAATGTAACTTACGTCACCGGAAGCTTCGAAAAGTTCATTTGCAATAGCATCTCTATCATCGTCCGCTTCCTTTTCCTGTTCCTCTTCCGATTCTTCATCTTGAATCCTGCGCAGGCGTTTGAAACGTTTCTAAAGTGAAGAATCAAGTCACTTTATTTATATTTACGCAGCTTCAAACATCTTAAACAAACAAATCAATCTGCACGTACCCTCTCAACTTTGACTCCTAAATTTTCCTCTATCAAATCATAGTCCTCATCCTCCAAACGATCGTCGAAATCTTCGTCGTCGCTTTTCTTGCGTTTCTTAGATCCTCCAGAAGCGTCACTGTCTTCTCCCTCGCTTTCGTCTATGGGATTATCGTCAATGAGATCCTTGAGCTCTTCCCTCAAGCGATCCTCGTCGTCTAAGCAAAGAATACAATAGGCACGTTACTGTCATTCGCTAATTATGGAATGAAACGTGTATAAAATGTATACGAATGTATGTATCGTTGCACTCAGACGCAAAAGAATTTTCTAGCCTCACCTTCCTCCTCCTCTTCCTCACTCTCCTCCATAGCTTTGATTTTCTTTAGTTTCTTCTTCTCATTATCGTCTAATTCCTTTTCCTCCTAAATTGCAATTAAAGATCGATCAGCAATGGGAGTTTTGGAAACGATTGAAGGATTCGTACGTGTTATGTATGCAAGTACACGATGTTGTTATAACGGTATTACGCGTGCAATAGTATTAAATTGATCGACACAAATACCTCGCTTTCTTCCGCCTCGGAATTCAGAAAATCAGCCATTCTTTTCAACGATAAGTTTCGCTTCGAGTTAACACAATTTCTTTTTTTTTTTTTTGTCCCGTTTGTAGACAAGACGAGAACAAGGACTCGGCGTTGAATCCAACTAGATCTAGGAGTCTAGGCGTCTAGGAAAATTCTTGCCCTTTGTATTTCCCTAACAGAGGAAACGAGAAGAAAAACCCTAGAAAAAGAAAGTCGCTGATTTGTCGAGTAAAATTATTTCCGTTGACTCTTCGCTTATAAACGCTTCTCCAACATGTATCTCCTTCATATTTCAAGAGTAACGCGACACGTCACGCTATATAATTGCATAGTTCATGTTCCCACGGTACGTTTCAATTCAAAGTAGTTTCGGTTGAGCTTCTATACGAGAAATCATTTAATAACTGTTCGAAATTTGGACATTTGTTTATATCGTATATTTTACATGTATAATTAATTACTGTTTTACTTTGTACAATTAGATAGGATCGGCAAAGTATACAGCAATTTGAATGGAGGACAGTTTTAGTGAGTGGCGCGATTCGTCGCGAGAAGACAAATCTTTTGTTATTTCGGACAGCGACGAAGACGTTAACGAAAGCAACGAGAAAGAACAAGTTTTTGTAATCGAGAGCAGCGAGAGCAGCGAGAACAGCGAGAGCAGCGCAAATGTCTCTGCAAATATCTCAATATCAAAGAGGTAAGCAGTATCTTAGCAGCTTTATTTAACAATTAGATTGCGAATGTTTATGCGAAATTGCACAGAAGACAAATAATATGAAAAAATGTGTAATGCTTTTTATAATATTTGATATACACAATTTCCTACTTCTTATAATATTTGAAAAACAATTTTCTGCTTTTCACAGTATTTGAAAGACAATTCTCTATTTCTTAAATTACATACGAATTTGCACGGAGTCATATTACTTTATAAAATACATACGTTTTGCTATATACATGTACTGTTAGTTTATAAATATTTCAAGTTTTGTTCAATAAATATTATTGAGAAAGTAATAACGAAATGCAAAATGTATTAATCAATATTTAAATGAAAGTAACAGTTAAAATGTTTATTCCACGTTAAATATTTAATGTTTCTTCGAACTGTTTGAATCCCAGGGGTCATCGAAAAAACATTAAACATTTAATGTGAAACAAACATTTTAACTGTTACTTTCATTTAAATATTATTTGTTCTTAAAATTGAAAATATTTTTAATTTGTAGTTTGTTATTTTGTAGCTTGTTATGAAACATATATGTATTGCTATATATATGTATTATTGGTTTATAAATATTTCAAGTTTTGTTAAATAAAAATTATTGAGAAAGTAACAACGAAATACAAAATGTATTATTTGTACTGAGATTTTTTCGACATGAAATATAAACAAACGCGATCACGCTGCCTGGGACACAAACGGCTAATCAAGTTTTTAATGTTTTAGAGCATCTTTGTCTGAAAAGCTACCACTAACAGAGAAACTGATCAAAGATAGGATTAAGAAGAATATTCCTTGTTATTCCGACAGTGAAGATGCCAATGATCATAATGATCCTTTGTCAGCCAACAGCAGCGAAGATTCTGTTGATGATGATAATGATAACGCATCAAGCAGTAAATTTACATTTGATTCACATTAATTTTTAAACGCGATAGCTTTGAATTTAGTATGACCAGTCATTTTTGTTAGGTGAGGTTGAACAAACAACGAAGAGCAATGACAAAGTATGGCGACTATATGATGATAGTAATGACACATCAATTGGTAAATTTACATTTGATTATATTAATTTTTAAACGTGATAGCTTTGAATTTAATATGATTAGTTATATTTGTTAGATGACATTGAACAAGTAAGGGAAAAGAGTGATAAAGTAAGGCGACTGAAATACAGTGATAGTAATGACACATCAATTGGTAAATTCATATTTGATTACATTAATTTTTAAAAGCAATAGTTCTGAACTTAATATGAGTAGTTATATTGGTTAGATGAGGTTGAACAAGTACTCAAGAACAATGATGAAGTATTAAATAACAAACGACTGGAACACAATGATAGTAATGACACATCAAGTGGTAAATTCACATTTGATTACATTAATTTTTAAAAGCAATAGTTCTGAACTTAATATGATTAGTTACATTTGTTAGATGAGGTTGAACAAGTACTGAAGAACAATGATGAAGTATTAAATGACAAACGACTGGAACACAATGATAGTAATGACACATCAAGTGGTAAATTCACATTTGATTATATTAATTTTTAAAAGCAATAGTTCTGAACTTAATATGATTAGTTACATTTGTTAGATGAGGTTGAACAAGTAATGGAGAACAATGATAAAGTATTAAAAGACAGACAACTGGAACACAATGATAGTAATGACACATCAAGTGGTAAATTCACATTTGATTACATTAATTTTTAAAAGCAATAGTTCTGAACTTAATATGATTAGTTACATTCGTTAGATGAGGTTGAACAAGTACTGAAGAACAATGATGAAGTATTAAATGACAAACGACTGGAACACAATGATAGTAATGACACATCAAGTGGTAAATTCACATTTGATTATATTAATTTTTAAAAGCAATAGTTCTGAACTTAATATGATTAGTTACATTTGTTAGATGAGGTTGAACAAGTAATGGAGAACAATGATAAAGTATTAAAAGACAGACAACTGGAACACAATGATAGTAATGACACATCAAGTGGTAAATTCATATTTGATTACATTAATTTTTAAAAGCAATAGTTCTGAACTTAATATGATTAGTTACATTCGTTAGATGAGGTTGAACAAGTAATGGAGAACAATGATAAAGTATTAAATGACAGACGACTGGAACATAATGATAGTAATGATACATCAAGTGGTAAATTCATATTTGATTACATTAATTTTTAAAAACAATAGTTCTGAACCTAATATGATTAGTTACGTTCGTTAGATGAGGTTGAACAAGTAATGGAGAACAATGATAAAGTATTAAACGACAGACCACTGGAAGATGTTTCGAGAGAAAACAAGAATAGTTTTGAAATTGATGTTTCTAATGTATCTGAAGGTATAGCTAGCAATAATATTTCGATCAAGGAACATGTCCTTGAAGAATAAGCAAAACTGCTTGTACTAAACAAAACAATTCTATGTGAATTAGCTGCAATATATAGAGTTGTCTTGTTTCGATTCAAGCAGTTTTGAGTGAATTACCTACGATACAAGTATAACTATTTTTATCATCTCTTATTTCAAAACTATGTACAATAAGCTTCTTATATTTGTGTCTAATCGATTCCTAAATTTTCATCTAGGTAAAGAACATATCTTACAATCAAAAATTGCAGTGTCCTTAGCGGAACAGGAAACAGGTTTTGCGAATATAGATCCATTTGTTGCACAAAAAAGAGCTCTTCTTGTTTGTAAACTGGAACAGTTAGAAAACCAATTAAGTAAAACAAAGGTGAATCAAATAACTAATGGGTGGCAATCTTTAAAGTGAAAGATAAACAATATAAGTTACATTGTAAATGCTGTATATATTTTTCAGATATTATTTACTGTTGGTAACATCAGTTCATTGCCAGATAAAGGAGAAAAATTGCGTAACAATATCGCAATGCAAGAAAAAGAAATAGAGGAGATTAAAATGGAATTAGAAAAAACGCCTTTGTCGGAAGCTCAACCAGATTCAATAAAGCCAGAAGTGTCGGATATCGACGAACCTACAACATATTCTGATTATTATAATTTAGATAACATACCATTTAGACAGAATTCATCTTCAAAAGAACTTGGGAAAAAAGCTCAAGCAACGTTGGAGAAAGAATTAGCTCTGACAGCTGATAGGTTGCAAGATTTACATGGATCTCTTGTAGCTAGACCGACCGAGGAAGAAAGAGCAGAAGATCCACAGGGTTTAAAAGTAAAATTAATGCCGCATCAGCAACACGCACTGGCGTGGTTGATCTGGAGAGAACAGCAAAAACCTCCTGGCGGTATTCTTGCCGACGATATGGGTTTGGGCAAAACCTTAACAATGATATCTTTGATTATTGCTAGTATCGCTAAAAAAAAATTAGGAGTGGAGGACTCGGACAGCGAGGAATGGCTGGATTCCAGTGGATCGAAACGATATCATAAAGGAGGGACGCTTGTCGTTTGTCCTGCGTCATTGTTATCACAGTGGGAAAACGAAATAAATCATAGATGTAAACGTGGTATGCTGTCGGTTACTGTCTATCACGGTGCGAATCGGATGAATGTGCCAAAAAAATTAGCAAAATACGACATTGTTATTACTACATACAATCTTCTGACTCGCGAATTTAAGAGCAACTCTACTGCTTATGAGATTCATTGGGAACGCGTAATACTGGATGAAGCGCATATAATTCGAAATCACAAGAGTCAAGCTTCCCAGTCTGTATGTGGCCTTGTAGCCCGCAAACGGTGGGCACTTACTGGCACTCCAATCCAGAACAAAGAAATGGATTTATATTCCATCTTAAAATTTCTCAAGTGTTCTCCCTTCGACGACATACGAGTATGGAGACGTTGGGTAGATAACAAATCAGCCGCTGGCCGCCAACGATTGGCGACCGTGATGAAAACGTTGATGTTACGTAGAACGAAGCAGGAACTTCAAGCTAAAGGCGCGTTAGAAAGTCTTCCGGAAAAATTTGTAGAAGAGATATCTGTAAAATTAGATCCAGACGAGCAACTAGTTTATGAAAAAATATTAATATATTCTCGTTCGTTGTTTGCTCAATTTTTGGCTCAAAGAGCTGAAAAGGATCATATGTTCGATTTAGCCGCTGGGAAATACGATAAACCAACATTTCTTTCGAATCCAAGTAAGTATAAAAATTATACGCTAATCGAAAATCGAAATATATATATATATATATATACATTTATTGATTTATTCGTTGATAAATTGTCAGATAAAAATACTCAGTTCACGAAGGCGCAGAATAAATTATTATCGTTACATGCTGATGTCAAAGCCCATGAAATTTTGGTTCTCTTACTAAGATTACGGCAAATTTGTGTTCATCCATCGCTTATCCGTTCGATGCTAGATGAAGAAGATATCAAAGAGAGTGGTATAACGGAGTCAGAAAATTTAGATTCAGATTTATTGCTACAAATAAATAAGATAACACTAGAAGATGGGGAAAACGACGAAGGAGACACAAATGAGACAGAGATTGGCGTTGATCGCAGAGTGGCTACCAATTTACTCACGTCTAAGAATCCTGTTTTTAAGTCCGATCGTATAAGCTCGAAAGTGGGTTATCTTCCGTTTTTGTTACGTTTCTTTTGCATCACTTGGTTCGGCTTACGAATCTAATGTATTTCTATTTATTTTTTGAACATAGGTAAAATTGGTGCTTGACAAAGTCACGGAAATTTTACAAAAAAATGATAAAATGATCATTGTTTCTCAGTGGACGAGTACGCTGAATATTATTGCATCTTGTTTGTCCTCGATAAAAGGCGCCAGTTTTAATATGTTTACAGGCAATGTGCCGATCAAGGAAAGACAGGTAGTTTTCCAATGAAATAATCATTTACGATCGTATCAAGTAATTCTGTTTCAAGCGCACGAGATATCTTTGCATCTTCATATCTTTAGGGTGTAATGGATTCGTTTAACGTTCCGAACCGCGATCCAAAAATATTGCTGCTCTCACTTACCGCTGGAGGTGTTGGATTAAACTTGATAGGTGGGAATCATTTGCTGTTAATTGATATTCATTGGAATCCGCAATTGGAAGTACAAGCTCAAGATAGGATCTATCGTTTTGGACAGAGAAAAGATGTATTCATATACAAGTTAGTAATTGTCTATGTTCTATGTTCGCAAAAATTCGCGAGAGGGGAAGATTGCATAATGTTACATTCCATTTCTTTAGGTTTATCTGCAAGGATACGATAGAAGATCGAATAAGATGTTTGCAGGAAAAAAAAATGGAAATAGCTCAACATGTTCTCAGCGGAGATAAAAACTCTGCTGTCTCAAAGCTTACGCTTGATGACCTGAAGTCGTTATTTGGTCTTTGAGCTCTAAACAACAATTCAATGAATAAATTAAATTGTATATACCAAATTTTTATTGTAAAAACAAAATACAGAAATTGACACATTATTGAATTCTGGGAAAATTATTGGTTTCCCATGTTACTCCGTTATCACAACCATTTTCAGATAATTTCGTACGTTTGTCTTTCCTCATTTTACTATGCCAAACGCCGTAACAGAAATATATTCCAAGTCCTGGGAGAAGTACAGGAATGATTTTTTTCGATTTAATTCAAACGTGACTGATTCATAGTTTGACGTGGTTTACTTACCGACTGCTATCCATATTAAAAATCTTATCCACGTCATTTTATCCAACATCGCCATAAGATATATATTAATAAGAATACTGAAGGCGGGTAAAAATGGTACTAATGGCACCTAAAGATGTGCAACGTGGCAAAAAAATTGTAACTAAACGTTTAGAACAAAGCATAATTATATCGATTACAATGAGGATAATAAGAACAAAAACAATATATACCGTGAATGCAAGCTTCTTCCCAGAAGACGGTTGAAGATAAATGAAAATAAGAGTGGCGATTAGGACTAGTAGCAGAACTGCTAGTAGAATGATAAAGGCAATTTTACCGCTTGTTATTTCATCGATAAAAATCGAAATAGTAATGCCGATGCAAATGCATAAAATATCTGTAAAGTGCACGTTAGTACCAATAAATGATAAGCAGAATCGTTAAAAATTAATAGTGGCAAAGCTATTTATTTTAACTAAAAAATGATGAATATAAATACCATAACATACGACGAGACAGGCAACAATCTGAGACGTCAATTTCGTAGAATGATTTAAACCGTTAGCGTTAATCAGTTGTTTTGCAATGAACTTCAGGGTCCTTGGATCGCGATCTCCCTTCTTCTCATACGCTTCACTTTCCTCATACCTGAAACGATAAAACAAAACTCGAAAGTGCAGTCTTGCCCCTTTGATAAATCTTCATATTTTCTATAAACATGAACCAACTATTGTTCTTTTACCGAAGTATTAGCACGCAAGTTGCGACGATCGAATATGCGAGCAATGTTCCAATACTCATCATATTTACCAGCTGATGTAAATCAAATATCGCAGCCAATACACCTGAAATCATTAAAATGTATCTCGCGTGTTTAAATATCCAGGACACGACGAAAAAAAGAAAAAATTATATCCTCGGGCACAAACCCGTGAGAATTCCCGCCGAAAAGGTGCCCATGAGCGGCGTATGAAATCGCGAGTTGACTTTTCCCATCCACTCGAATATCAGTCCGTCGGATGCCATCGCATAAATGATTCGTGGCAAGGGAAACATCGCGCCCAGCAAACTGTGCAAAAATTATGCACGTCACTTGTGTACATCGGCGATTACCCTCTGTAGGTACTTATACCAACATACGCGCATATCGCGTTACGTACCGACGTTTCAAGCGTCTAGGAACACGGAAAACTTTACCTGGAGCACAGACCACAAATTGCACCTATGGTTACCAGCCATTTCGCCCAATCCCAGCCGATACTCTCGAACAGATGAGGAAACGGGGTTTCTGGATCTTGCTCGTAGTAAGGGAGGACGGTTGTTAAGACTGTAGCGACGCCGAAATACGCCAGAAAGACGACAGTCAGCGAGGCGACGATCGCTATTGGGATCGATCTTTGCGGATCTTTCGCTTCCTCCCCGGTAGTGGCGACGCAATCGAAACCGATGAATCCGTAAAAGCACGTTGCTGCTCCCGTTATAACACCGGCTATACCATAAGGCGCGAATCCGCCGGTTCCGTAATCACACTTCTCATCAGTGCACGTAGGCTTCGTTTTCCAATTGGTTATGTCAGCTTTATCCGAAACGCATATGCATAAATAGAGTCACTATGTGCGAGCATATATAGCACGTAAGTGTAGTGCGTATGTACGTAAGTATACAGTGCGAAGGAACGATTAGTTTTCAGTAACACTTACCTTTGAGAGATCCGGCGATTATAACGAACAGGACCACCGAGAGATTCGCCAAGGTGAAGAAATTGTTCGCCACCGAGGACTCCTTTGCACCGAACGCCAGTGCAGCTGCATTTAATTTCAAAGAAATTAACCAAATTATCCAAACGGGCAATCGGTAAACGCGTCAAATCAAAACGATCGATGCTTGTTGCGATATAAACATCAATTTCGTAGATGGTGTCTTACCGGAGAAGATTAGAGTGATCCCAAAAGCAAAGAAGTCCGGATAAGAAGAAAGATGACTGATATCGATAGGCGCCGCTGTTTCGAACGCGTTTCGCATGGTGTTGTTGAACAAGTTATCCACGTACGTGCTCAATCCTCGTACCACGCTAGCCGAGCCGATCACGTATTCGAGAATCAGCGTCCAACCGATCAGAAACGCTGTAAATTCTCCCATCGTTACGTAGCTGTATACGTATGCTGATCCAGCGCGTGGCACTCTGGCGCCAAATTCCGCGTAACATAATCCTGGAATTATTTATACATATATGTATGTTAATATATTGTTCACAGGCGAGAGTTTGCAACGAGCAAATCGAATTCGAAAGGAACAAAAAATTCTACCTGCAAACATGGATGCGATTGCGGCAATGGCAAACGAAATGATCACGGCTGGACCAGCGATTGTTTTCGAAACGGATCCTGCGAGCACGTACACACCCACGCCGAGTGTTGAACCTATTCCAAGCGCCGTGAGGTCCAACGTCGACAGGCATCTTGCCAATCCCGTGTCTTGAGGGAAGTTCACTTCTTTCTTACGGCTGAACGTTCTGTACAGATTTGCTAATTTCCAGTTCTTCATATCGTACACCTGAAAGGCAACATTTGTCATTGGATGTTTCTTCTCTGAAAAGAAGAAGAAGAAAATGAAAAGAAAAACCGGAAGAAGATAATGAGAAACACAGAAGAAGAAATATATTTAAATATATATTAAATATATATATTTATATGGAGGTCAAGACGGATTGATTCGGAAGTATCATCGTGGTAGCGCTGCTTGATTCGCTCACCGTGCAGAGTACCGTGAAAAAAGAATCCATTTTTGCTCGCCAATGTCGAGAGACTGCGATAAATGATCAGCTACAGGCAGAACATTCGGCTCGCAACTAAACGAACGCTAATTAATGTCTTTAAATCGGGCTCAACGATCCGTCATGGTGCGAGCGAACAAGATCATTCAATTGGTCGAAATTGCTTCGCCGCCGTAAATACGTGTGTAAGATTAGATCTATCCAGCGTTGCTTATATCGATCATTTGCTTATTAAATCGATACTAATTCGCGCCATCTGACCGCTCTTTTGTTTCATTGATTTTCTTGTCGATTAGATAGTGTGAAACGAATTGTTTTTTTCTTCGTTTTTTTCCATCCAGATATAACAAATTTCAAATATTTGCTTTCTCGTTTCGAGCTTGTCTCATCGATCGATCCAACTATGTACATATTTTTCAAGCGAACGATTTAGTTTTAAATTTGAATGTAAGAAAAGTTGTCGATATTTTTATTAATTTGATATCGTTTTAATCGTCAAGTAATAGTCAATTTATCATCCACGTGCGTATATGTATAGTTGATAGATCGGACAATCGACATTAGACAAACATAGTATATATGAATCTATATACTTTTAATTAGTACTGGGCATAATATTTCTTTTTCGATTATTTCAATTTTTCTTATAAAGTAGTATGTATATATATTCCTCCGTGAATATTTCAACCAATTTCACTGAATATCGTAATGTTTTACGATATATGTATATACTAAGAAGAAACGAAAAAATATTGATTATATATACTTACTCCAACAGTCAAAAAGACGTTTATTCAAAGATCGATTCACTAACTGATACCGCCCGATACTACTGACGATATGAATTCATCTTGTCTGAGAATAGTTGTTCTAAATAGCAACTATGTTTGATTGCTTATCTGCATCAGATATCGAATATCTTCTAAGCGGCTGATATATGATCCATTGTAAAAAGATATCGTTTTGTCGTCATTCTTCGGTTTTTCATATTGTAGTTTTAAAGAACCAATATTCATCAGATTACAAATTAAAGGGTATAATTAACGGGTAACAAAGGACATTATAAAAACGGACACATTACATGTTGCAATTTTATTCATCTTATCATCAAGTATAAAATATTTGTTAATGCATTTCCTTAAAGAAAAATTTTCCTAACAAAACGTATAAAAAGTATATTTGGACGGCATTAAACATATCAGACAGATTGGACGGATGTCGTACACATGTTGTACTTTGTGTCGTACGATCGTTGCTTGTACGATGCGATTACACGATGCTTTTATTGTAGAAACGTCATTTGTTTCTAAATATGCTGCCTTTAGGCACATACACGGTATTATTGACTTACACATATATAATTAAACTAAAAATACATATAATATACGATTGATGTTCTGTTGAAAAAATTGCTTTTTTTCAATGGAAAGAAATATCACCAGTTGTAAATCAACATTAGAGGAATATCTTTCGCCAATATTCGTCAGTCTACTCTGTACTGTATACGATGCAAAGATATTAATGCAGCAGTCATAACTGGCCAATAAGCATGTGCTCTCTTTGCCGCAGACTGGAAAAAAAGAAGCAAACACCATGTATATATTGATACATTGTACATTCCTCAAGCATTTAGGATCTATAGTTGAACGATGACTTACAATAACGTAATAATTGCATTTATCTCCTTGACAACACTCGGAACATTTCCAGTCTTGATACCATATATACGTACAATCGTCCATGTTGGACTGTTTTATTCTTTCACATTCTTTCTTCGTTGCACATCTTTTTGAAACGTAAAACTGTTTCTTTGCTCCTTGTGACCAGTACGGTGTGCCTATAAACAACATGTGATGATGCAAAATAACGATGCATTACAAATCTAAAATTCAAATGAATGATTCATATTGAAACGAATCGCCATTTATTGGTTAATTCATGTAAACATAACCTCAAACGTTGCTTCGAAACGTGTTGCTATCTACGAAAAGTATTTGAAACTTACTTCCCCATCTGATCTCTGTTAAACAAGTATCTTGACCCTGTTCGCAGGTTTTTGTACTCTTTAAACATTTTTCTCTGTTACCCTCTTGATTGGTACATACGTAGCATTCCAGGGCGTGGCCTGAAAACATTCATAAATGAAGAAAGCTGCTCGATAAACTCGTGTTTACTTAACATACTGAACGATAGGTAACACGTGACGAGGAGAACACAATATAATTTTGTTGACTGCATCGCGAGACAACGAACAACGACTACGACGAAAGAAAAAAACAAAATCAGTTTCAACAACGCGACACTCGTCAAGAGATGGATTGGCAGTTGTAACAACTTATATTATTGGCAACAGTGGCGACGTTAACGCTCTCTGTGAAATTCAAATAATTCTACAAACGTGGATAAAAGAAAATACATTAAAATGAAATATCGTTGATTGAATGTTCTTTAGTTCCTCGTTCATCTTCGTGTTATTTTCACTTATTTTTAGTTTAACCTAAAAATTCGTTTCTCTCGACTTCGTTATAAATTGATAAACGTTTACAAATTAAATCGAACCGAAGAGGAGAGAGACGTGCATTTAAAATTGATCAGATTTGCAAGGAGCGTTGCGCGTGCACGATGGGGAAGGCCGTTGCATGATTTTATTATTAAAATAAATTTGCAAGTATTATTGACCCGGGCGTTGGAACTGGAGGTATCAACTTTCCGGTTGACTGGCTTTGAGGTCGATCTATAATCACTATCGAGTACTTGGCTCTGAATTTTTTCGTAACGAATTTTATTTTCAGATGAATTTGTCTTTAACTGGAACACAATAAGACAAATCTGCTCGTAACATAAGAGCGAGTGTCAAAATGCGATGATTTCCCAAATCTATGCAATGTTTATCCAAAAGACACGTATTTTAACTAATTTTAATTAATTTCAATTGCAAAGAAAGAAATGGATTTAATTACAAAGCAAAAAATGGTTTAAGAAAAAAAATTAAAGCTGACAGAAGCGACGATCGTTTTATCGTGGAACGAGAGAAAAAAATAAAATCAAAGTTGAGTACGGAAAATGAATAAGAAAAGACGGGTGAAAAAAAGAAGAAAGCGAAAATACGGCAGACAGTGAGGAAGCGAGGAAGCGAGGCAGCGAAGACGCAAGGGGAAGATTACCCAGTGCATTCGTTCTCCCCTCCCCCTCTCTACGTAACCCGAACTCTCCCTCGGGGTTTCGGTGAGGTCGCATGTGCTCGCGGCTCTCGCGGATGTCGAATGTCGATATTCGAGTGCGCGGCGCAGGCTGAGCAGTAGCAGTGTCGAGCCACTGCGCCGAGAATCTAAAATTATCGGCCGGCTCGCGAGAGGGGAAGGTGGGCAGGCATGTGCAGAGAATGCGCGTGAAGGGAAGCCAGGGGGGGAAGGAGGAGGTAGGGATGAGGAGGGTAGAGGGAGAGGTTGACGCAGGAAAGAAGAAAAGAGAGCGAGAGCAAAGAATAGAGCAGCTCTGCCACCAGGTGGGGTTGGGGGGAGAGGGGGTGGGGAAGAAAAAAGGAAGAGGATAGATCTAACCGAAAGAAGGAAAAAGTCGGTGAAAAATCTGGCAAAAAAGCGAAGGAAGAGCAGAGGGTAGTAGTAGCGTGACAGACAACGTTCGTCAGAGTTAATTAGGCGAGATGGCGAAACGAAGGGGAGAGAAAGGATGGAAAATGGAAAACGGGGATGAAGACGGTAGCTACGGGCGGGCAATGGCTGGGCAATGAGAAGAGCTATGAGAAGGGAGAGGATGGTGAACGGGCATGGGTATAGATATGGGCACGGGCACAGGCATACAGGCATCATCTATAGGCTACGAGTTCGGGCACGGGAAAACGGGAACGGGTACAGCAGGCGCGCGCCCTCGCACCATTTCGCGTAGGTAAGAAGAGAGGAAAAACGAAAGGGAAGGGTACGGTGGAAGAGCGGTGATCGGATGCAGGCGCGGAGAGAACGGGGTGGTGACAGTGGCGGGGAAGGGCGCGGTGGAGGGGGAAGAGGTGGAGATGGAGGAGGAGGAGGAGGAGGTGAAGTGCGGCGGTGGTGGTGGTGGCAAGCAGAGCGGCGGTGTTGGCAGCGAGCGAGGGCAGAGTCGTTGACGGTGGCCGTCGGTTTCGACACGAGTTACCGTGACAAGTGCATTACTTATCGCACGTCGAGCGAGTACACATTGGGACGCGACAGGTCGAGCATTTCGACAACCGCGCAAACAAACGGCTTTTTCCCTCTTTTCTCGCTCCTTTGCTTTTTTTTCCCTCCCCCCACCCCGTTCGACTTTTTTTCTTTTCCCTCCGCAGACCCTGTTTTTTCCCGAGCGTTTTCCAGGCGCATCGCGCTTCAACCGTGGTTGTTGGCTCTCGCTCGGACAGCTTACTCTTCCCTGGCAAGGGTCGGGCTCGCTCGCATACGCGCGTAACAGGCAAGTCGACTGACCTCCCGCGAGACAGTCTCGAGGAACAGTCGGCCGAGGTTCGCGCGTTCCGAGGGAAGAGTGGGTCCGATAGTGCGCCAGCCGCCAATCGGACAACCACAAATTTCTGCTTCGATCATTATCTAGGAGGATCGGCTAGTTGACGGACGCGATGGCGGACGACGATGCGAACAACACGTGCGAGGATTCCCTCGGGCCTGGCGATGCGACCACCGCGTTCGCCAAGAAAATTCGCGGACGAAAGGGTGCCCTCAAGAAAAAGAATGTCTACGTCGTCAAGAATCACAGCTTCATGCCTCGTTTCTTCAAGCAACCGACGTTCTGCAGTCATTGCAAGGACTTTATATGGTGAGTCTTTTGAAATTTTTCTTTCTCGATACATCTCCTTTCGCCGTCCTCTCTATCTCTAGGTATACTTCTTGTCGAAGCTCCACTTCTCCTCTACTTTTCTTCTATCGATTCTCCTTTTCGCAGTCGATTTTAATTTACTCATTAACACACAATCGGCTGTCTGCCTAGTCTCGAGTTCCATTTGGAATTTACCTTCCTCTCTCTCTCTTTCTCTCTCTGTGTATCTCTTTCTGTTTCTGTCCTCGGTGATACATAAATCCAGCGGGCCGGTAGCTGCCGGTAGAGTAACTCGAGCAACGGTTAAACGGTCCGGCCTTGAGAATACTCGTTCTTCGTCTAAATTAGAATCGGCGGCCGAACAGAGTGATCAATTCGAGCGCGGGACTTTCGAACACAAGAGCCTGGCAAGACTCGCGAAAAAAACCGAGTCCCTGATTTTTGCCCTTGATCCCGTGCAAACGGGGGACGATTGCAACGTATTTCCTCGTTTCGATGGAAAATCGAGCGACACGGGGGAGTATACACACTCGAGCCCCCCACCGGTTACGTGCCGGCAAAATAAAAATAGCCCGGCTCTGACAACAGTTGCAACTCGAGACTTGAGAAACATCGAGTCGTTCATACCGATTATTATTTCCGGATCTCTCAGTTGTGGCAGATTCGTTGGCAGCGAGGTGTTCCACTCGGAGAAAAGATGGTAGACGGGGGTATATGGCATAACCCGGATGATGTCTAACGAGTAACATTTACGTGCAGTTGAAACGGTTACAGGCATTGACGCACAATAGCGAGCGACCCAGTAACCAAACTAACTTGTTTCGCCGACATCGATTTTACCGCTGAGAAGGGACGCAACAGACGTTTCCGATCCAATTCTTCCGCGGCTTTTGTCGCTGCCTCCTTGCGAGAAAGAACAAGAGAGAGAGAGAGAGAGAGATCAAAGTCGTTTTTCTTTTTTTTTTCTCGGTATTTCTCGAGTCGATCCTCGCTACATCCGACTCGTTCCGGTTTGATTCGGTTATAGAAGATCGACGAGACGAACACATTCATCATAATTGGGTTGAATTGCGACAAACGCGGTTAAAATCCTAGCCGCGTGATTCTCGCTGATCGCACACAGCGGGGGCAATTCGACGTTGGAACCGATCCGATCCGATTCAATCCGGTCTGAACGAAAATTCAGTCTAGCCTCTTTTCCTCTCGCGTTCGGTCGAAATTTCAAACGATCTTTCGTCGTCGAACGCACATTGTATACGTGTGCACGTTGACACGCGTATGACTCTCCGATCCTCCGGTGCATATTTCGGATTTCGTTACCTAACAAGAGGAACGCGAGCCTCTTTTCCGAGGATTGGACAAAACTTAGCCGCGGTTCGCCGCGAGATTTATTTTCACTGGCTTCCGGCTGTTGGCGAGTCACGTGTCGGGGATCGCGACGCGTAACGTATTTAAAACCATAAGTCGTTATCGAGTTGTGTGGTTTCGCGTGACGAGCTTGCTTTATCCGCCAGGATAGCAAACTCGCTGCTCGTTTCTAATTGCACGTTTAGGCTTCCTTCTCGATTGTCGTAACGTATCCGCGGGGCGTTCGGTGTTCGTTTGCAACCGAGCTCCGGCGCGCTTTATTCGCCCGGGACACGATAATCGGTGAGACTTCTTCTCTCTTGAAGTATCGAAGGAGGAAAGACGGAAGAATCGAGGAGAGAATGTGTGCTTGTGTTGCACAGTCTACGTGCACACGTAGCGATTATCCAACCGACTATCCCGAACGTCGTAAATCTTCCCCGACTGATCTTTAACTGTCTGCTGTTCGTGTCTGAATGTTTACTCGCGGAACAGTAGCTCGCTTTTTTGACGATTTTAACGCACATTAACCTCTCGGCTTTGAATGACGAGTATACTCGTACGTAGTCACGAAGGAATGGAAATTTTTTATGCAACGACAAATATACTCGTCACGCGAGAAAAGTAATTAAAAACAGTTTGTAATTACTCAAATTAAACTCCTTGTGGAAAATGAAGCGTATCGGTTAAAATTTTAGACATTTAAAAATATTTCGAGACTAGATTTGAGACTAGTCCTTTTTATGTCATTTCTAAATATTTTCATTTACTTGCTTCTAATTATTGCAAATAAATATTAATTATTATTAATTAATTATTAATCAAGTCAAAGAATACCTACTTTACAAAAAAAACTAGCGTCATTTCCTTATAGTTTAATTCAATTTTCAATTCAACAGCAGCCGCGCATACTCTGTGCGTTTGTCGAGTACAATCGTCATCACGACACTTTTAACCACTTGCGCTGGTAACTGATTGCGGACCATAACGAGCGACCAAACCGTATACAATAATTCGTCGCTTTTTTTTTTTTTTCCATCGGTATATCACTGTAGACAGAAATTATTAAGAAATAATAAATTTATTACTCGTTTTGCCTGAGTCATACTTAAATATACTTAAAACTGAGAAAATATTGCAATTTTGGGAACAAAAAATTCCCAACGTAAGTAGTTAACCACTTCAGCTGGTAACTAATTGCGGACCATAACGAGTGACCAAACCGTACACAATAAGTCGTCGCTTTCTTTTTGAACTCGTCGGTCTGATATCACTGTAGATAGATAGAAATTATTAAGAAGTAATAAATTTATTACTTGTTTTATCCGGGTTATACTTAAATATACTTAAAACTTAGAAAATATTGCAATTTTGGAACAAAATATTCTCGACGTGCGTGGCACGTCATTCCAGCGCAAGAGGTTAACCAGTTGTGCTCGTAACTAATTGCGGACCATAACGAGTGACCAAACGGTACACAATAAGTCGTCGCTTTCTTTTTGAACTCGTCGGTCTGATATCACTGTAGATATATAGAAATTATTAAGAAGTAATAAATTTATTACTTCTTACCTGGGTTATACTTAAATATACTTAAAACTGAGAAAATATTGCAATTTTGGGACAAAAAATTCTCGACGTAAGAGGTTAATGTTCTGGTAACTTCTGCTGGTAACTAATTGCGGACCATAACGAGTGATCAAACCGTACACAACAATTTGTCGCTTTCTTTTTCCTTTCGTCGGTATGATATCATTGGATAGAAATGATTCAGAAATAAATTTATTACTTGTTTTGCCTGGCTTATACTTAAATATACTTAAAACTGAGAGAATATTGCAATTTTTGGGAACAAAAAATTCTCAACGTGCGTGGCACGTTATTCCAGCGCAAGAGATTAAAAGCGTGTATCTACGCCACAGCTAGGAGGTTAATCGTAGATCGTCGTATATTGATATACACGTAGGCTAAATGTAAGCGAGACTCACATTCTCTCAACGAGGATAACGATGATCAAAATGAATTTACGCAGACACCGAACTCGTCGATTTACAGCCGATTGCTTGAAGGTACATACATATGTATATCTGCTTGCGACGTAGCTTGCTTTGACAGACGTATCTCGTGTCCAATGAAAGGAAACGGGCGCGTTACCTCTCGTCGTCTTCGTCATTTCTTCGCTATTTGTCACATGATATGGTTAACCTTGCACTGGCAACTGATTGCGGACCATAACGAGTGACCGAACCGTATACAATAATTTGTCGCTTTCTTTTTGAACGTCGGTATAATATCACTGGATAGAAATTACTAAGAAGTAATAATAAATTTATTACTTGTTTTGCCTAGGTTATACTTAAATATAAATGAGAGAATGCATTGCAATTTCGGACAAGTAATTCTTTCTTACGAGGTTAACGCCGATTCTAATTGGATCTCGCCGATAATCAAGCCGGACAGTCGAACGAGCAACAAATAATAACAATAATAATAACAATAATAATCGTTTCTCGAATTCGAGGGAACGTGACGAGCAGATCAGAGCTGCGAAAGTTGCCGTCGTGTTCGGTGTATTTTTTTTTTTTTTCAAGTTTGATGCTTTTAGCTTGGGTATCGATCGCGTTGCATTGCAACCGGAGGAGAAAAGCATACACCTACTTCTACTTGATTGGAATTTTCAAGCGCAACGCGACTACTATTTTTGCGTCGTTCCCCCGTCTCGGGTTTCTGGATCAGTTATTTTTTTCTTTTTTTCTTAAGTTCAGACGTCGCAAACACGCGAATCTACCTGTACGAGGTCGCTGGGCAATTTTCTGAGATGATCTCGCTGCTCAAATAAAGTTCGCGATAGTGTTTACACATCCGCATAGCGCATGGATGTCCAACCATTTTAAGTGTTCTGGGTCTCATTGGTCAACAAAGATTTGCCGAGGGTCGCGCATAGTTTACACATTTTTTTCATCAGTTCAATGTAACCTGTATTATTCATGAGGATGTTAAAACAATTTTTACAGTGAGACGATACGATGATCAGAAAAATATATGTACGTTAATTAAGAAAAAAGTACGAAAATTTTTAATGAGAACACTGAGCTTGCTTTTTTAGATACCAATCGATATCTGGTTTGATACATGTAGTGGCAATACGAAGAGTATTTTCAAGATGGTCATCTAAAATTTTTCTTCTCATTTTATTTTTTGCGTTCTTGTATATAAAATTAAATTTATAATGTATATACATTTATTAAAATTATAAAAAAAATAAATATTTGACGTATCAAAATATTAATATTACAATTTATATTTATGTATAAATTTTTTTAAATATCATGGAAAACATTATTGTATATATAAAATTTATGTATTTAAATTAAATGTATATCACATAAAAATGTATTACTGCGAAAAAATCTATTCGCAAATACATTTCTCCCCAAAAGGGAATAAAATTATTCAAATAATAAAATTCTTGTTCAATTGTTCCAATTTTGATTATACAGTGCGTGAATAGGGTCTAAGGGCCGCGGGTTGGACACGCCTGACCTAGCGCACAGTTTTCTAATTTTACATCGGTGCGGTTTCCAGTTATCTCGTGGCACGCCTCGCATTTCGTTTCGAGAATTCGGCTGGCAAATGAACGGTTACGGTTATCA